GGTTGGCCAATATTGTTTACTTGGATGTGAATAGATGAGGATGACAAGATGATGATGATGATCATGGTGATGATGATGAGGAAAAAAGGAGGATGAAGATGAAGATGGAGAAAAGTATAAAATGCTTATTGGAGTGTAAATAATAGGCTTTTTTTTTTATGTACCAGTGGAAAAAAAGTCACATGATGAAAAAGAGACTAAGTTAAGCCTCTCGGAATTTTTAGCTTCTTTTTTCATCAATTTCATCATCATCATCTTCTTCATCTTCTCTTGGTTAAAATGAGTCTCAGAAGTGAGTGAGAGAGAGAGAGGGAAGGTAAAGTGAATGTTTTCTTTTCTCCACAAATCTTAACTTCTATGATATTTTTCTTGGCTTCATGTTCACTTATTTCTGGTCTATTTTTTTATTATTGGACAAAGTTGGACATAGAAAAGGCTTTTAAGATGAGAGAGAGAGAGAGAGAGAGAGAGAGAGATGAGGATGATAAGAGGGGATGAACATATGAGATGATGATGGTGAGAAAACATTTTAAAGAGAGAAAAACTTTTCTCTGGAAGATTTTATTTTCTTCGCATCTCTTTTAGGATCAAGTTTTTTCTTCTTCTTTTTCTTTTTCTTCTTCCGCTTTTTATCATCCTCATCCTCATCCTCATCCTCATCATCTTCAATTTGTATTTGTACCTATGTTACATTAACCAAGGTCTTAAGATGAAAACGGTTTCCTTTTTATATTTTTTTCTTCATCATCATTGAAACCAAAAAATTTCAACTTCCTTTCATATTGTGTAAAACTTTGATTGTTATTATTATTTGGTTGTTGTTGTTGGTTATTTATCTGGTTTTTTACTTTTACTGTTTCATCATGAAACAGATTCAGGTGAACATTGAACTTTATCCAATCCAATTCCATGATAAAAGTTGAATTTCACTGATAAAAATCAAATGAAATTATCAATTCCAACCGATTGATCATCTCATATGAATATAAATCATGATTGATTCTAATAAATACTTAACATGATTGGTGATTGAAAGTCATGAATCTTTGATTACAATTGATCAACACCATTTAATTAACATTCACCAGGCTGATTGCTGCCTTCATAAGCGTTAATCATCATAATCATTAAACTTAATTGTTAGTTAAAACCTGATCATCAACTGTGTTCATCTTTAATAATATTTTTTTCAGCATTGACTTGAAATATGAGATTAGTTATTTGATTAAATGATCAGTTTAAAGCCTCTAATTAAAATGAATATTTTTCAAGCTTAATTGTTAATGATGATGATGAAGAGGAGGAGGATGATAAAGTGGGTGGATGAGAGACTTGGATATCTTTTTAATTGTATATATTGAGAAGTTAAATCCACCATAATTAAAGCGTTAATTATGATCTATGGATGATTAATATTTACCTTTGGCTTTGTTCAAGCTCAACCTTAAAAATTGATTACTGATCGACTGTGATTAGGTTAATCATTATAATCAACATAATCAATTGATTTTATTATTATCATTAATAAATTAGAGTGAAAAAAAATTAACAATTTTAATTACAGGAGTGGAAACCGGATAAAATTATTAATATTACCAAACAACAATTAATAATGATAATACTTGATGATGAATGATAATTAATATATTAATACAATGATAATCAAATATAATAGTAACAAGAAAGTTAATTGTTGGCTTTTAATTGTTAATTTGTTGCCTTTGTCATTGTTTGATTAGTTGTTGGTAATTGAGTGACAAAAAAAAGCCTTTTGTTGGTTAACCATTAATTGTGAACAATTAAAATTGATTTGTAAGGTAAAATATTATCTATAAGTGGTAGAGGAAAATTTAATTTCAAATTTAATTAAATCAAATTTCCGGTTTTCATTGATTAATTGTCACAATTAAACATTAGATAGAAAAGTTTTTCTTTCTCAAAGTTAATTAACTTAATTGTCTTCATATTGATCATCTTAATGATATTATTAGATTTGAGAATGATAATTTTCCTCTGTAATCATTGGGTATCATCTTCATCACCATTTACCGTTATCTTGAATACAGGAAAAAGTTTCATCTTGATGATGATGGTAAATGGATTCTGCTCATCTTCATCCTCATCATCCCTTATCTTCATCATCTTCCTTGTCTTCTTATGTTAACCTACATTAAGGTTCAAGAGGTTTATATTCAAATACATTTGATAACCTTTGGGTTAACACCTAATATCTAGATGATAATAAAAGGATGAGGATGATGAGTGATGATTATGATGATCGCTCATATTGAGCAAATCTCTTTGGTGACAAATATCCAGTGTAGGAAAAAATGTCCAATCGGATTTTGATTAATTTGTGTGAATTATAATCAAAAGGATAAATCGTCATAATAATCAGCTAATCAAATGATTAATTGTTATTCCGATTTGAATTCAAATGAGACTCAATTGTTTTTTTATTATTAATACAAAAGCAAAACAATTAATCATCTTTGATGATGATAAAGATGAGACAACATTTTTAAATTGTTGTTGATGGTAAATCAACAATTTGTAGCTAAATGTTTAATTGTTATGGTATTATGATTGATTAAATCTGATTAGTTGTCATGTTTCATTTGTTAATTGTACTCTCATATTAATTGTAGGAAGAATTGGAAAAAAAGATTTTTTTTTCAACTAAATTGTATCTAAATTGTAATTAGTTCACTTTGTATTTGTTTTAATTGTAAAGTGTTAGTTAATTTTGTGTTGATGTAAATCAAATGTGAAGTCAGTTAATTGTTACAATAAGCAAATATTTTACTATCAACATTTGATTAGGTTAAAGATTCAGGAATTTATAGTTTATCATATTAATGAGAAAATGATTCGTCATCACCAACTGACCATTAACTGGACAGAGAGATGATGAGGATGATAAAAGAATGCAGATAATGAAGAAAAGGAAATGGACTTTAATTTATCATCAGTTTAATGTTCATTCTCATTCCGGATTAATCAGTCAACTAAATTGTACTTTTAATCAGAAATAAAGATGAAGAGGAAAAGATGATTATCATGAACAGGAGAGAGAGAATTTCATTATCGTTGGTTGTTATTGAGAATATAAGAAAAAATTGGAACTTTTTCCCCTTCTACCCCTTGGGAACCCCACCCTGATCCTTTCATCTATGTAGTCACTTATCAAGATGAGAATCATGTTGATCATCATCTTCCTGAATGAAATGACATGATATTATCTCCAGGAATCATCATGATCATGACATATTTTGTTGATATGATAACTTTTTTTTCAGTTATCTTGTTGTTATTGTTACAATTGACTTTCAATTGATCATCACAATGATAATATTACATAATGATATCGATTGGAATTGATGATGAAGATGAAAATAAAGTATGAGGAAGATGAGGAAGAAAAAATCTAGGTTAAAGAAGATGAACACAAACAGGACACAAAAGTTCATCAAAGTGTAAAGAAAGAGGAATGATGATGATAATGAAAGATAAAGATGAAGATAAGAAACAGAGAAACAGTGAGAGAGAGAGAGAGAGAGAGAGAGAGAGAGAGAGAGAGAGAGAGAGAGAGAGAGTTCCCTTTATGTGTGAAAATACTGCTGTTATTTGCAATCCATGTGATCATTTTTCTTGAATCTTCATCATCCTTATCATCATCTTCATCTTCAAGCCACTGAGACTTTGGGGATGAGACAATTTGTTCATCTTCATCTTCATCTTCATTGTAACATCCAATCAGTTTATTATCCAGTCTTCCGTTTATTTTATTACATTTTGCTTTCTACTTATCATCATTTTCATCCTCATCACTTTTTCTGCTTCCTTATCATCATCGTCATCATCATCATCATCATCATTATCATTATTCAACAGAGGAAGATAAATTATCATCATTATCCAAGTTATTTTTTATTTACTCTTATTTGACCTTTCAATTGATTATTATCATTACAAATGATTATCATTTGGTTGATCAATTGAAATTGGTAAATCAGTTAATCCTAATTAAATATTATTATCATTATTATTGATTAACAATGTAATTATAACACATTTATACACATGTACACATGTACGTATGTTTATAAGTTTTACAATTAATTAATTGATTGATGATAATCATTTAGATGATGATATTTGTAATAATGATAATTGATTGTTTCAAAGATGATTAAGTTCATTTGATATCATATCTTGATTGTTTCATTTATCATTGTTGCTGCTTATTTTTTATATCAACATGTAAAAAAAGTACTACCAGGATTGTTACAATTAAGATTGATTGTTGCAGTTTCATTAAATTAACATCACCCTGATTATTATTCATCATGAGTATTAGACAAACACAAACACAGAATCAAAAATCATGATTAACTTACCTGATTCATTATCATCACCAAAACGTTAATAATAATCAAGAATTAGATTAATGTGTATCATTTAATTAATTCAATTGGATAGAAAACAAATGATTAGAATTTGTTACATTAATCAAATTGTTCAATTAATTCCAATGAGATCTAATGAGTTCCATCAATTAACTAATTGTTCATCTAGACTTAAGGAAAAGTGAAAAAGAGAGAAAATTATAATTATAATTATTATGGATTAATTTCAATTGTAATACATGAAAATCAATTCATCAAAGAATCAAAAACAATTATTATCAAATGTTATCGATTCAATTGATACCTTTTCTGTTCATCTTCATATTCAAGTCTCTTCTAGAATAAAAAAAATAGAAAGTATCAAGATGAGAATTGAAGATGAAGTAGATTAAGATTAAGATGTTGGTAAAAACTTCTTGATCTAACCACAGTCTCCCAAAGGAAACTTTGGACTTAAGATGAAATGAGATGAAGCTAATCATGAAGATGAGAAAAGAGATGAAGGAAGAGAGATGAAGGAAGAGAGAGAGAGAGAGAAGAAGAGAGAGAGAATCATCATATTCTTGAAACGCTTTTTCTTTCATCTTCAACTTTATCTTCATGAGATTTTTTTGTTACTGTTTCAGTATATTTATTATATTATATCAACATTGTCCAGTCCACTTGACTCTCTCTCTCTCTCTCTCTCTCTCTCTCTCTCTCTCTCTCTCTCTCTCTCTCGTTGTTTCTTTCTTATCATCATAACATTGATCTCTTCAAAATGTTTCCTTGTTTTCTGTCTTCTTCATCTTCTGTCTCAGTCGAAATCATAAGAATCGGAGGAAAGCATCAAGAAAGAAACATCATCATGATGATTAAAATGAAAGGAGATCTGGATGATGGTCTTTTCTGTGCTTTTACATCATCAATATCATCCTTCACTTTAATATGTTTCCTTCGTCATCACCATCATCTTTTCTTCAAGTATCATCTTCAGTTATTGTCCAGTAACAATTCAAGAAAAAAAGTGTCAAACCAAAATGTCCAAACATTTAAGTTGGCAACTCAGAACTAAATCGTCTCTCCTCTTTTTATGCTTCTCCATTTTAATTTTATGCTTTTGATTTTCAGGCTTAGTTTATTTTCCTCGTCATCAATTGTGAATCATTTTTGTTTATCATGATATTATATCAACTTCCTACTGAGTTAACTTCAACAAATAACAATCATGATATAATAATACAATCACATTTTACCTGGAAGAAGAAGATAGAGAAAAAAAAGAAGATAAGATTGAGATGGAGAGAGATAGAAAGTGATGGTGATAAAATGTAAACATCATCATCAACAACAACAATAATAATAGTGAAAGAGTGAGAAATGTTGACTAAATAAACTGATATATTGCTTCTTATAATATCAAATAAAGAAACAACTTTCTCTCTCTCTCTTTTTCTCTCCCGCACTCCCACTCTTTCCTCCTTTTTCTATTTTTCTTTCTATTTTTTCATCTTCTTCTACTGTAACTCCTTGATTTATAGACTGATTTGCTTGAATTTTTTTCTCGCCTTTTTTTCATTCGCTTATATTATATTATTATTACATTATATTCTCAATAGAGACATTCTCTCATGGTGACAGAGAGAAGAAGAAGAGCAAGATAGAAATGAAGAAGAGGAAAAAAAGTGTGAGAAGTGTGTGAGTTTGTTATAATAATAATGTACAATTCAAATGTAACCTAATGTTGAATGTAATTCAAGACGATATATAAAGATCAATGAAGAGATCAAATGAAATGTGTAATGTACACACAGAAGAGAGAGAAGAGAGAGAGAGAGAGAGAGAGAGAGAGAGAGAGAGAGAGAGAGAGAGAGAGAGATTGACAAGGTTTACATTGGTCAATGTCAATAAACATTATCATCCTAATACAATCATCTTCATCACCAAACGGTTTATAATCGTTATCATGTGAAGAGAGCTGGAAATAGACCAACGTATTAGGTGTATGTAGATAATAATAGCATCAATGGCAATCAATCAGTTGAAGAACATCGAACTGGGAGGTAGAAAAAACAAGCGAAAGAGGAAAAATAATGAATAACATTAAATTAAATTTAACAAAACAAAAAATCTTCCAAATTATTAAATAAGGAAACTATTATAAAATTGTAATGGGAGGAAGGAGTGGAAACACTTACTTTACATATAAAATCTAAAATGGTAATAAGTATAATCCATTGAAGGTGAGAGAATGTAAAATGTGTTGATGATGATTACGTTAATAGTTATTATTATTATGTAGTTGTTGTTGTTGATGTTGATGATGATGATGTTAAAAATTGATCCTAAAGTGAGTTAAAGGATGAAGTGAGCCTAGAATAAGAGAAGAGTCAATGAGAGAAAGAAATTGAAGGTAAAAAAAAACAACATGGCGAAGATCATTTGACAAAATGATGGTTACAACCATTAAGATTATATTCACCTTCATCACTTACCTTATGTTACCTTTGTTTTTACTTACCTGTTTTTTTGCTTTACCAAAGGAGGGGAAAAAAGATAATGATGATCTCGTCTTCCTCATCTATGTCCGCTGTCAATGTTGTGATGATGTTGTTGTTGATGATGATGATTATAATGTTTAAGTAAAGCCTACAACTAAAAGTAAATGGTTTTAACTAATGGTTTTGAATGTAGTACACAGAGAGAAAGTAAGGATGAGAAGAAGATGAAGATAAAAATAAATAATAGAATCTCGTTCTGTGTTGTAACATCCATAGAGAAGACAAGAAAACGAGAGAGAGAGAGAGAGAGAAACAAATGTCTTCGCTTTTTTTACTTACCTTTTTCTAACCAATTTATCGGTTAATAATGAACAACTACTAGTATAACAAGTAATAGAACATGAAATTAACTTTCACAAGTAACAATTAATCAAAAAATAATAGTTAATTTACCAGAATCAATAAAAAAGGAAAGAAGTTGAGAAAACAAAAGAAAAAAAGAAAATTTTTATTCGATTTTTCCAGCTGATTGGTCATGTGACTTTCTTTCAATCTTATTGGTTGATTAGATAATCGCTCATCAGGATTAACTCATTAATTGTTGTTACGTTTATTTATAAATTGTGATTCATTCGCAACCTAATTGTCAACTCATTTAATCTTACTTTAGATGTTAATTAATTGTTGGTAAATGTTAACCAATTTACTAGTAATGTTCAGATTGATTAAATTGAGTAAATAATCAAGTGAATTTATACTTTTTTCTTCCCTCTTTTTTTGCCATTTTCACCTCTTTCCTTTTCCTCTTTCTCTCTCCTTTTTGGTTTTCTGGTTTTGTGGTGGTAACATTTTGGCTCTCTCATTTTCTCCCCATTTGCCTATGTTGTTGTCTAACTGTGTCTGAGTTGTTACACTTTCTCCACTATAAATGTAATTAACTAATTAATTGAATTAATTAATGGTACAACACCTTCAATAATCATGGTAAATGATGTTGCCTATGAGATGATAATGCTGACACTTGAAGATTCTCTCTCTCTCTCCCTCTCATTTTCTGTCTCTTTTTTTTGTTCATAATGAATAATCTCAACTTGTAAGGGTAAGTACAGTGTAGTTTATTAGAATTTATCTCTTCCATTGCTCTATCTCTATCTCCTCTTCTATCTTTTTATTCATCTATTCTGTTTAGTTAATCAACAGAGAGAAAGAGAATTAGTATTGGATAAAAGCTTAACATATTATATATTTTGTTCTAAAAGAATTTGTATCTCTTTTATTCTCGGTTAATCTCTTTCATTCGTCATCATTAATATCTTCTTTTTCTTTTTTATATTCTTCTTTTACAGCATTACTACCACCCCCTTTATTCCAAGCAGTATCCATATTTTAACTATTATTCAAAATCAATGGCTGCCACCGAGTGACAAACAAGATTGAGAAGGAGGAGAAGAAGGAGAAAGAGAGAGTGAGAGAGAGGATAAAGATTGGTGACAAAGTCAAATTGAAGAAAAGACAAAGCCAAGTGTGTAATCGTGATTATAATAAAAAAGAAAAGGAAGAGAACAAGTTACATCAATGGAATAAAAATGGATAAAAATGTGATAAAAATTATATTCATCTGCTGCTGGTGTTGCTTCATCTTCTTCCTCAACCAGTCATCCATAATGATGATCATGATGCCAAAAGCATGTTGAACCTGTAACTACTACTACATAAGTGTTATTATTTTCAGTACTATTATTATAAGTACAAGGAACCTTAGAGAACCTTGGGAGTGTCTATTAAAATAGCCCAAGGGGTTATCCTTTCTTTTCCCATCATCATAATAATCATCATCACTCCTTGTGATTTTTCATCCTCATCCTTGTATATTTATATATGGTTAATATATATATATAAATACATCAATAGAGTGTTCAATACAATATCCATATAGAATCAAATAAGATTATATTAAAAGACAGTGAGAGAGAAAGAGAGAGAGAGAGAGAGAGAGAGAGACAAAAAGAAAATGATCTCTCTTGTAATACTGCTGTAAAAAAAAGGATGAGGATGAAAGTAAAGGAGTGATGATGATGAAGAATGTGATGAAAGTGCTTTCTCATGTAAAGACGAGTTAAAGAGACGACTCCTTTTCACCATGTTCATCACCATGATGATCATCATTGGAGAGTCTCAATTGCTACACATAAATATAAAAAAAAAGAAGAGCTTAACTGACAACAGTTGAAATGATTTGATTTTGACAATCAAAATCAAAATATTGAAGTACAATACACACTCAAGTAAAAGAAGTAAAAAAAATACTATCAAAGGTAAAAGACGAGAAGTGATGAAGATGATAATGATGATAATAGTGGAGAGAGAGAGAAATATAACAAAAAAGTGATCATTTTAACGAATGAGCCTCAGGAGTATTTCCTCTAATATAAAATAATACTCTAATCATCATCTTACTAACATTATTTTTCATTGCAATTCAATTGTGATGACAATATTTTCAATGGAATCATTTTTCCTATTGTCACCCATTGATTACTTTGATTAATCACTATTTACCTTTATTCTTTGGCCACCCTTCCAATATTAACTCATTTACCTCCTTCCTCTTTAAATATATTGTTTATATTTGCTAATAATGTTTATCATGATAAATGATTTGAAAAGTTGACTTACAATCAATTGTTCACAATCAAATGTTATGATTGAGTCTTTCACTTTCTGTTTACAATCAATATTTGATTATGTCTTGTAAATACTACAACTATCATATTAACTTATATTTAATTTGATTTCTCTGTTTTGTAATATTAATAATTGGTCAATTTGATATAATAACAGTAATATCAATTGATACAACAATTTATATTACTAAACAACGATTACAATCAATTTTGATGAAAACAAATATATTGGTGTATTTATCATCATTGATAATTGTTGTTATTATTTTTTTATTTTTTCTCTTTTTATTATTGATGAACATTAATATTGTTTCCAGTTTTTTTTTGTTTCATTAATTGTTAATGATTAACATTTGACAAACATTTTCATAATCATTACCATGATGATGATAAACATTAATTAGTAACCCGAATAGAAACAAAAACACTGAAAGTGTGGAGGTTTTTTAAATTGTTACTAATTATCAGACTTGATGATTATAATTATGAAAATTAGATGGATTCTGATTAACTTGAAATGCTAATGATAATGTTAATGATGAAATATATAACTAGTGAAGACAAAGCTGATTAAATTGTAAAAATATTATTATGATTAAAACAAAAAAAAGTAGTTGAATGAGTTAAGGATAATATTAATATAACTCTTTGAACTTTTTTTTTTGTTTCTTGTTATTATTGATCAAAATAGTGAGTGAATGAGTGAGTTTAGGATGATGATGATGATGATGATAACATTTACATTTTGACATTGTTGCAAGTGGAAGAGGAAGACAGAGTGGGAATAAGAAGGGTGGGTTTTGTGTGTAAACCTTTAATAAGAGGCAAAACCCATTTTGGGAAGCCAAAAGTCATCCGGGAGTTTGAAACTTTTCATCCTCATCCGCATCCTCATCTTTTTCAGTTTCCAGAAACTCCTCCTCATCACCAAGCATCATCAACATCATTTTTATGCTTCATCCTCCTCCCTCTTACCACCTCCCACTCTTTCTGTGTGTCTCCCTAATATATTTTGTATTATGTATATTTAAAATCATACGGTTCAGCCTCCTGCTTTTCATCATCATCATCATCATCATCATCATCTCTCTCTCTCTCTCTCTTCATCTTTATCCTCTTGTTTTTCATCATAAAAAGAGATTACAATTTTACTAATATGTTAGAAACTTTTTCCCTTTTTCTTTTTATCATCTCTTTGCACTGAAAACTTTTTTCTCATCCTCATCATCTTTTGTAATAATAATAATCCTTTGGCACATTTAATCTACATTAGTGTGTCTAATGTTGTCTTTTAATGTTGCTACTACTGATGATGGTGATGATACTTGAAGATGAAGATGAAGATGCTAAAGGATGAAAAAGATGATGAGGATAAGGATGGTGAAGACTTTCAAGACTAAGTGTTTGATAATACATAACATTTACTTGAGAATGAGAGAGAGAGAGAGGGATGATTTGAAAATTAGCAAAAAGATGTTAATGGAAATGATGACAATCAAGATGATAATGATGATGATGGTGATCACTGTAAATCACTTTCACTCTCAATGAAAGGAAAACAAAAAAATGGATAAAAACAACAATATAAAAGTGGATTAAATGGTGGAACGTGAAAAACAAAAGCTAATAACAAAAGGGAATTAAAAGAAATGATGTTACAAAAATGTTCATCCTCATCTCTTTTCATCTTCATCTTCTTCATCCTCTGTAAATGAGCTTACACCAAAATCCTTAATTGTCTCCATTCATACTACCTCATGATCATCATTTAGCATCCAGCGTATCATCCAGCTCACTGAGCCTGTCATATGCTCTTCCATAAGATAATAATAAAATGCCCTGAGGGTAATTTTATTTCTCTGGTTCTTTTTACTTTTAATGGTTTGAATGTCACTTCTGATGATAACAATTCAATTCATTACAAAAGAAAGTGATTCAGGAAAAGATAGAGAGAGAGACCAAGCCTTACTTTTTCATCTTCATCATCATTTTTTTACCCTAAGGTAATATAATTGTTATATATGAATAACTATGTTCATCTAATACAAGAGAGTATGAATTATAATCATGATTGTTGATTGTTGATTCTGTTCTGATTGTTTAAAATCACGCAATCCCCTTTGGCGTAAGATTAGTTAAGTGTAAGGATGATGTTATATTTTCATTAATAATCATGATAATTAAGAGAGAGAGAGAGAGAGTTTAAAAATATTGTCTTTGTTAAACTTTGGTAAATTAACTCAATTGCAATTGATTTACAGACACAATCTCATGAGTTATGTTAATTATTTTAGGAAATGTGATTATCTTTAAACAAAAAGGTAAATATTAACATAGATTTAACAACAATCATATTTATCTGCTTTTCCGTTTTAACAATTAACAATCAACATAACTTAATCAATCATCTGTTTAAATTGTTGCTCTCGTATCTTGTTAATCAAACTAATCATGATAATGGTTACAATTTAACTGTGATTGTTCAATTGTTCATTATTTTGTTTTCATCTAATTGTTGATGATTGTTCATCAATGGTGCCAATATATTGGTAACAATTAACTTGATCACTCGTTTTGATTAGATTAACGTTCAAGTGTAATTAAGGAAATCATTTTTTTCCCATTCTCTCATTTTCTTAATGACTTTAACCAGCCAATATGTTACATTAATCATGATGATGGTGAAAAAATTGAGTTGATAATAGTGATGAAGATGAAGATGAAGATGGAGATGAAGATGGAGATGAGGATGGAGATGAAGATGAGGATGATTTTTGGAAGATGAAGTTTTCATAATTTCATTTTCAGATTAATAATTTTCTCCGTATCAAATTAACATTATCATTATTAATAAATTATGCTGGTTGACTGTTTTTAATTTAAATTAAATTTTACACCAAACTGTGATTCTGATTGTCATTGATTTGATCATTTAAACTTGACTAGTTAATATTAATTTAGTTTCATTTCAATTTGTCTCTTGATTATTTTCAAGCAATCATTTCAAGCGTATTAAAAAAGTGAACAAAATTTGTTTGATTTGTAACAATCAAAGTGACAAATTTACTATTTGATGTGAGACGAAACAAGAGTAAATTAATCGCTACCAATCAACTAAATTGTTATGAATTTATATTAATAAAAACGTTGATTAAATTCAATTATGAGATTCAATTGATTGGTTTGCTTTTTATTAACCTCACAAAGAATTGAAGAAAAATTCAAATTATTATTTTTGCTTTCATGATACTAACATCTAATCAACTGATTAACTATTAAATGAACTTTGAGATGAACAATTTACTCATGATGATGATGATTTAAATCACCAGGGAAACGGTAAAAGGATGAACATGATTAAGATCATCTTCATCTTTTACTCCATGAAACAATTATGATTATCATTGGAAAGGAAAAAAGTTCCAATCAGAAAACTTTGATCAACATTTGACATCTAAATGGAAATATCGTCTTCTTTATCATCCTTATCATCCTCATCCTCATCCTCATCCTCATCATCATCTGAATACATGATAAAAAAAATACTATCATTTGTTTCATTGTAAATGTATTTCAAATGATGTTAAGATAATAAAACAACAATTTACAATCCGAAATTGATTTGATTTATTCAGAATTTAGATTGAAACAAAAAGATGAAGGATTAACATGTAATTAAACAATAATCACCCTTGAAATTAGTATATATAAATGTGGAAACCATGAACATGATTAAGTGACAATTTATTTTTACACTGATTGTTGATGTAACAACAAACAACAACAACGATTCATTCAAGTTGATAAATTAACTTTTAAGTAATCAAGTCAATTACTACATTGATACGGTATATTATTACCACTCTAAATAAGTGTAACTAATCAATTGGTTTCAATCAACTATAATTAATAAATTGTTTCCCTTTTTTTATGAGTATAATATGATAACCATTAATAAAGATATTCAAGTTAATTCAATGGAGTTACTTTTGTGTCGAAGGTTAAACTTTAAGGTTGGACCATTAGAGAGAGAGAGAGAGAGAAGGTCAAAGGACATACATTATATTATCACATTAAAGGGATGATAATGAAGGATGAGGATGAAGATGAGGATGCAGAAAGAAAGAGGAAGAGGAAGATAAAAGATGAAAAGAGGAAGAAAAAAAAAGCAATAACAATAAAAGTGAATGTGTAATATAAGTTATATATTTTATAATGGAAGCATTTTCTTTGCCAATAATAATATACAAAGAGAGGTTATTGAAGATGATGAAGATGATAAGGATGATGAAAGGTAGGGTCAAAGGTTGAACAATGTATCAAAACATTTAAATAAATTGTGTTGTTGTTATTTTGTTGATTGTTGATTGAGGGAAAAAAGTTTTCTGTCAAAATAGTTTGCCTTTTATACCATTCATGTTACCTTCATCATCTTAACGTTAAACTTTTCGCATTCTGATTGTATTATGAATATTTAACAATCAAATTTGAATATTACAATTGAAACGTATTATCATCATGATTATGATGATGATGATGATTATCATCATAAAAATAGCCAATAGATTTTTATTATTTGGTCAAGGGCGTGCTACCTTTATTGGTTGGCTATTGATTGTTGGTTGATTGTTGTTTAGGTTTCTTGGCTTGTTGAAAACTTTTTTTTTCCTAAATTGTTGTTAAGCTGATTACTGAGTGTGATTGTTGATTTGTAAAATTGATTTAATTTCTGAACGTGAAGTTGCAAACAATTGAAAACGAGCACAATTTAAAGCCAATCAAGCAAATCAACTTGTTATCCATTTGATAACAAATCATTGCCAAGTTTAATTGTCGGTTGATTTTTTGGCTTTTCTGTTAATCTTTTAATTTGTTTACCTTTTTAGTGTGTGTCTCAATTACCAAGGTATTTGACCAACAATCAAAATTGATTGCAGTTGAAATAATTAGTTACTTGGTTTTGGAAGGAAAAAATTTACTACCTTTTAGTTAATTCATTTGTCCAGTTAATTGTGAGTCTCTCAATCAAGTAGTAGGTAGATGAGATCAATAGATTGTCATTAATTGTTGATTAAAGCCAACCAAATGTTGGATCAAACTGTTGGTTAGTCCATTTGTTAAATCATAATAATGAGTTAATTTGTATTGAGGTTAATTAAAGAGTGAAGGAGAAGAAAAAAATTCACCAAAATTGTAGTTAATCACAAATCTCAATCTCTTTTGATAATCTAATCCCATGGACATGATTACCTTTGTATCTTAATCACTTAACATTCACCAACCATTTCAATCTTGTATGTGCTCTGGATACTAATCAACAATTTAGTAATTTAGTAATTCATTTTGTATCCAATATCATCAATCGTTTGTTAATCACAAAATTAACTTTATTGTTAAGCTGATAATTAACTCACACACTCAAGGAAACTTAATTTTCATTGTTAAACAACACAATAAGATATTGATCTTAATCAAATGTTCATAGTTTAGTGAATAAGTAATACAAACCAAGAGAAATGTTGTAATTTCAATTGATATTGATTATTGTAAATTAATTACAATCAAAGAGAAATCAGTTGAGATTGATGAGAAGGTAAATCAGTTAACCCATCAGGAGAAAGAGAGATAATTAAAACTGATTGTGGATTTTGATTAGTTTGAGTTTGGGAAAACATTGAATCTGTTTGTAGTTTGTGATTGAATCATTTTCATTGATGATGGTTAACCCTGAACAAGAACCAATTCTGGTTAATGATTATAATCAATTCGGTAAATTGTTGGTAAAAATTAAACATTGTTATTACCTTATGATCTTGATTAAATAGATTGACATGCATAGAGAATCATTTTGTTTTTAAAACTACAATCAAATCAACAATTCATTGATTAGAAGATAATCAAAGTTTATTTATTTTCTTTTCATCTTCGACTTTCATGAAAAACATAAACAGTAATTTATTTATTATCGAAGTTGTTGTTTCTCTTTCGCTTTTTCTGTCTTCTTTTCATCATCTTCTTCTTTAGCATCCTCATCATTTCCACTTATAGGCCTGAGTCTATACATTTCTCTTTCTTTGACTTCTCTCTCTCTCTCTCTCTCTTGCTCTTACTATGGTGTCTTTCTCATCATCCTCATCATCGTATTTCTCATCTTCTGGTAAGATTAATTGAAAGGGTTTCTCCTCCTTTTCTGGTTTCCTCTTATTGGTGAAGCCAATATCATGGAGGAAAACATAATCTCTCATCAATTGCTCTGGTTTTGTGCTTGTTTTATCATCATGTGTGTTTATTTGTGATGTGACAAAATAAACTCTCAACTACCTTAACAACAAACAGTCACACACTGGAAACAACAACAATATATAAAAACATTGGAATTAAAGTGAGGGAGTGAAAAAAAATGAGAGAGAATAAAGAAAGAGAAAATTCTCTCTTATTTCTTCACACTTATCACTTTCTTCATCTTCATCATCATCATCATTATCATCCTTCTTCTCAGCCTAATCATCATCATCACTTTACTTGTATTTCTCTCTCTCTCTCTCTCTCTCTCTCTCTCTCTCTCTCTCTCTCTCTCTCTCTCTCTCTACTAACTATTACAACAGTAAATCAATATCATTGATCTAGTTTATTGATTGTTTGACCAAATTAGAGTGTGAACCTTACCAATCTGGTGTTTTACTGATTCGCCACCCAAATAACAACATGGAAAGTGATCAAAGATGATCAACATCATCATGTTGGTTATATTTCAAAGTGGACATTGGTCAGTGAGAGATTGAAAAATCGTTTCAAATCTTTGGTTAGATTTAAAGTTAAACATTCAATTGAATTACAATTGTTTGGTTAGTTAATCATTTGCAGGAAGAAAAACAAAATTTACACACTGAGTATAAAAATCAGTAGCAATTAAGTGTATCCATTTCATGACCTTAAATTATTATTACTTTTCTCATCATGATTAACATAATAATCATCACTATTTTGTTTTCATTTGCGTGAATCAAGTTAATCAATAAACTTTCTCAATGATGATGATGATCAAATGTTGATTAGTAATTGAAACACAGTCACACACACACAGAGTAACAACATAGCGTGACAATTAAATCAATTGAAATCATTTATCTGATTCTACTGGTTATTAACTTTAGATTGATTGTGATTAATGTTGTTAAATTGTCGATGATTATAATCATTAAATGTTGACCTAAACAGAAAATTATTATCAATTGATTGGATTGAGTTTTTTTCTTTTCTGAGTAAACATTACATTTCAATATAATAATTGATTTAGTTTGTATTTAGTGAGGAAAATCTTGATTAGTTGATTGAACATCGAGAGAAATTAGTTAATCATGGGAAATTAAATGAGGATTAATTTGTTTGTTGTTTTGCAAGAAATTGATTTGATTTCTTGTTGTTATTTAACTATTTTATTTGTGTCATTTTTGGATATTGAAATGAATCAATGGTTAATCAACTCAATTAATACAATGATGAGATTGCTATTTACATAAGAAACATAGTGTGTGTGTGTGTTTGGTGTTGATGGTGAGGTTTTTGGGTGTTGGAAGGGTGAGGAGAGAGAGAGAGAGAGAGTCGATGAGAGAGGAAACTAAAAATCACTTTTCACTTATTTTAGTCAAATGGTCTCCAATAAGATGCAAGTGATTGGTTTTGATTAGTTGTATCTGATGAATCGGGTGTCTCTTGTCCTGAAGGTAAAATTTGAGGTAAATCAGCTACGGTGACAGTGGAATGTAATCCAAATCTCCAATCAGCTGAGGGTAAATGTCTATGTTGATTTCCGTAGGCGTTGGTAAATGCCCGAATCTGTTGTTGATGCTGATGTTGCAAACCCCAACAAGAATTTAACACAGCTAAAGGAGTAAAAAAAGAGAATTCAAATATTAAATGAAAGAAAAACTAGAGGATAAAGAGGGAGAGAGTTCCCTGTATGAGTGAAATTCAGTGTATTTATCATCTTCATCTTCAAGCCACTGAGACTTTGGGGATGAGACAATTTGTTCATCTTCGTCTTCATCTTCATTGTAACATCCAATCAGTTTATTATCCAGTCTTCCGTTTATTTTATTACATTTTGCTTTCTACTTATCATCATTTTCATCCTCATCACTTTTTCTGCTTCCTTATCACCATCATCATCATTATCATTATTCAACAGAGGAAGATAAATTATCATCATTATCCAAGTTATTTTTTATTTACTCTTAGTTGACCTTTCAATTGATTATTATCATTACAAATGATTATCATTTGGTTGATCAATTGAAATTGGTAAATCAGTTAATCCTAATTAAATATTATTATCATTATTATTGATTAACAATGTAATTATAACACATTTATACACATGTACACATGTACGTATGTTTATAAGTTTTACAATTAATTAATTGATTGATGATAATCATTTAGATGATGATATTTGTAATAATGATAATTGATTGTTTCAAAGATGATTAAGTTCATTTGATATCATGAATGGCAAAAATTTCAACTCATATCAGTCTATAAATGAATTTTGCATAAGAAGATGAATAGAAATGGACTTACCTTGACCTGGAGGTGGAAGTATTCGAGGTAAATCAGCTACAGTTACGGCGGAATGTAATCCAAATCTCCAATCAGTTGCAGGAAGGGGGGCACATCCTCTTGGATCAAAAAGGTGGTGTCTTTGTTGATTAAAAGCATTACCAAAATAAAAGTTTGTTGTTTTACTTCTTGGTTCTCTTGGCCCATCAACAGTAACCTTGATGGCCTTGGAATAAGTAGCAACTTGTGGTGGATTTGTTGATAAAATTATGGTCAAAGTGAAACTTTTACCTCTACCCGATCTACCAACAAACCTTAGATCATTAAACTTGGCCACTTGATTTTTCATAACCGCCGAGGCATTTCTGATCTCGGGACAAAAGTTTTCATCGTTACCAGCACGTACAGTCACTACAGTACCATCGTTGACCTGACCCAAGGCGACGACCTTGAACGCAACAGGTAATGTTTTATTTGATCGCCAATGGGTTGGTAAAGCTGAACACACTAAACTTGGGCTCCCGGTTCTCACGAATTCCCCGGGAAATCCATCGATTATTTGGGTTAGAAAACTTTCTCCTTCGGGAAACATCACCGAGTCACAGAAAAATCTTAAACTACATCAACAAGTCCAATTCAAAGAATAAGATTAAAAATATTCTCTCAATTCTCTCAGTTGCAATTGAATAAACTCTTCATGCGCATGCGCAATTTAGACTTCAAACTATTGCCCTCGTGTCTCCATCTCTTGGAAGTTTTCCAACCGATTAACTTTTGTTGAATTCGCAAGGCGGTGCAAGTGTCCGTCAGCTCGAAATTTTCACTTCGAGCCGATTTTTTCTCAGCTTATGGTCACAGCTAAACACGAAAATGGGCTTAATTGTACAATTCGTAATTTAAAGTGAAATCAGTTTGTCAATTTTAATGATACATCACTAAATTAGTCTACAAATAATCAATTAGATTGTTAAGGTGAAAAGCAATTGAAATTAGAGACTCAGCTGATTGTTGATTTTACTCTTGACTTACGCACTTGACCTGGAAAAGTGAAAGTAATGGATCAACATTAACCCATTAAATGTTAAACCAAACTAATTATCATTAACCTGACCCGGGGTGGTTTGGATTATGATGACGATCATTATGATTGGTTTATTTTCTGGTTTAAATTGTTATTTTGAACAGAAAAACAACTTTTTTCAAAATCCAAACAACTGAAAGTTTTTCCTCTAATCTTAAAAAACGACATTCACTTGATTGTCAATTGTTAAAACTTTTGTTTTTAGTTTACAATTTAACTTGATTGTGGAAACATTAGCTCTTCAATTGTTTAATTATCATCACCATAATCACGGTTACTTTCCAGCTATTAATTTGATCAACAAGTCAAGGAAAAAACAAATCACCAAATATGAAAGTTTTCTCATCTTCAATTGTCTTTGTCTTTTTAATTGTAACAATTACAATAAATGAAACCACTTCACGACCACAAAATGTTGGAGTTAATATTCCGTAAGTTCTAATTGTTGTTCAGTCTTCATCTTCAATTAATTGATTGTTGATTTTCATTTAGATTTTTTCATTTCCATTGAGAAACTAAACTCTTTTGTGTTTTCTTAAGTAAATTGTTTCATTTGATCCACTAATTGTTGGTTTTATTGTTTATCCTTTTTCTCAGCGGAATTTTCAACATGAACAATGGGAACGACGAATATGGATCTGGACTTGGAATCGATGTGCTCGGTGGTCTGGTTCGGGTCGGTGTTAATCGGAATCGATTCAATTACGGTCGAGATGTTGGTGTTTCCATTGGTTGATCTTTGTAATTCCACTGATTGTTCATCTCAATTTTTCAGCAATTTAACGACGAGTAACAATCAGTCAATCTTCTTTTTAATATCTTTTTTGTCTTTTCAATGTCTCTTTTTCCATTTCTTTTCAATCGTATTGATTGACAATTAAAAAACTAATTTTCTCCTTCTGGTATTAGAGGAAAATAGAATCTAATGCCAATAGATGGAGACCTTGTTCTAATTTCTTGCTCTCTGTGGTTTTTGTTTATTTACCGGTGAAAATGTTTGACTGAGTTTCTAGATTGTTTATAATTAGATTAATTAGATTAATTTGATAGTCTTTTTTTAATTTTGTTTCTTCATGTTAACCTGTTTAGTTGATAGAATTTGAATTATAATCTTGACTTGTGTTGGTTCCGTTTTGAAATAATGGTTGTGATTGTGAGTCAATTTCCAATACCTGAAGGTAAAAGTGGTCAAGAAATTGTTGATCGTTTAATTAAACAATTTGAATCGATGCAATTCCAACGTGTTGGTAACTTTGTCGTTGATTGTGAAACGTATTATTCAGCACCAATCATCAATCCACCCAGAGTATTGAACATTATCCACAACTCCGAATATCCTGCCACATGTTTTGCTCAACTTGATACTGGAACCATTTTGAGAGCTGATTCATATTTCGACGCCATGATGGTTGTCATGAATGGTGTTTATCAAGCCAAGAGAGGAAATAAGATTGAATGTAAAGGACCCAAATTCCAGAAAGGTGATTTCATCGTTAGAATTGGATCTGTTTCTATTGGCCCTTCTTTCAGAGGGATTCTTGTTGAGATAGAGTATGGACCCTGTTCTGTTCCCATTTACTGTTGGGATCTATTGAAAGAATTCATTAAAACATTCATGAGAGTTCCTAAAGAACCTCCTCCATATTACAAGGTATTTAGAAGATGACTGATGATCGAACACAATTGACTCGAAGCGAAAACAACAATCAATTTGCTTCGAAATCCAGAATCAGAAAGAAATGAGTAACTTTTAGTTTTTGTCTTTTCTTTCCCACAGAACCGAATGACTGATGTCTGCACTCCGGTTGATACCATTTCTCAATACAATATTCATTTCTCCAATTATCGGAAGATGACACTGATTAGTTCATGTCCACCACCCAATCCATCAGCACCGAAAGGTCCAAATAATAACGATGGCAATCATAATGGAAACAGTGGCGATCAAAACAAAAGTCAACCCGGTGATGGATCAACAAGTGAAATAATTATCGCCAATGTGTAAAAATTTACATTTAATTTTTAGCTTCCTTTCAGGTGGTTTTAGCTTCAATTCACTTAATCGATTTATATTAATCTCTTTAATATTTCTTGATGATAAAACTCTTAAACCACTTTACTCTCAACTCTTTTTCCGCGATCATATCGTCAAGTTTTATCCTTTTGATTTAATCCTTCGACTTGGATTAGAATGGATTAAGTGTGTTAAATAGTTGATGTTCCACCAGGAAGATGCTAAATTCTGCTCATGTGCCATTTCGCTTTTCTTGTCTCCATCGAGACAAACTTCTCATTTGTTTACATTTTCAATCAACAACCACTTGTTTATTTTGATTGTTTTTGTTTAATTTTTTTCTTTTAAATTGTGAAAAATGTTAAATTCCAAAAGTGAAAAACTTCTTTACAAGACTATGGGTTACAGTAACGATAACAACCCATTTGGTGACTCGCAACTACTACAACCACTTGTATGGGGTAAAAAATGTCCTGGTCACAAAAAAATGAATGAGAGTAAATTGAATGAATTAAAAAAAATGAAAAAAAATCGTGAGGAACGAGAAAGAGAGAGAGAGAAAAGAGCCACCGAAATGGAGGACAGACAAAGAGATGCTGAAGCTTCAAAATTCAGAAGCTACAATGATAATGAAGACCAATTTGTATTCAAACAAGCGAATCTCCGATCAGGTGTCCGACTGAATGAGGGTCGACCAAAAACAATTGATGTTCTAGTTGAGTACATCAACATTTTCAACGATGGACAAGGTGGTCAAAATTTGGTCGAACCTTATAATTTACTTAATGGTTTGCGAATCACCGATCTGGAAGATCTCCTAGCAGATATCAAATTGTACAAAAAATTTGACATTGAAAATCTCGATTATTGGACCGATCTGGAGATCATTGTAAATACCGAAATAAAAAAACTTCATCTGTCATCATCAACAGGTATTCATCCAACCGTTGCCGCCGATGCTCATAAGATTCTTGATGGTAAAACACATGAGCAACTTGGCCACTTAATAATAGAAATTAAAAAAAAAATGGACAATGATCGTGGTGTGATTGACATCACCTATTGGGAATCTCTTTTAGAAAAGCTCCAATCGATGATGGCACGAGCTCGTCTTCACGAAAAACACCAACAATTAATAGTGAAAATGAAGACAAATCATCTTCAAGATGAAGGTGACCAAAGTGAAAAAGATGTCGATGATGATTCCATTTCTGCTGAATCTTGTGACAAAGATTATATGGACAATGGCTATTCCCCGGAATTGTCAAGTGGATTTGACCTTGATTCCAATTTAATCGTCAATCCAGTCGACGATTTTTATGACCTTGAACGTGCCCGTCGATTTGTTTCACAATCATCTTCATTCATCGAACCAACAAATGAAGGTATCCTTAGGATTGAAGAAACCACCATCCAAGATCCAGGGATCTCATCTTGGTGCGATAAATATCGGCCTCGAAAACCGAGATTTTTCAATAGAGTTCACACTGGTTTCGAGTGGAACAAATATAACCAAACCACTACGACATCGACAATCCACCTCCCAAAATTGTCCAAGGATACAAATTTAATATATTTTATCCGGATCTCATCAACAAAGGTCAAGCACCGACCTACATTGACCACTTGTCAGGACAACAAAGATTTTGCCATCATTCGTTTTAAAGCTGGTCCACCATATGAAGATATCGCCTTCAAGATCGTCAATCGAGAATGGAATTATTCCCATAAAAGTGGCTTCCGATGTCAATTCATCAACAACATTCTCCAGTTATGGTTCCATTTTAAACGGTATCGATACCGAAGATGAATTAATTTCAAATTTGTATTTTCGACAATCAGTGGAAATGATCCAGTTTATTGATTAAAATAAAAATCATCAAAAAGTTGAACCACTTGTTTGTGGATTATTTTTTCAATTACTAATCAATTTCTTTTTCTCATAACAGATTAACATCTTACATCAATATAAAAAGTTATTTAGATGATCGATGTCTCCGAGATCCTGGAATTGAAGGTCGTGGTTTGTAAAGATCAGCTTCATCATACCTTTGAGAGCTCGATAAATCACTTCTAGTTCAGCGCATACAAGTGATTTATCAGATTTCGATGATGTTCTTCTAGTGTTGAAGAAGCTGAAGATATGAAACAAGAGATGAATGATGTTGAAGGAAAGGTAGTACAAAGTGAGGTTAAAATCGATACTGAAATTAAGATTAAACGAGAAAATATATCAGCTTCTCAGGTTAAAGAAGAGATTGAAACAATTAAAGTTGAAGACTCTGGTACAATAATTAAAGATCAGAAGCTAAATGAAGATGAAGCAACAGATAAAACCAATCAAGTCGTAAATAAGGTGACCGATAAGGCGATAGATGAGAATAAAAATCGGACACAAATCGAAACAAAGAAACGTAAAGAACCAGAAAAAGAACCAGATCCTTGGGGCGATGAAATTGTTCAGGTCAAACCAAAATTTGAGATAATCAAGTCAACACCCGAAGCTCCCGTTTTCGATATAAGAGCAAGAGGCAAAGAAGCGATTTGTTTGACTCCCGTGAAGGTGCTCGTTTTTGCTGATTAGTCGATTGACAATTATGGATTGAATGAATATTCATAATTTCCTTTTTAAAAATGATCAATCATTTTAATAATTTTTTGATTTTCGGTTGATTTTTTGTTTCCATTTGTTAAATTATACAATTATCATTGTCTCTTAGCATTTTTCTGGTTAACATCAACAATTAACATTATGTGTATTTATGGCATCTCGAAAATAAGAAGAACAATTTGTTAAGAGAAAGAAAATAAATTGATAGTTAAATTTTTCTTCTTTCTCTCTATTTCAATTTGATTATCATTCTCAAAGGAGAAAAAAACTTGATAAAATTGATTACCTTCTTCAAATTTTCTCAAGTAGAATTAATTAAGATATTAACGAATATTTTAAATGATAACCAGACTAGATGAAAAGAGGCAAAAGATTTAGTAAAGGGTTAAAGGTAACAACAGAATTAAAAGAGACAATGAAGATTTTTGTTTGATTTTTTTTTCATGAATTCGAAAGAAAAGGAAAATAGTTCATTTTCGAAATCATTTCGACTTATTTAACGTTAAGAACTTTTTTAACTGCTAAAACAACATCGGTCGCTTGAGGGATCGCATTTATTTCTAATGATTGGGTGTATGGCATTGGAACATCGACTCCGGTCACTCTAACAACAGGAGCATCAAGATAATCAAAAGCTGGACCTGGTGAAAGAAATTAAGAAAACACAATTAGAATTCAAATCATTCAGTCAATCATCTGATTCTAAACTTACTTTCCACTATTCTTGCACATATTTCTGATCCAATACCAGATTGAGGCCAACCTTGTTCAACGGTAACTAGATGATTTGTTTTCATCACTGATTGGATAATAGTTTCCTCATCCAAAGGTCTAAGTGATCGTAAATTAATTACTTCACATTCAATTCCAGCACCGGCAAGTTCCTTGGCAGCATCTAAACTTGTCCCCACGGCTTTAGAATGAGCAACTAAGGTAACATGAGTTCCCTGTCTTTCAATTTTAGCCTTTCCAATGGGTAAGGTAAAATCGGGTGATAATGCTTCATCTGGAGTATCGAAAGCAACACCATACAATAATTCATTTTCAAGGAAAATCACTGGATCAGGATCTCTGATGGCAGATTTCAATAAACCACGACAATCTTCAGCTGAATAAGGTGAGATAACTTTAAGACCTGGACAGTGACTATACCAGGCTCCGAAACACTGTGAGTGTTGAGCAGCGACACCAGAAGCTGCACCATTAGGACCACGAAAAACAATTGGTACAGCAACCTAAACATAGTGAGAGAAAAGAGAAATAGAATTAAATAAATATATTAATACCTTTGAACGTCATCAAACGATTTATATAATTGATATAATTGTTTGATCAGCAGAAAAAATCTAAGGAAATTGTCTCACCTGACCAGCAGACATGTAGAAAGTTTTACCCGCCGAATTGATTATTTGATCTATTGCTTGCATAGCAAAGTTGAAAGTCATAAATTCACAAATCGGCCTAAGACCAGCCTAAGAGGAAAGAGAAACATGATAATTAGTAAAAGGAAATGTTATTTATACTGGAAGGGTAAAGAAAAATTGATCAAAATGATGAATGATGAATGAAGAAAATAATCTTTCATATCTATTAATATATAGAAAGATTTACACATAAGAGATTACGAATCTTCATCAAGGTCAATCTAACATCAATCACTTCTCGATCATTCATCAATCATCCATTTCATGTGAGAATTAGTATTGATACCATAGCAGCTCCAACAGCTATTCCAGCGAAACCCATCTCGGTAATCGGTGTATCAATAACTCTTTTATCACCATATTTTTTCCATAGACCTCGGGTTACCTTGTAGGCTCCATCATATTGAGCAACCTCTTCGCCCATGATGAAAACCTTTTCATCTTTTTCCATCTCCTCATCCATTGCTGAATTAAGGGCATCACGAACAGTTAATTTAGCTTGGGCAACACTTGTAACACTTAATCCTCTCCGGGAGATGAGTAAATTTCCATTGAAAGGTTTAAGATTATGTTTTAATAAAGATAATAATCTACTATTAACCTTGTCCATCTTTGTTGATAAAGAGAAAAAGAGGAAAAAAATTAACAACCAACGAGAGAGAAAAAAAATACACAAACAAACAAACGAAACTATGGAATTAAAATCAACACTCTACTTTGTGTTTGAAGAATTAAACGAAGGTTTTCGAGTTAACAATCAATTACTAATTAAATTGGAACGGGAAATATAAAAAGGAAAATAATAACAATTAAATTAAAAAGAGTAACAATCAACAATCAACAAAACCAAAGAGAAGAAAAAATTGTAACCCGTATTAGTTGATAATCTCTCCAAGAGATGGCAGCATATCAGTGCGAACAAAAATCAATCGATTTTTTTTATTTTCAAAAGAGAAAAAATTTTCCTTCAACTAATCAACTTTCCAAGTGTTTTAATGGTTCCTTTTAACAATTAACTAATTGAGGAGTGACAATCGTTTAAATTTGATTAACGGTAGGTAAATGATGGAGAATAGAATAGAATTGAATTGGAGTTGAATCTTTGTTAGATTGTCCAAATAATTCAAATGGAATTTTTTTTTTCTATTTTCTCTTCCCAGGTAACGATAAATATTCTCTTCTTTTTCTTTTCCTGTTGCAACTCCAGGAACATGGAGGTTATTTACTGTTGTTTATTTATCCAAACGAAGAAGGAGGAGAAAAAGGTGAAAGGGCAATAGACGATGGAGGAACAAGGTAAATAGTGAAGAAAATTATGATTTTGTTTACATGTGAACAAAGAAAGAGAAAGAGTTAAATCCAAATAGGAATCGTTTTTATAGATAAAAATGAGTTTTCATTTTGGTAAGAATATGAAAAGAGAAAAGAATAGAAAAGTGAAAATTTCGAAAGAGAAAATGAGATGTTGAAAGTACAAAAATGATCAATAGAGAGCAGCATGTAAATAGTGAATCATGGTGATATTATCCACAGGAATAAAGAGAGAGAGAGAGAAAAGAGAGATGAATATAAGAAAAGACAGAGAGATGACTTGAAATTGCTTGTGCTCTCCATTGATATGATGTCTATTGGTGAAGCTTGAGATGAATTTTTTTTTCTCGCCTGTGTACATAAAAGTGGTTCAAAAGTGATTATTATTATTATACTTCTACTTATTATTATTAGTATAATTATTGTTATAAGTGTTTATTATTATTGTTGTTGGTATAAAAATAATTCTGTGAACAATAATCCACACCGTTCAATCAAAATGATAGGAGGAGGTGGTGGTGGTGGAAGTGCAAGTGGTCCTGGTGGTGGTGGAGGTGGTGGTATTGTAAGTAGTAGTAGTTGTAGTACAAGTAGTAATCAAGGAATCAGTGGTGTTATTGTTACTGGAGGAAGTGGTAGTGCCAGTGGTGTTGGTGGACCAGAAGGATCAACATCACCAACAACTGAATTTACACCAGAATATGATCAATATGGACATGGACATTATTTTACAAAGAAAACATTTCATAAACCAACTTATTGTCACCATTGTACCGATATGTTATGGGGACTTATTGGTCAAGGATGTATATGTGAAGGTGAGCCCAGTGGTGTGCCCATTAGATAATACTATCAACCACTCCTCTCACTTCAATAAACACACACACACACACACACACACATACAACATAATCTATTGTCAGAGTGTTTAAACTCCCTTCATGTGTCTACATCCCCTCCCAACAAACAAACGCATTCATATTAGTACATTTATATTATCGTCGTATTGATAGTGTGAAGAGTGTTCATAAAGTGCTGAGGAGGAGGTGGAGGTAGAAAGTGATGATGGGAGAAAATTGATGAAATTAATATTCTTCTCCATCCAAGAAGAATCATCTTATCAAATTCTCTCTCATCAAAAGAAGCGTCTTTATATCTATTCTCAATTTAGAATATAAATTATTTACAATATCTGTTCTTCTATTAATTATGAATTTTCTTCTATTCTTTTTCTTTCTCTTCATTCTCTCTCATCAATATCTTCACCATCATCTATATCATCATCATCATCATCATAATCACAATTATCTTCAATTATTTTCTCTCTATCTAATTATTGTTTCTTTTTATTTCTGATTTACCTTTGATTTAATTTCTTCTTCTTTTTCGTTATTTTCTTTTGATTTTTTATTGTTTACCTGATTGATATTCGCATTTATTATTATCATTTTGTTGTATTTTCTATTCTATCGTTATTTATTTATCATTTTAATTACACTAATCATCATGATGTAATTATCTTCTTCTGTTAACCATTAATTATTGGTGAATAATTGTAGTGTGCAATTTTGTAGTACACGATCGATGTCTCAAAACTGTTGTTTCTCCCTGTTCCACAATAGCCTCAAATGTAATTAAGGTAAGTTCGTAACCCAAATTAATTTAGTGTAACAATTAGAAGAAAAAAACTCCACAAGATGGAAAAGTAATACGTTAGTAAATCTGCAAGAAGAAATTGAAAAAAAAATCACAGTTACATGCACATAATAATTTTCTACCCATTGACATCTAAAAATCTACCGTTAGTTATTTATCTTTGTCACCATCTTCAACCTTATCCTCATCTTCTCATCATATGATCATGTTCAGATATAATTCAGATGAACAAGATCAAATAAACAATCATCCTCATCATCTAGATGATGAGGATGATTTTCTTCTTTCTTCTTATTCATAATATTTTATGCGCAAGTAGTACTACTTTTTTTTCCTCTTCCTCTTCCTCATCCTCCCCCTCCTCCTCTTTCGCCCTCCTTTGCCTTATCCTCATTATTGTTATGTCTATTTTGAGAAAGTTGAAACAGGGGAGAGAGAGAGAAAAGAGGTGAAAGGAGATGGTGGCAGTGGGAAAACTAGAGAGAGAGAGAAAGAGATTGTCTATTATATCATGTTGTATCAATGAATTTTCTGAATCCAGGTCACTTGAATCAGCTGATGAACTTTGGGAATGACGTCAATGGGAAAAAGGATGAGGCGAAGTTTATTTTAGGCTTTTTTTCCAGGTTAAGGTTTTCATCTCTATTAAACTCTCTCCCCTTCCCACCCTCTGTCTCTCTCTCTTTCTCTTTCTCTATCATCTCGAGTATTTATCATCATCTTTGTAGTTCAAGCAAAAAATGTTCATTAGTAACTCTTAGAGATGATGGAGAAATTTTTTTTCTCAATCAATGGTGTAAGGATCATGATATGGATCAAGTTGAGGATCATTTTGCTCAATGTATTTATAATCATTCCTTCATCTTCCTTGAATCTTTTCCTCTCTCTCTCCTTCCTTTCTTTTTTGAATTATCAGTTGTAAAAATTTCTCACCCAAATAATAATCGTAGTAACCAAGAAAAATCATCTTCATGGTAATAAATAGTTGAGAATGAAAAATGTTTCTCTTTTTAGATCAACTTGAAACTCTATTATTGATTTTTTACTATTTTTAATGAATGAATGAAATTTTATTGTATCAATGAGGTTAATGTTCATGTTTATTATTAACATTTTACTTTTACTCATCCACTGATTAACTAATCATATCAAGACTGAAGGTAATTGTTACCACTCAATACATTTGTTATCACCAGTAAATCATTAGATTTGAACAATGTTATTAAACGTTTGATTTTTACCATTAATTGTGTGAATGTTTGGTTAATGAAATTAGGTTAACCCTGGATTATATTGTGTTGTTATTATTATAATCATTTTGGTACAACAATTAACAAGAAAAACAAAATATAACAATTTACTAATAATATTTGCACACTTAATCATTTACAATAATCAAATCAAATGATAAATTATTGTTTTATCCATTTAAATGTTACTCGAAATCAACTGTTTCTCTGTTGGAATCGACAAGTTTTTTCTTATTTTTCTCAACTAATATTTCCAATTTTAGAATTTTAATTGTTCGAATTTTTTTTTCATAATCTGTTCGTTGTCACCCAATAGAATCCAGTTCCCCATTGTTGGTCTGATGTCGGACATTTTAAGAGAAAATTTTGCAACGTTTGTCGAAAACGAATCGAAGATCAAAGTGCAGTTCGATGTGAAACTTGTGAATATTGTGTTCACTTAGAATGTCAAGATTTCAGTGTAGCCGATTGTAAAGAATGTGCCACTTATATTCCTGATCAAGAACTGGTAAGTTAATTGTAACAATTAAAATTCGCTTTTCGATTGATAGCAAGCGAACGGCGAAAAAAAAATCTAATGGGAAAAAAATTCGAATCATTTTTTTCTCGATTATCCTTTTTGTTTTATATAATTTCTCACTTTTCTTATTTTTTTTTCTCTCTCTCCACTTTTTCCTTTTCTATTTCCGTTTTCCTGTTCCTGTTTTTCTCCAGCCAAAAGTAGTACAATTTCACCATTGGAGAGAAGGTAATCTTCCTCCTAACTCTAAGTGTCATTATTGCCGTAAATCATGTTGGTCAGCTGAATGTCTCGCTGGTATGAGATGTGAATGGTGCGGATGGACGGTAAGTTTGACCCTTTTTCCAAATTCAATATTATCCCGACACATTATTGACCTTTTCTGACCTTTTCCTTTTTCTCTAGGCTCACGCAATTTGTTATAAACAATTAAATCCAGAATGTAATTTTGGTCTAGTCCAGAGTATAATGTTACCACCATATTGTGTTAGCATCCCTCGAACCGATGTACCATTGGAAACGATCATCGGGTTCAAAATCGTAAAAAAGGCGAAAATGTAGCCCGTAAGTTTAGTAAGTGTTGTAAACGATTGTTAATTGTTGTCCAAATCAATCCCACTCTTCCCTGTCAACTAAACCTATTGATCAACACGCACGAAGTATTATTTAATTATTGTGTAATTACGATGTCATATTAGCCAAAAAACTGTCTTGATTAAATTGGTTCTTCTTTTTCTTTGATTATTTAGCTCGAAGTAGCTCTGAAGAGTTACCTGGATCTGACCAGAGGACAAAATCCGAAGCCGAAGAGTATCCATCACCTAAGGATAAAGATAAAGATGAAGGTATTGTTTACCTTTTCGATTTAGAAAAGACCCAAATTATTAACAGTTAATTGTTTAATTCTAATTACACAGAGGTAGTTAAAATCTACGATGGTAATGCTTCAATGAAACGAAGTACATTCCGGACAATCACCATCTCACGAAGTGCAAACAAGGAACAGATCATAGCGGCCGCTCTTCGAGCTTTTCATATTCACGATGATCCCAAACACTATATTATAACCGATTTTTATGGTAAATTAAGTTCGACAACTTTTTATTCTCTTAATTCTTAATTGTTTACGTTTGAATTTCTCCTTGATAATAGATCCAAATGAGAAAGAATTATGTGATTTTATGTCGATACCCAGTTTAACCAGGAAAGAGGGCAAAAGGCCTGGTATCTTTTTTAGGTTTCGTCCACCCAATTCCTCACAAGGAACCATTCGAGTCTATCCTGGGAAACTTAAGTAAGTTAATCGTCATCATCAAGTGATTAACAATCAATCAAAGTGATCAAACAATTTCCTTTGGTTTTCCAACTGTTTTCCTGACAAATTTGACATTTTTCATACTAGTAAATTCAAAATAATCAACATGCAATCAACTGATTAACTGATCATGTTTATCTAATCATTTGATTTTCCAATTTGATTTTTAGGTTATTGATCAATTTTAATTTCTCCAATGAAAGAATTGAGTTTTTGATTGATTATCTAATTTCAATATTTATTTTCCTCCTTTCATAATCATTGTAATTTAAATCTCTAATTGTTTCTTTTTTTATCTTTGATTAATTGTTATTTTTTGCAGCGTTTTCGTTAACGATACTTATTGTGTGATACCTGTAACTGATGATACAACAGTAGAGGAAGTAATTAAATCATCATTAGAAAGATTTGGTTTGGATCCTAAAGATATAAACAGATATCGCCTTGTTGAAGTTTCCTTAGAGAAAGGAGGTAATTATGATTAACTTAATTGGGTAAACAAACGTGATCCAATTTACTAATTGTTATCTTGGTAAATTTTATCCAACAATCAGCTGTCCATGAAAGGACAATGGATAATCAAGAAAGTCCCTGGGAGATAATTAAAAACGTAGCAAGAGTAAGTTTATCATATAGAATTTTAATATTTTATTTTACGATATTAGAAAATTACTAATAATATTTGTTTTAATTGTTCTCCAATTATCATAGGAATCAGTTCGTCAGAAGGAAAATACTCGATTCTATCTACAAACCAAAGACGAAGTGTACTGTTCAAATGTGGCCATTTTCGTCGGCAATTTACCTCCGAATTTGCCCCAACGTCATTACGAGAAAATCCTTGTTGATGTTTTAGGAAAACGTAAGTTTACTAGAAGGAAGAAAATTTTGTTAAATTCTGTTACTAATTATCAACAATTATCTTTGATTATGATGAAAATTTTCAGCTTATAAATACCGTTCAGTTGGTCCAATTTACTACGAATATGGATCGTTAATTATAACCTACGATAATGCCGATATCGCTGTAAAAGCTTTTTATATGTTACGAGAAACGGTTTATGATGATAAAAATTTACTTGTCCTTTTATTACCAAATATTGTCGCCGATATGGTTCCCACCGGAGTTAGGGTAAGTTAATTAGGTTAATTGTGATACGAAAAAGAATATCATTTAATTGTTAATTGCTCCTTTTTTTTCCAGCCTCTATTGGTTTTTGTTAACGTTAAAAGTGGTGGTTGCCAAGGATTAGAGTTAATCTCAGCATTCCGTAAATTGTTAAATCCTTATCAAGTTTATGATTTAGAAAATGGTGGTCCACTTCCAGGGTAATTAACTCTTAATTGTTGTTAATTGTTTTCTTTTTTTGCTCTGTGTTTTCTAATTGTTGTTGTTATCCTTTCATCTCTTCAGGTTATACGTTTTCCGTTGGGTTAAAGATTATAAAATTTTGGTCTGTGGCGGTGACGGAACCGTTGGTTGGGTGTTACAGTGTTTAGATAATGTCGGTCAAGACTCAATTTGTCAATCACCTCCATGTGCCATTGTCCCTTTAGGTACTGGTAATGATTTGGCTCGAGTACTTCGATGGGGCTCAGGTTATACTGGTGCTGAAGATCCGATGACCCTTTTAAAAGATGTCATCGAAGCGGAAGAGATTAGATTAGATAGATGGACAGTGGTCTTTCATACAGATGAACCAGCGCCCAAACAGGAAGATAAACCTGGTTTACCTGGTAATCAAACGGGAGCCTCTGAAGATAATACTGCAATCTATGTGATGAACAATTATTTTGGTATCGGTATTGATGCTGATCTTTGTCTAGGTTTTCATATTGCCAGGGAAGAGAATCCAGATAAATTTAATTCCAGGTAAATAAGAATAAGAATAATAATAATAATAATGATAATCATTGTCAATGGGAAACTAATTGTTTGCAATTTACTTTCCATAGACTTCATAACAAAGGTGTCTATGTAAAAATGGGTTTAAGAAAAATGGTTACTAAGAAAACATGGAAAGAGCTTCATAAGGAAATCAGGGTTGAAGTTGATGGTAAATTAGTTAATTTACCTCCGGTTGAAGGGATTATAATTCTTAATATACTCAGGTAAGAATTTAATCTTGTAGAAATTTGATTGTTGTCATGATTAATCTTATTTTTGATTGTTACAGTTGGGGATCTGGTGCCAATCCTTGGGGTCAAGAAAAAGATGACCAATTTTCAAAGCCTACACATTATGACGGGATGCTTGAGATCGTCGGTGTAACTGGAGTTGTACATATGGGTCAAATACAGAGTGGCCTTCGAAATGCCATTCGAATCGCTCAGGGTGGACATGTAAGCAAATAAATATATAGATTATATTGAATTTCTAACAATCAACTAATTTACTTTTGTCTGTGTAGATTAAAATTAGGATAAACACTGAGATGCCTGTTCAGGTTGATGGTGAACCTTGGATTCAAGCTCCTGGTGAGGTTGTGGTACTTAAATCAGCTCTAAAAGTAAGTAGTCAATGAATTACTATTAATTATCATTTGATTGATTGTCTTTTCTATTAATTAATTGTTGAACAATTAGGCAACTATGCTACGGAAAACAAAAATGAAACGTCGTAACACTGAACCTGCCCTATCCGCCTCAGAAAAATCCTCCGGTGAAAGGTCATCTGTAGCTTTAGGTGAAAAATCGTCCATCAGTGAGCGTCCAGATGAGTAAATCTAATTGTTAATTAACGATAATTAATAATAATTATAAATAGATAATAATAATAATCATCAATACTACTACTAACAATGAACCACTTTCATCAACAACAACAACAAGAAACCACCACCACTAACTACAATTAACGCCAACCCATTAAATCAACAACCATTTTGATTATATATTATCAATTGTTGCTTAATTAATATGGTTAATTGCAACAATTTAACTTAATTCACTTGGTATTTAAATGATAATATCAAGATGGACAATTAAGGAAATGAAATCCTTTTTTTTTATTCAATGTAAATCAAATTGACATCATCTTTCATCATCATCATCAATCGTTAATCAACAACAATTTAATTGACAACTTTGATATTGATATACTTAAATTAATCAAAAATCACCCACTCATTGTAATCATCATCATCAACTTTCACATCTTCATCATAATTCATGATTAACTTTATCGTTCAACAATTAAGATCATCAATGATTCGAGGACTTGGCTCCAATTAACCAAAATTTTTAATTGTAAACAATTAAAACTTTGCCAACTCTAGTCAAATTAACATTTTTTTCACCAGTTGCTTAATCAACACAAAGATGATTAACTAATCATCATCTTAACAACTGAATTGAAAAGTTTTCACATTTTTTGTTTTCTTTTTGTAAACTCAACCAACTTAATTAATGGTAACAATTAAGGAATCATTGTAATCAGAATTAACTTTTTACTTTCTGATTCTTCCCTCTGATCATATTAATTATCATCATTCCAGATCTAAAATAACAATACAAACACAATTAAGGAATTAATTGGATTGAAAATTTTCTAATCAGTTAATCCAAATCTCCAAAAATCCCCACTTGTTAATCATCGTAATCAATTTTAATTATTGTGAGATTAATGGACAATTAACTTTCAACGTTTTCATATGAAACCAGAAATCAAATGAACTTTTCAAATTGTGTCCAAACTTTTTCTGCTTTTTCCTGATTAACTGGATTAACAACAACAATTAACATAATGATCATCATCAAGAGACAATTAAATTAATTGTGATTTGGGGGATAAACAATTTATATATATAAATATGTACAAAAAAATCAAATCACACACATCAAAATCTTAATAGTAATCATTTTGTTTCTCCCTTTGTATCATAATCTAAATTGTTAGTGGTGATAATTAACGCAATTAATTAATTTCTGGTTTAACCATTTTCTATATCAGTGCTTCTATGTGTGTAAATCGCAAATCATCATTCATAATCATCACAATCAACTTTAATTTGGTTTACGTTTATTTCATTTTCATTTTCTAGTCAACACAATTAACTTTATCTCTTCCACAATTAAGCCAACAAGTTAACCATCAACAATTAATGTGATCTACTTACTAATTAATCATCAATCAATTTCTAGTCTCTCTCTCTCATCAACCTGATCAACATCAACAATTAACTTTGTCAAGAAATTCAACTTAAAGGAATCAAGATTTAATTGCAATTGGAAAAAAATTTCTTCATCTAATCATCGTCATAATTTTAATTGTTCTACAACAATTAAACTGATTTAATTTCTTAGCTATTTATAAGCAACAATATCAATCTAACTGATCAGCAATCAATTGATTTTGTTACAATTTGCTACTCTAATCAACACATTTTAATTATGATTGCTGCCAACAATTAACAAGGGAGAATGAGACACAAACAATTAAACTAATTTCACCAGTTACGACGATGAAAAGAAGCAATTTAAATCGTTGGACCATTGATTTAATTGTGAATTTAAACAACAACAATCAAGAGAGGAGATAAAACTAAATTATTGATCATTAGTTAATTTACAATTTGATTAATTTAATTTAAATGAAACTAATTTATTTAACAAACCTGATGATTAAGCTATAAGAGAGTCCAAATTTTTAATTACTGTCTATTTAATTTTAATTTTCCAGTAGATGATTTCACATGAAAATTTTACCAGCAAACTGATTAACATTAATTAACTAATTGCAAATGATTAACTCTAACAATTAATCCCAAAAAATTAACTCTGATTACTTTGCAAAATGTTTGCAAAGTGTAGTTTCAATTGTATGTCTTTAAAACGGACAAATTTTAATCAACTCACCTAAATATATTTAATCAATTAATCACAATAATTAGTAACTTAAACAACAATCAACAGCAATTAAAGGGCAGAAATTATGATTTAACTTTGATTATTAACCAGAAACAAAATTCAGGTCGTTTTTTTTATCCACCACGACGATTTCACTGAATATCTCGACAATTAAATGTCACATGAATGTCAAACTTGACCAGAGGACAAACAGAATTAAAGAACTCGACCTTACGATTTTCAAGGTCATTGAGGTCATTTCCCCAAGAACACGTTGATTGGTCATCTTAAAACCCTTTCATCACAGTAAAGTTTAATTTCTAATTGTCAATTGCAAAGGTTGATTGTTGTTAGAGGTTTGGAAATGTTTTTTTTAATTCCCTTGCACAAGAATCACAATTTATCATCGCAATCAAATCAATCACACCAACAAATGTACAATTAAACTTAACAATTAACAGCTCAATTTCAAATCTCTGATGCTTAATCAAATAACTGGTTTAATCGATAAACACACACACACCAAAGACAATTAACTAATTAGCTGCCACTTTACAATTAACTGATTGTTTTGAAAAGAGATTGAAGATTTTTTTTTCTTATTAAATTTTAATTTCCTTGTTAATTTAAATACACTTCTTTGTACCAGACTTAATTCTGGAAACTGAATCAGTAAATGACTTTGATCATCATCAACCATCATTCATCAATTTAATCATCACAATTTGTTAATCATCATCACGATAATCACACTGAAAACTGATTTCTCTTAATTTTTATTCAAAAAACAAAACGAAACAATTTTTATGTTGATAAAATCTCTGATTAAACAACTGAATCAACTCCCCTCCCCTTAATCCTGTTGATTAAGAAAATTAATTACTGTTAATTACCCTGATTATAACTATGTAAGGTGTGATTGGTGCAAACACCAAACCTTAATTGTTTTTAATTTTATCAATTGTAAACTTTTTTCCCTTCAACTATTATTTTTATTACTCTCCTTTTCTTGATTTGTTGATTGATTATGTAGATCATCAAGTTGATTTTCACCAACAATTTAATTCTGATGATCAAAAAACAATCAATGACTGAATTGAATCTCAACCGTTAACTTAATTTACTTATGATTTCTCTCTCTCTCTCTCACTTGATCAATTTAATTGTATTATTATCATTATCTAGTTACCAGATTATCCGATTAAGTTAATCACTGGATTAATAGATATTTTTCCTCTTCTTCCTGTAATTAATTTGATTCCTTTATCTCCTGTTGCTTAAATTGCACTATTGTGCCATCCATGATTATGATACAATTACATTAATTGATAAATATAAATGATCATTTAAATTGTCACCGAGTAGTTAACTTGATTGACAATTAAACTTAGAATAAAAATTATTCCATAAAATTGAATTCATTTGATTATCTCCTTTTCTTTTTAATTGTTAAAAGGAATTATTATCAATAGAACGTCGGGATTAATTGTTTTGCTTATTTCGTTTTATTAATTTGCAGAAAATACCATAACCAAATATACAGCCAAAGACTTTGAGTTGGCAACCACTTGTTAAATCATTCACGATAATCAAGTAAGATAACTTTTGATATCTAATCAGTTGACCATTGCAAGAGACTACATCGAGAGGTCAATTCTTATTATATCTCTGGGCTAACTCTCATTGATTATATTCAACTTTGTGAATGATTTAGCAAGTGGTTGTAAACTCAAGTCTTTGGTTGTATATTGTAAACAAAGAAGGTGAGTAGATCAAATTGAAGGTGAAAATATTATATGTTTTTTAAGTGTGTTTTAGTTAATTGCTGTGAATTAGAACCCAAAATAGTTAATCAGTGGAAAATGGAGTAAAGTAGTTGATTTGCAAGCATCATTGAATTACTGGAGTGTTTACTGAGCAAGTTTTGATTTAATGAAACCGCGGAAACCTTCAACTGGATCGGTGACCAGTTCTTTCCACCAACCAGGGAAGTCATTTTCTAGTTGTTTTAACCAACGATTAACATTAGTTAATCCACTGAGATCCAATTCGGCTCCTTGAGCTGTGGTAATTGTTACCATGATTGAAAGATCAGCCAAAGTGATCTTATCTCCGCAAAGATATTTAGACGATGCGAGAGCCGCATCGAGAAGTTTGGCCTTGTCGATGAAAGTTTGGGCTACTGAAGGATCGGGTTTAGCTCCTTTTCGGAAAATTGGTCCATAATAAGCTCCAAGGGATGCGTAAAGTGACCCATTGTCCCAGTACAACCACCTGTCAACTGTCGCTCGAGCTTGAATGTCTTTGGGATAGAGATCGTTTTCTGGTGAAAATTTACCAACCAAATAGGTCATAATAGCTCGACTGTAATTAGAATGAAAAATAAATTATATTGACATGAGTTATAAATTCTCAGTCAGTTTTATTAATTTACCTTTCCCACAAGGTGAAACCATCATCAACCAAGGTAGGGATACAATGGAAAGGGTTAATCTGCAATTAAAAACAAATCAATAAAAAATTATTTAAAACAATAATCAATATTTAACCGGTTGTCTTTCATGATATAGATTTTTTTTCCAGCAATAAAATTGCTCAAGTCAATTCAGATTGAATATTGTATCAATCAATACAATCACGATCTCTATCAACAAAGGCGTTGTTAGGTTACTAAAACTTAATTGTAAACGAAATTAATTTCTCCATAACAATTAATGATAGATAGAAAAGCTAACTGATGATCTTTTCTCTTTTCTTTTCTAGAAAATATCGATTTAAAATATTGAAGTAAATAAATTAACTATTATCATAGATCATTGAGAAAACAAAGACTTGAAAAATCATTAAGTTGAATGAGTTGAAATCGTTTTAAATTTTAAATCACTTGTTGATCATCAACCATGGAGAGCTAATGACAATGACAATTGAGTTTCTACGTTAAAATAAATTGGAAATTTATCTATTGGAAAGAAACAAAAAGATAAGATTAGAATTGAATTAGAATGAACTGAGAGAATAAAAAAGTTCCAATGGAAAAAGCTAGAAACGTGAAGATAATCAACAAGTGAATCTAATACAATTTTGATCATCAAAGTTACCAAAAAATCAGAAGAAGGTCAAATAAACCTGATTAAATTAACAACCAATAGCTAATGAAATCTTGTTACCTAACCACTTTGGAAACATAGACCGAGACTCATATTGACCAACGCCTTGACAACAGACAATAGACTATTGGTGCACAAAACTTAACGAGTATCTCTCATCAATTTATCCAATCAGTCAAAAGGTTTAGAGAATCGTTAATCTTAAAATTAAGATTAAGATCTTAATTAAGAATAGAAAAAAAAAACAAAATTTACCTTTAAAAATTCGGGTTTCAAGTGTTCCCCTTGCATTAAATCAAGTGGTTTAGCGTCAATGTCTAATCCAAGGATCTTGCCAACCATTAAGACGGATCGACAGGGGGCAGAGAAAGGTAATTGATACAATTCCAAGACCATTTTCGATTAAATATAAACGAAAACAATTAACAATTAAAGGGAACAAAAAAAAACGATTTTCAAACAATCAAAAATAAAGAGACAAAGACAATGAATCAGAATAAAAGAGAAACTAAAAAAAAGATAAAAACGAAAATCAGAAAATCAAAACTGTTTCCATCTGATGGAATTTAGAAAAACTAATCGAACGTCATAAACTTGTGGTTACATTATTGTTCCGATTGACCAGTGGTCACTTTTATCTTTGGAAATTAGTTAATTGCTCGATTTTCCATCACACTTTCACCTTTGAACACCTTGACTGGCCATCGGTCATTTATTTCAGGCAATTGTCGCTACTTTGGTTGAAGCTTCATTAGAAATCGTTGAGATAAACAATTGATAGATTCAATTGTTTATCGTTAATGATTTTCGCAATTAAATCGACAATCAATTAATGTTTCTTACTATTCTTTTTGATTGTTTCGTGGTTCGTTTAATTTTCATCATAATCTGTAATTAGTTACAGCACAATCAGTAAGCAATCAAGTGGTTTCGTCTTAATTGTCAAGAAACAAAAGTTGAATATTAATATTTACACTAAATTGTTGATAAACATTATTCATTTTGATTAATGACACTTAATTTAAATTAAGAACCGGATGTTAATGATTTTGTCAATTAGTTTCTGACGATCAACAAGCACAATTAAAACCGGAAGAATATTATTAATTAACTTGATCGAGAGAAAAACTAACAAATTTAATAACCTTGATAAATGAACAAAATGCCAATTGATTAATCAAACTAATCAAGTTTCTAATTAAGTGTTGACAGGTTGTTGTTGTTTTCTCATAGTTGATTAACTTGATGTTTAAATATTTTCCTTAAATTTTGTCAACAATTAAAATCCTTGATTTTTTCTCGAGAAACAATTTGACACAATTTATTGATTCTCTTATTGTAATCATACAATCATTGACATCTAATTGTTTCCGGTGATTGTCAATTGATTTCTTTATCTCTCTTAATTGTAATCAAATTAATTTTTTCCCTTCATTTTCACATTGATTTACACTCGAAACCTTCAACAATCAATGATTAAAACCTTGAGACTTTAACTAGAATATTAATTAGGATGAAGAAAAAGTTAACAACATTATGATTAGATGATATTGGAATTTTTAATTTTACTTTTTAATTGTGAAGAATCAACTTTGATTGTTTTCCATTGAGATCATAATTAACTTTATTTTCTGTTGGTATAAATCTCTCATTTCCTATGTTGCAATCAATTTACTGTAGTTGATTAGTTGACATCATTAAGTTAATTGTTGCTTTTCTTTGTGCTTGATTGTGTCATGTCTTTTTTTTGCTTGATGAAAATTCATTGAAGTTAATTGTTTACATGATTAAGGTTAATTTAAACAAATTATATATAACTCTTTAAAATATTTCTTTCTATTATATTAATTGTTGTGGATATGATTAAAGAAATATAGTAATAGTTTAAAACAATTAAATGAATTAATTGTGGTGTGTTGTTGATGAGTTAAATCATCTAGCTGGATAACCATCATTAGGGTAATAATAAAAATTAAATCGAGGTCAAATTAAGGCATTAATCCAATTTAAATCCGATTAAGTTAGAAACGATTTTCTTGATTTGGTTTGTTTTCCTCTTTTCCATTTGTTTTTCATATACTATTGTAGGTAGGAATCATTGTGTAATTAAATCTTTGATGTATTTATAACAATTAAAGTTGAATGTTGTAGTTAGTTAGTTGATTGGATTTGTTTGGTTTGATTTCTCTCTCACTTTTACTTGTTTTCCTTTTCGTCGAATCATTAATTTCATTTCTATTAATGATAGAAGAGGTATTGATAATTAATGAAGAAAACGAATTGACATTTTCTCTTCGACATCAGTTCTTTCCAAAATGTTACAAAACTCTTCGAATGATATACACTGATCACCATCTTTATCGGCTTCCATTATGGTTCTATCGGCAATGGAGGCTAATTGTTCATTAGAGATATTTGCACCAACCATCATGTGAAGAATAGCAAGTAATTCTTCCCGGGTAATCTTTTCATTCTCATCTAGATCATACAATTTAAAGGCGAATCGTAATTTTTCCCGACGATTGTTTAACTTATTGTCACGATTTTTCTTAACAGGTCTAAAAGTGGCCAAAACGCGCATAAAATGACGAAAATTGATTCTCTCTTCATCACCGAAAAAAGCTTGAACAATCCTATCACCCAATGGATTAATCGCTAACTCGGGTATACGAAGGAAATCATCACGACTCAATGTTCCATTATCTCCTTTATCCAATGAGGTAAATCTACTGTACAACCTTTCAATTTGATTTGGTGTAACTGAGTCAAATCAATACCAATCAAATTAGATATTGAGTAATACAAAAGTGGATAATTAAGAGAGAGAAAGAAAAAAGGAGATAAATCAAGTGTTATAAGATATGAAATTGCAGGTAAGAAAACGTAAGTAAAAGGCAGAGAAAAGAAAACGAGAGAAAGAGAACGAAAGAATAGAGAACCAAATAGATGGAATAAGTCTAACCTTAAGGCCTAATTAATAAGGGATTTTGAACAATAATAGTGATGAAAGTTAACTAATGATAAACAATTAAAATGGTGGAATAGAAGAGGAAAAGAAAGGCTCAAGATAGAAAAGGTAAAAAACACTTACATCCAGTCTCTTCTTGGATAATAGCAATTTCCTCATCTTGAAGCATGAGGGAAGATCGACTTCCCATGATGGATGATTAGAGAAAGTAGTTTAATAACTAATTAAGAGTTAAATAATTTAAATGGCGATGATTTAAAATGAACAATCAATATAAAAATAAACAAGAAAATTATTGTTGTTGAAAAAAATTCGGTTCTCAGGCTCTCCTATTGGTCGAAACTCCTTCGACTTTTGCGCCATCTGGTAAGAGAATAGAAAACTAATGTCGACTTTTTTTCTTTCAAAAATCAAATCGAAATCAAGGGAATGGTAAACATGTAGAAAGATGTTGATTGAGAATCGATTGAATTGAAACAATTATCAAAGTATTTTAATTGTTCAATGGTCTCTGAATTGTAAATTAATACGTATAATTAGTATTATCATAGCTCAGCGTACATTTTATGTGTCTAAATGCAAAAATTGTTTTTCAATGTAAAATTTTTACAAATTGATAGTTAGTCAGAAGCTAATTGTTACCAATGATTCTGAATTGATTGTGATTAAGTATAATTGTCGTTGTCCAATTTGTGCTGGTGATTGTAGCTCTGGTTTTTAGTCTTTGTGGTGGACAATAGATGACCACTTCGATGATAAGATTGACACATTGTCCGTTCAGTTATATGGGATTATGAACATAATCAGTTACTCATTTCTTTGATTGATTTTCATTGAGAGTATTTAATTGATGTCAAATTGTCAGTTTATTGATTGATATTCATTCTTAACGATTTCCAAGGTTAATTAAATTCCTCTCTATTTATTTTTATTCATTTCCTTAGGCCTAAGGTCATTTCTTACAAATTGAAACATTTTCATTTCTAATTGTGGTACTTTTTTAATCTGATCAATGTTTGAAAGGAAGTTGTTTTGATATTAATTTAACAATTTAGAGATCATCGCAACGATTAACTATTACATTGACAATTTCATCTTAACTTCATGTTATGATTGATTATCTGATCGACATAATCAACTTAAGAAAAAATTGATTGGTAACAATTAACAATATTTCACTTGGTAAGTTGATGAGAAACAATTGAAACAAACTAAAAAAAATTAACTTTCCTTTCACAATTCAAACAATCAAATGAAATGGTGAAAATTAATAGAAAGACGGAAAATTAAATTGCAAACAATTAATCAATAATTAAACCGCTTAATCAATTAATTGATTGTCTTATCAATGACCAAAACAAATTGATCATTGTAATAATTTAAATGTCATCTAGTTGCAAATGTTAATCGTCCATCAAGATGATTAGTAAAAAATTTACAACAATTAACTCTTGACGTTTACAATCAAATAAATTACAATCAAATTCATTGATTGTCAGAGTCACCGATTGAAAAGTTTAATTTAACAATGACCAATGTATTATAACGGGGAAATAGCAACAATTAAAAAAGTATAACAGTCAAATGAAAAATGGGAACAATTAACTCTAACAATTAACCAAACCATGAGATGGAATTGAAATAATCATTCAACCCACAATTAAAATCAGTTGAACATAATTAAATGGACAGGTACACTCATAGAAATTGATGAAATGATTTATATTGATTAATTAACTTGTGATTATACAATTTAACACCAACGTAATTAGATTTAATTGTGAGGTGAGAAAAGTATTGAAAAAAAAGTTAACAAATATAAAACCAGAAACAATTGATCAAAAAATTATCAGTTTACTATTAGTATTGATCTAGAGTGATTAGAGAAATTTAAATCAGCAGAAAATAAAAACCTAAATCAGTGATTAACAATCAACACAATTAAAGGAAAAAAAAATGAATCAAATTGTTACTCTTTTCGTTACCATTTCGGTTATCATAATCGCCTTTGGATCCGTACAATCAAGTAAGTTAATTGTTGCCCAACAATTTAATTCCTTCCCAAGTGATTAAGTCCAACAATTTAATCGTTTCTCAACTAAATTGTTTCTCTTCCTATTCTCGACTACTAATCATCTCTCTCATCATTTATCTCTCTCACTGGTCATCTCTAAGGTCCGATTTTTGAAGGATCACCTGGATTCGGTTCACCTGAGATCTCATGGGGCTCACCCTCCGTCTCTCCCTCTTTCTCATCATCTCCCTCCTTATTCCCAAATGATTTGTTCAGCTCACTAAAATCACTCTTCAATCCTCCTGCTGCTCCCGCATCAGGTACGTTATCATCTTGTGATTAACCATCATGATCGTTTCCATGTAGACAAAAGGATAAAGTAGATAAATTTGATTCCATTTTGATATTGATTGGTTAATTCTCGATGAGAAATCAATCAAAAAGTTTGGACTATTTTCTAATTCTAATAATTAACTTTCTTTCTTTTATTTAACCTTACAGAAATCGAGATCCTCGTAGATAATGCTTAGAACAATTGATCGAACAAATCGAAAAATATTATATAACATTAAATACAGAACAATTTCCTCTTCCTTCTGACTTCGAACTATCAACTAATTAATTTACTAATTGTTGTTAATTTAGTGGATAATCAAAATTCTGTGTGTTAATCGTGTTACGAACAAAAAAAGAAACAACTAATTATATATAAATGAAGAAACGAAACTTTTAAAAACTTTACAAAAACTTTCTCGAACTTTTTTTCATCTTCTCAACAATAACAATTAACATTAATCACCATCATCATCATCATCAGCAATTTAATTAGATCTCTATGATATTTAATGATAAGAAATCAATTGAATGTTGATCCAATCAAATGAAACAATAAAATTAACAATTTAACAAAAATAAATCAAACAACATTAACATCACATTTTCGGGTTTAACTTTTCCTCATTGACTAATTATTGACAATTAGATTTCCTCGTGATCACAATTAAAACATTTTCCTCATCACCAATTGTTGTTAACTGTTTCAAATTTAATTTAATTGTTATTAAATAACAAGAAATTCAAACTCGCCTCTCTAATTAAATCAATGACTTCAATTAACTAAGATATTTTTTAACTTCCCTTTTGATTAAATTGTTACGGAAAATTAAATTTTCAAGTCCTTGAGAAATTAGTTAATTGCTCAATTCAATTGTATAGACAAGAAACATAATCGTATTGTTAACAATTAACTTAATAAATCAACTAGTTAACTAGGAAATTAAATTTACCTCACAGAGAGAAAAGAAAAACTTTACAATTGAAACATAATAGTCAACAATTAACAATTAATCAAATTAATTGTAATTGATTAAGAAACCAAATACAATTAGAATGATAAACAATCATATTCAAGTTTAATTCAAGAAAAGAAAATACCGTTAATATATTTACACGAGTTAATTGTTGATGCTGAGTTAATCTGCTCTGTTTTTACTAATCAATGATCAGTAATTAACGTAACAATTAAGTTTCGAAAAAGTTGATTTATTTTCATATGTAATATTTATAATCCTAATTAGAGCTGTAAAAATTTTGTCTTCCTCTGAATGGATTACCGATTGTAGAGAAACAATTGAAAAAAACATTTGATTCCTTAATCAACACAATCAATTTAAAAACAATTTAAATCATCATCATCTATGGCAAGATAATTATCATCATCTTTTAGTTAATTTGTCATCATAATCCAAATTAAATCAGCTCCAGTGTTGATGGCAAGATAATACAGGCAAGGAGTTGATCAAGTTTATCGAAGGTAAAAATTAATGGTAATCAATTAATTGTTTGGTGATCAGTTGATTGTTTGATTTAGAAAAACAGAGAAAACATTTCAAACAATCGGTTAATCAAATAATCAGGCAAATTTAAAAGGCTTTTCTCAGAGATTATTTGGAGGAGAAAGTTAATTGCCAGAGAGAGAGAGAGAGAGAGACAATCAACTAACAATTAACTCTTCAATAATCATAATCCAAAATTAATTTCAATCAACTGAGCCACGATTCTTGAAGTTTTGTTTGTTAGAATTGTTTATAATTAATGACAACAATTAATTGAATTCTTTTTGAGTGAGTAGTGTAGCTGAGAGATGAAATTGATCAAATCAACAGCTCCTTTTGATTTGTAGCATTAATTCAATCATCATTAGCATCATTAATTTTTTGCTCTCTCGTTTAGTTGATTAGTTTTTCACTGTTGACAATCAAATAACAGAAAATCATTGATGGAAAGTGAAAAAAAGATCCTGTTGTTTGGACATAGCGTGAACATCATGTTGCCATAGAAGAGGAGAAAGTGTTGATTATCATAAAGTTTTCGGGTAAATTGTTGATTTAAATTAACGCAGCTTTTTTATCTTAAATAACTTTGTACACAATATTGTCTTATAAGGATAGAGAGAGAGAGAGAGAGATGATTACATGGAGAGAAAGAGAGAGATAAGTGATATATGAAGAAAGAAATAGAATAGAGGGATTTGCGCTCCAAGGCAGACTGAGATTTTGCGCGAAAATTGTTGCTGGTATTGTAATTGAAGATTAAAGGTAAGCAAAGAAATAGAGAGTTGATGCTAGATGATGATGATGATGATGACGACGATGAAGTTGATGATGATAAGTGAAGATTGAGAGGAGAATAGTGAAATGGAAGAATAGAGGGTGAAAGGAGATTGATCAGACTGGCTAAGATGATGTGGTCATTTTTGTTTTTGTTGAGTTGATTAGGAAGGAGGAGGAGGGGGAAAGGTCGCTGAAATTAGTCAATACTTGATCAGCGTCAAAAAAACTTAGTAAATGCGACTATGCGTTTTTTTTGTAGTAGTAGTTGTTGTTGGACATGATGGACACTTTTTACAATGATAATAAAGGTATATGAGAAAAAGAGATAGAATTGATAGAGTCATAGAGAGAGAAATAGAGTGAAAGAGAAGAAGAGACAATCGTTTTTCTTTTGACTGGTAAAATCAGACTTGGGAGTTGGTGAGTTGATAATACACTTTTACTTTGAGTCCATTTACTGCTGAAGGAAAAACTGTCTCTCTGTCGTGTTAAATCAGCTGATCATTAGAATCCCGATACTTGGAGTGCCAATATCTTTCCGAGTGTGTTTGCCTCGAGTGTTTTTCATATGCCTTGTACCAACATGAACATCTCCATACATTGAAAAGAAAAAAATTTCACAAAGACGATGGTAAACCTTGTTTGCTTTTTAGTCTTCACTTGTTGTTGATGTTGGTGATTTATGGTGGTGGCAAAAATGATCAGTCGGTGTTGATATTTTCCACTCCTCTGGGTCTGATCGCTGGGTTGATGTTTCTTGCATTGCTTTTAGACGAATTTGTTGATCGACAAAAAATGATTCAATTTTCCCTTCGTCTTCTGGCAATTAATTTAGCACTTTGTTAAATTGTAAGCTAAGAATATGTGTAAAAAAAATCGTTCGCTTGGATTTTTTTTTGTTTTTTTTCTTTGCTTGCTCTTTGTGTATGTTACCGCTTCACATAATTTGGCGAAGATGATTTGATTAAGGTAAATAATATAATAATAATATATATGAACAAAATTAGATAATTAATTATTTACTAAGAGCTTAATCTCGCTCTTTTAGTGTGAGCCAAGTTTCCCTCGTCTCCATTGTCTTCCTCATCTGAATCTTCATCAGGATAATCCACTAGGCCTCCCTGCTTAAAAATACAAAGAAAAAATATAAAAGGTAAAAATTATTAGATGAAAACATAATAATTACAAAAGTGATTAAATTGATTTTAAAACAAAAAATATTCTCGCGTGAAGAAGCTCCAAACTGAGAAAAATATTAAGTATTTTCCAGCCACATATACACAAAAAATGTATTCTAACGTATATAAACAAAGCCACACCTAAAAAAACTAAAAAGTAACATCATCTGTCAAATGAAAAAGCTACATCTTATCAAACAAAGTCTTAATTGCGGTTATATTTACAGTATCGGTTTCTAATGACAATGAAAGATGCTTAATGATATCTGAATGATTGTGATATCGTAAAATTATCCAAGATTAATCAGTAACGATAACAAAGGAAGATGATGGAGAAAATTAATTGCATAATTGAATGAGAAAGAAAAACAAAAACAAGAAAAAGAAAAAGAGAGAGAGAGGGAAAAGCGACACCTCACAACAAAACCAGTTACCACGATCTGATCATTTTCGGGATTAACGTGTAGGTCGTGTGACGTAACAAAACCGGTTAATCGTGTTTTTGTTGCTTCTACTTCATCCTCAGAACTTGAGGATGAAGAGAGAAAAAAACAGACACACAAGCAATGATCTGTGTGTTTCCCTCTCTTCTCTTTATGTTCATCTTATTTTCCCCTTTTCATCTTCATCTTTCTACTGTTGATGTTTTTCTGCTTCTTCTCTTTCTTGTAATTGTAAATGAGACACAAAGGTTTACCAAGAAAGGATTCAGAATTGTGTTCTGCTCTCTCTTCTTATCTCTTTCTCTTGCTTCATCGTAATTATTATATCATCTTTAAAGTCTCAAAGATTTTTCAGACCTAATTATCAGTGGAAGAGAGAAAAAAAATCAACCTTGAAAATGGGAAGATCACAGAAATATGAGTAAAAAAGAAAATAGTGAGTAGATTATTAGAATGTAAAAATATTGAGAAAAGAACTTCTTGCTAAAGAGAGAAGGGAAAAAAGCACAACTTTCTAATTAGTTGCCTTTGTTATTCCTTCTTAGAGGCAGTTGCTTTAACCATTAAGAGAATAAAAATGAGTGAAACAAAAGAGTTTGCACCTTGAAGAGAAAGAGGAAGAAAATCAAATGATTAAATACACATCAAATTAAACATCGTTATGTTTAAGGCTTAACTGTAATGAAAGGATAAACGTTCTTTCTTCTTTTCTTCTCTCTCTCTCTCTCTCTCTCTCTCTCTTACTATCTGCTGCTAGAATGGTGGTAATGACCTTTCGTGATTATGATTGACCTCTACACAACAATATAAACGAGAATTGAGAGAAAGTAAGAGAGAGGGAGAGAGAGAGAGGGAGAGAGCAAATGAACAAGAGGCAAAAAGCATCACAGTAATTGTAGTATTGATGTAATCAATTATACAATCAGTCACTTGAGATGAACTTTGGTCACAGAAGGAGAACAGATAATAGGAGAAAAGGGAGCGAGCGAGAGAGACTGAAGATGAGAAGAAAAACACAAAGGTAGTAAAGATGAAGAGTAGATTGAGCTAACTAATCATTTAAAAAGAAAAAATCTTTTCGATTGAATTCCAATACAATGAAAACTTGGGATGTTTTGTTTCTCTCAGATCTTGTCTTTTCCATTCTGCTATTTGTGGCGAGTAGATGCTGACCATGTGAAATGGATCTCGACCTTTGAACGTACCTTACGAGTGGTTTGAACTTCCACATGAGGTAAACTAGGTGATGTCTGTGAGGCAGTTAATGGAGTTGTCCTACGAGGGCTCGTTGATCTATTCATTGTTTTCACATCAAGATCATTATATTTTTTAACATTTTCTAAATCTGCATAAGATAAACCTGAAAAAAAGGGAAAACAATTAGAATCTTATAAAATATATATGCTCGAACATAATCTAAATATATAAATCTATTTATTAATTACTTAAAGTTGACTTTTTTTCAGATATCTTCTTGTTGAATTGGTCAAATTCAGCTTCTAGTTTATAGCTTAATGATCCTTGTAGATTATTGTCCATTCCATCTTCCTCTTCGTCATTGTTAAACCATATTTCTTCATCTTCATCCAATTGACGTGGATCACGTCTAAACCTTTCATTTCTCATAATAACTGGTGAGCTGGAAAAAAGATATATAAAAATGAAAGAAATAAAATTAATAACATAAAATGTTGAGTGAAAGCTCACATGGACACAACCAGAGTAATTTACAAAATCGATTGAGCTAAAGGTGAAGGCTCAAAATGTACAGGAGCATCAGTATGACAAGAAAAAGAATCATGATAGAAACTGAGCAAACTCAATTATATCGAGAGAGAAGAAAAATGCAAAAATCGACCCACAGGAGAAAAAAAAAGTTCAACTATGAAAATGATAAATTAATTGTAAAAACCAACCTTTCTAACGAATTTCTATCTTTTAGTTTATCTTGATATTGTTCGTAATGTTGCCGTAATCCTTTAAAGGTTCCAACGTATTGAATTTGGTCCAAGTATTTACCAAAAACCTCCACAATATGCACACAGAGAGATTTAATCTCTTCCGTCTTAATGAATTCAAACACTTCAATTATTGCAGAATCAAGAAGGTTATAACGTCCATTGTTTTGTTTAAAGGCTTCAACAACCGGTGCAAATAGATTAGCATTTATTATATGTCGATTGTAAAATTCATCTTTTAAACCGATAATCTTGCGCAGAAATCGAAGTGCGCCTAAAAGAACAAAGTAGGAGAAAGAAGATAGAGAGAGAAGAGAAAGAGGAAAAAAAGAAGAAAAAAGAGGGAAATGAGATGATGATGAATAGAAGAGCAAAAAAAATCGATATTATGTTTTGAATGAATGAATGTTGATAATGACAGTAGAAGAGAAAAAAAGAAGAAGGGAAACTTACTGAGCACCAGGAATGTGTGTCTTGACATCATGAGAACCAATATTTCCTTTAGAAGTTCACGTTGAATAATATAATTTCTAATATGATACAAATGATGTTCGACACAGAATGACATTAATTCAAGAATTATACTTAGAAGCTGAGCCATTCTACCATCCTCTCTGATCGGTCTCTCATCTGATGTAGCTGCTAAAACAGGAGCAACCAACACATGCATACAGTGTTTGTAAAAATAGACAAGAAAGTCGTTTTTCTCTGATTTCTGTAATATTGAGAGACAAAAAAGATGAAAAAATACACACAGGTAAAAATATGAAGTAAAAAATAGTGAGTAATAATGATCGATAGTAAAACTAAATAGATAAGAAAACAATAATTACATTGACAGCGGAGGCAGTAATCATATTCTCGGGATCCAAGAGAAGCCGTAATATACTTGATAATTGAACTGCCATCCCTAGATCAGGGTCGGGGTCACAGATCATTTGATCAATCATTACATTGATAATATACTGATCCTATGAGAGATAAAACAAAAAAAAACAAAAAAAGGTTAACAATGTTTACCAAAAAAGAGATGAAGATAAAGATAGGTTTCCTTTTCGTTCTGGTGTTATGGGTTTAACGTTGTTCTTGGGTGTAAACAATGTTACTCAATTTTTGTAAATCGTTGAGAAAAAAACGAATGATGGAAATGCACAAAAAAAACAAGAAAGATAAACTTACCTCATCACAGTTTCCTTCTTGTTTAAGGGCATATTCTCGAACCATAGATGGACTATATTCAACAACATAGGTTAATATATCAACAGACGCTGATCGAATCGCAATGTTATCCAGCGAAAGGGTTACTTCGAGGGTTTGGAGCACTCCAAGGGTTGAAAGGGCTTTGAAGAAATTTTCTCTTGCTTGAGGTTGTAAGGTTTGGGAAAATGTACAAAATTCTTTAAGAAAGAGAACAAGATCTTTCCTTTTATCTACATTGGTAGATTCATCGGTTATTTGAGCGAACAGTTCACGTAAAAATTTATCATCCTCTTGTATTAAAGAAACAATTTCAACCTTATTGAAGAATATAAAAGAACTAAGGGTGGATAGCATATTTTCTTCGAAAACTGTTGGTGTTGGTAGGACAACATCTTGAATATATTGCACTCTATAGGTTTGATGAATCTTGTTAATTAATTCAGCATTTCCAAAGGGTATTACTTCTTTAAACCGGGAAACAGATTTAAGATATTCTCTATGTCGTTTGGGTTGTGGTTGATTGGGATCATATTCGAAAACACCGATAACGTCGAAAAGTGTCTCTTCTCCAAGCATTACTTCAAAAAGAGGATTCTTATTGAGTAAGAATACATTCTTAAAAATTTCATGCAGCTTATGGAGAGATTTAACATTATGGGTTTCCTCACATTGATGAAAAAGTTTTAAAAGCTTTTTAATATAATCTTCATTTTCCAGTGCCAAAGCGAGTCGCTCTCTTTTCATTGGGTGAACAAGACAACTGGCGATTAGTTCATTTAATTCTTCTAATTTATCCACTTCACATGGAGGTAATTCAATGGCATCAGAAGTTTCTTCAAAACGTTCATCTTCTTCTTCCATTGGTTCTTGAGTATGATCAACTGATGGATCTTTACCCTGAATTTGACATATTTTCGCCCATATCTCGTCACATCCTACTTTTTCTTGAAAACTAAGAGCTAAGTCATAATTGTCACCTTCAGACCAAACAATTAAGGTATCCTTTAGGGTCAGAAGAAAAGAAAAGATAAAATATGCGTTAAAATAAGGAAAAACAATGAGAATAGAATGAGGGAGGAAGAGAAAAGAGATAGATAGATAGAGAGAGAGAGAGAGAGGGAGGAAGAGAGAGAAGAGAAAGGATTAGATATTTAAAATATAAATTGTCAAAGATAAACAAGAAATAATATAAACAAATAGAGAAGACGATGGGAAAGTTAAATATTAATGTAATAGAGAAACGATGGTTAGTTGATTGAATAATTAAGCGTCTTTTTGTTACCTGTTGCTTTTGATAGGCGGTATCAGGTTGAATTCTTGACTCGAGAAGGGTAGACCCATCTGACTCGGCTCTGACTAAAAGAGACATTCCTTTCAAACGGTCAACATACGAAGATGATACATGACCAGTCCCTTTATCATCCCATTGACGATCTGCATTCAAAGCATAAAGTTTAACCCGACGTCGGGTATCTGTCATCTTGAAGTCCGAGATGCTAAAAAATTTTACCAACGGAGAGAGAGAAAGAGAAAAAGAGAGAAGAGAAAAAAAATAAAGAAAGAGAAAAAGAGAGAAGAAGAAAAAGGAGCAGAAAGAAGCGAAAAGAAAAATACAAATAGAAATAATTAATTTACCTTCTTTAAATTACAATAATTGCAGTTCTAATGAAAACAACAAATTTTAAATAAACAAAATGAAAAGATGCAAATAATTAAGGGTCTAAATGAATAGTCAAAAATATAAGGCATTGTATACATTCAACTCACACACATACAAATACATTATAGTTATAAGGTTATAACATCAACCTACCTTTGTTATGGATTAGTATTTTTGGTTCTTTAGTTTAAATACAAAAAGAAAAGAAAAAGTGATTACTTTTAAAGGTGAATTGTTGTACACTCGTTAAAAGACAATTTAATTAACACAAAAGAAATAATTATTTCTCTATTAAAATTAACTATTTTAAACACCGAGGTGAAGATTTCAACAACATAGAAAATCAAAAAGAAAGACTAAAAAATTTTTCTCTTTCCTGATTTGACCAAAATGGCGACGTTTTAGTGAGGAGAAGTTTCGCCAGATGGCGGTGACCGTTCATTTCCAAATTCTATCAATAAGTAGCTCCATCTGTTGGTAGATTGGAGAAAAACAAAAGAGAAGTTTTCATTTGAGTGATGAAACTTTCCATTAGATGTCGTTAGTTGTTAAAAAGAAGAAAAATTCGAATTGAAAATTGTGCCATCTGGTGAGTGGAGGAAAAAAACTGTTCGCAAATGTCAACAAACATTTTCTGTTCTTGGTTTATTTTTCTGTTTCTTGTCTCGCGCATAGAGTGAAGTCTTTTTATTATTATTATTATCAAAACGATTTATTATCTAACACCCTGTATAATAATAACTGTGTGTGTAATAACTACTGTGGAATATAATAATAATATTCCATCAATCAGTTTCATTTTCTATCTTTTTGTTTTTTTTTCTTCTTCTACTTAAACATTTGCTCTCCTTTGCTCTCCTCGTTCGTGTGTCTTGTTTCACCATCTTTACTTTTTTTCTACCATTTCTCTTTAATTTTTTCTCTGTGATAATTTATAGAAACAATAATAATAATATTTGGATAATATTCGACCTTCGATTTTTGTTTTCTTCATCGACTAATTATCTTCTCTCTCAATCACCATCATCATCCTCAAAAATTGGTCTCAATTTTTAGATACTTTGTGTATGTGTGGTTACCCTTTTCATCTTGAATACTTTCATGTTGTATGATTAACATTCATTCAAACAGTTTTGGTGATTTTTACTTTCGTACTGGTTGTTGGCCATTTTCCACCAGTGGGTGTCTCTCATTTTCTTTTCCTCAGAGAGAAAATCAAGGAAGTCTCGGAGAGAGGGAAAGAGACACAGAGAGAGCGAGAGAGAAAAATATTTATAAAGCTAAATCTTATATTTGTAAAGCAGATAAAAAACGCAAAAGTAATTGGAGCTTTCGCTCTTTCGGCATTTTCTCTCACCCATTTTCACACTTTTCTCTTTCTCTAACCCTACATTCAATCATCAATGTTTAACCAACAATCGACACCCTATGTTGTTGATAAACTTCTGTTTCCGGTAGTTAAAAAGACCAATTGTAGGCCTCCACCGCCTATTCTTCCACCCAATGGATGTATTGATAAAGCTAAAATACGGAAGTATCCATGTGGTTTTCCTGGTTGTCAATGGGTTTTCACTCGAACCAATCATGTAGTTCGTCATCATGAGCGAGTTCACCCTGGTTTCAAGCCAACCCACACCACCTCCAATTCTAGATCAAATAATAACCATCATACCAACAATAATAATAATCCATCTTCAATCAACAACAACAATAGTAACGACAATTTATCGATTAACAAAAAGGTAGCCACAAATAAAACACCAACCAATGGACCCCAACAACAAGTAACAACAACATCAACTCCAGTCCAATCCTCTGGTCAAGGGTTTAAATTAAGGTTAGTGGATGAAGATTAATCACTTTCCATGATCGAGTAAAGTCCATTTTTCCTTAGACAGTAACTAACCTAAAAGGAGGAGAAAAGAGCCCCTCCTTTTTCTGGTTTTTTTCTTTCATAGCCTATGGATAAAACTGGTTACTGTTTACTTATTTTACCTTTTCCAAGGAAAAGAATAATTTTGTTGGCCAAATCATCATCATCATCATCATCATCAATATTATTATCCTTACATGTACTGAAAGTTATAACATGTTCACCCTTTTGACCTCTCGATCAACCAGATAGGATTAGCTTCGTGCATTCATTTCAATTGGACTTAAGCTTGGCAACAAAGGCTTCATTTTATTGAGAGAAAGAGAGAGAGAGAGAGTTTAAGATGTTATCATCTTCTTTTTTCCAGTTCGAGAAGAGAGAGAGAGAGAAAATAAGATAATTTGTTCTGTCTTGTATTCGTCATCTTGTTAGAAAACGTAAACAAAACACATCTCGACCTCTTTTTCTTGACCTCTTTCTTTTAGTTCAATTTCTTTCTTCATCTTCTTACTATCTCCATCTTCCACTTTCTTTCTGTCTTTTCATTATCTTTATCTCTCTCACTATCCACTCTCTTTCTCGATCACTCACTCTCATCCTCTTTTCCACCATCACGGAAGAGCGAGAGCAAATTGAACACTAAAATGAAAGAGAAAAGAGAGAAAGAGAGAGACAGAAGATAAGAGGGAGCGGACGTCACTTTCATTCCAGCATAAAGATAAAAAGAAAACTTTTCGGAGGGTTTTTTCCCTCTCAGTTGGTTTAGCCCCGTTTAACTTTCATTCTGGTTTTTTGAGTATCTGAGTGTGTGAGTGTTTCTGTTTGTGAGCCATTTTCATGGAGATTTAGGTCACTAATATGATTGAATAAACCTTTCTCTCTCTCTCTCTTTCTCTCCCTCAATGCTCCTTTTCACATCTTCCTTTTTGCTTTTCAATTTTGCTTTTCTTGCTCTCCCTCCCTTCCCTTTTGCTCTCATTCTGTTTTACTTTTTTTCTCTTCTACAATTACTCTCTCTCTCCCTCTCCTTTCTCTTTTGCTTTCTGCCTTTTCATCATCATGCCCTCTCTTTCTACATCTAAATCATGCTCCTTGTCCTCCATCACCAGCCGAATCAACTACATCCTAACGGTCAAATGTATATTTACTCACCATTATATTACCGTTAACCTACCCACCCACCTTGCCTGCAGTCAACCCCGCACTCGTTTGTTTGTAAAAGTGTGTGAGTGAAGTTGAGTATTAACACACTCATAAAATAGTTAGCATAAAAAGGTAGCCAAATGACTCTCTCTCTCTCTTTCTCTCTCTCACTTGGAACCTCTTAAAGTAACAAAAAAACACACCAACCATTATTCACTCAGCAAGAATTGATGAAAAGCAGAAAAAAACTATCACAATCATTTCCAATTTTCTACTCCATGTTGCTTGTAAACAAGAATAATATTCAACTTAATAAGCGAGAAAAAAATGGGAAAGTATTGAGAAGAGAGAGAGAGAAAAGTGAGTAAATTAGAAAGAGAAACCAAAAGAGGAAGAGGGTCAACGAATCGAGATCAATGCACGTTCACCTCAATGGTCAATAATCACGACCCTCTTTGGGCATATGATATGATTGAGATGTGATCCTAAAGATTTGGCCAATTTAATTAAATTCTAACCCACTAATTAATTCGATAATTGACTAATTAAAATTTTCATTCTCTTTCCACTTGTACTTCCTTTTCCGTCTTTAGGGAGGCTTTAACTTACAGTTTCCATTTATGTTACGTTACCGGTTGTAAGCAGCGATTCAACACCAAAAATGAGCTTAATATTCACCTATTTCATGTGCACTCGTTGGTTGAACCCGAAGTTTGCATCAAAGTGGAAGGCCAAGAATGGAATGATGAAGAAAACACAACCCTAATGACCAATAAACTGTCCACCCCATTTTCATCTTCACCTCTTCTTCCCTCATCTGACCATCGTCGTTATGTTTGCGATGCCATTGGATGTGACAAATCATACACAAAAAATTCCCATTTAATCCGACACAAAGAGGATTCTCATAATTTATTAAGGCCACCTCATCCTCTTAAATTTTTACGTTCACCTCGACCCTATGCCTGCACACTACCTGGTTGTGATAAAACTTACACTAAAAACTCCCATTTAATCCGACACTTAGTAGAAACCCACAAAATGGCCAAACCAGCACCAAAGGTTAATCGTCGATTAACACCCAATTTCGGTCTACACCCAACACCAACACCGATCAACAATGGTGGTAATGGTTTACTACAAATATCTTCCTCTTCCTCCTCCTCATCCTCATCTCTATCCTCATCTCCATCATCAGCAGTCACATCAACATCGATTTCAACCGCTTCATCGTCATCCTCTTCAATGGTACCAACATCCGTCAATCGATCAGCTGAAACCCCAATGATCTACAATGACAGGCCATATGCATGCACATTTCCAGGCTGCGGGTGGAGCTTTAAACGTCAATATCATCTGAATCGTCACATAATCACCCATAGGATGAACAATAATCGTAATAATAAAGACAACACCAACAATAGGAATCAAAATAATACGAAAAATCCAACCAACAATCAAGCGAACACCATTAATAGTAACAACAATCCATCACCAATGGTCAATCTTAATAACCTAAATAATACCGCTGATTTAACGGCACTGATCAATTTAGCTCGTAATCTTGCCGCTGCTCGAGCAAGAAGTGAATCAATCAGTTGGATCGTTTTGGAAGATGGTGATGAGGAAGAAGAAGATGATCAACCTCAACCACAACAACAACAACAACAACCATCAACCCAATTAAAAGATTTGTCCACACGAAGACATATCTCGATTGAAGAAGATACCTTTTGCTGCGATTTTCCCGGATGTGGTAAAACATTTATCAATTCACGCGATCTGATGCAACATTATTTAGGCCATTCAGGTCCTTCTTCCGGTTTATTGCTTAATTCCCATCTAATTAACTCTTCAGCTCATTTATCTCAACTATTAGACGAACCACCATTGGAATGTGTTCTCGAGGAGTTTGATGATGAAGAAGAGGAAGATATTGTCGTCGGTGGTTCTAACGGTGATCATCATCGAGCTGATGAGGAAGAAGAAGATGAAAATGAGGAAGAAGATGAAGAGGAAGATGATGATGGAGATAATGGTCTTAATGGTCATCATAATGGTCTAACAATTAACTTATCCAAGAATCGAGACTTTGCTAAAATCACTGCAACCGATAGTGATTAATGTAATCAGCTGATAATTAATCTCATCATCATTCAAAAAGATTAATCAACAACGATTTGTTAATCACCAAATTTTGAATTGCTGAACAATTCACACAATCAAGTCAAATTAATTACTATAATCAAATTGAAGCAATGACCAACAAACCAAATCCTAAATGATTGCCTAATTTTCATCTACAATTACATTTACAATTTTTCGTCCTTTAACAATTACCACATATGGAAGACAATTGATACTATTCATCATTGATTTACTTCATTAATTAGCATCATCATCACCTCTTTTTTTTGTTATCATTTTGTTGATTGTAAATTAATTTTTCGTTTCCCTCTCATCTAATTAACCAACATCATGATCACGACAAACTTTCAATTATATCCAAGATTGGAATTAATCATCAGAGAATAAACCACATTTAATTGTTGATCGCAATTACACCTTAATTACAATGATAACTTTAACTATCATCACTGGAACAACTAATTACTGATCAATGATGAAAAATTTCATTGATTGAATTGTCTCATTCAAATTCTGTTACTTGAAACCACAATTGACTAATTATCTTAATCATTCTCTACCCTTGCCTTGTAAACTCACTTAATTTGAAACAATTAAGGAGTAAACCTTATCCTTATTGATGTATTTCTGTTAATTATTATGTTTGATTACCTTGATTATTGTTTTGTTTTACCAAAATCTCTTCTTCTCATTTGTATATTTTGTTTCCTCTAATTTCTTGATTCTCAACAATTAACTTAATTGTTTTTCTTATTCCATGTATTATCCATCACCTCTCTAAATTGTTTACTCCCTTTGATTGCATCTTGATTGTAAAAAAAATACTTTGATTCCTTTCATCTTTGCTAATTGTTAGCAAATCCCTTCAATTGCCATGTAGCTTTTTTTTGTAATTTAACTTTAATTTACTAATTAACTGCAAGAAATCAAAACAATGGAAAACAACAGAATGTGATTCAAATTGTAACAACAAACTAATTGATTGGAAAAACAAAAATCTCGTAATTGCCATTAATCAAATAGTTATAATTGTCAAAGCACCAAGATTAACTTAATGTAATCTCTTTAATTGTATTCAGCTCTCTCATTGTATTTAATTGCTTAATTAATCCTAAATTGTTGTTAAAATTTGTTTTATTCATTTTGTTAGATTTATTTAAAACTTTGTTTACTAATTGTCATTAACTATTATTATTATTTACCTAATTTCTCATTTCTATTAGTTTAATCATTGATTGTTTTCTCTCTCTTACCTTAATTGTTACTTCATTTCTTATGTTTTAATCTTCATGAATACTAAATTGTATTATCACCTCTCTCTTCCGTTAATTGCTGTCTATTATTTAATTGTTATATCTCTCATGTAATTATAGCCTCGAATCTATCATCATCATCATCATCATCATCATTACCATTGATTCACAGAAACCAATTGGATAAGAAAACGATTATCACTGGAATTGTCAATTATTGTTGACAATCAATTCAATTGTTGGAACAATTTAATTACAATAAGATCAAGTTGATTCAATTGTTGATTTGATAAAATTGTAAATAAAACAACATGAAAAAAGTAATTTAAATGGATGAGGAATCCAAATGATCACAAAAAACTCCAAGGAACAGAAAACCAAATCCTTTTAATTGTCCAATTTGTTTTCAATTAAAAAACGAAAATCAATCAAAAAATCGAACCTTTGTCACTAATTTAATCAACTAATTAGCCAAATAATCACAATCGTGTTACAATACAACAATTAACGCGAAAATGTGATGAAAGAAATACAAACAAATCACTTTAACAATTAGTTTAAAATTAACCCATAGAAATTGTAGAAATCAATTAACACGAACAAACAAATCACTTAATTGTTAATTAAAACCCATAAACATATGAACTGATCAACAAGGAAAGATGATCACATTAATTACTTTTAATTATTCTGATTGGTTTTAACTTTCGGTCCTCCAAAAACAACAACAATTAAATTTCAAACCAATAGAAAAAGTGATTTGATTGTTTGATTGAAATTTTTTCGCAATTAATGCGAACAATTAACCAAAATGTTCACAAGTGAATTGAAGACTAAATTGTGATTTAAAACGAAATTAAAACCCTGGGAATTAATGACAATCAATTGGAATTTAAAATTAAAATTCTAATCAGAAAGTCAACCGATGAATAAACATTTTCCCTCCATTTTTGTTTTGTTTTCATTTTCAATTCTTCAAGTCAACAAGTCACTTCATCTCTTAGTGTCTCTCCAATTGTATCAGTTAAATTTTCTTCTCGGTGATTAACTAATTGTTTTCTTCTTCTTCTAATTAAATTACCAGTAATTTTAATCATAGAGATTCACCTAAGGTGTAAGATAATCTTTTCTTTTTGTTTCTCCTTTGGGTGTAACCACAACAAGAAGAGAGAAAAGAAGAAAAGAAAAAGTGATTTCTATAGTAACCGTTTGGTTGATTAACTAATCCATTTGTAATAATCTGTTAATCTAAACACTTTTTGTACCCATAATTTTTATTGATTTGGTTAAATCTTCTTCATCTACTTAATTGGAATCTCTATTCGCCTGGTTTAAATAACCAATTGACTGAGAATCTTTTCATTTTCATTAACCTTTCTGGTGATTTCCATTTTTTTTACTTCTCTTTGTGTTTACCTGTTCTCCCCTTGATTTGATTGTTGTTTCAAGAAACTGGTGATTTATCTGTGACAAAAGTGAATAGTGTCATTTATCAATTGTGTGGATTCATCTCTATTTAATTAATTACTGTTACTTAACCATCAACAAGTGATTTTGTTGACGATTAACGGTTCTCATGGATCATAAAAAGGTAAGTCGCTTTTTCTGTAAGATTAAGGAGTTGGTCTCAATGTAGGAAAAAGCAACTTGATCCAATGAAGAAGATTATAGTTTCTTCATCAAGTAAATATTTACCCTTAATTGTTACCGAGGTTATAATCAACCAAGTGAGAGAGTTAGTGAGTGAGAAAGAGAGATAAGTGTATTGAAGAGAAAGTAAAATGAGATGATTTCAACTCATTAAAAGAGAAAGAAAAAATGATGACAACAGAGAATAGAAGAAAAGAAAACAAATCATAACAATCAACATGATTACCAAACAATCAACAGTTTTCTTGAGAAAGAGAGAAATTAACCAAACAATCAAGTAATAGAATAAAATTAATACAATTGAACCAACAAATTACATTTTTATTTTATTACGTTTTTAAGGATAAATGAGATTGAGAAAAAAAAACAATTCTAAACATCATCATCTCTCATCATCCGTTTTATCATCTTCATGTTTTAATGTGTATTTCTTATCAAAGGATTATATTACCTCTTTGGATTAGTGTTGTTTTTCAATTTCTTTCTTCCATCATCATCATCATCATCATCATCATCATCTCTCTCTCTCTCTCTCTCTCTCTCTCTCTCTCTCTCTCTCTCTCTCTCTCTCTCTCTCTCAAAGTAAATCAAATTAACCGTGCCTAAGGTAATTATATCAATGTTTAAACTTGAATAGTTAACTGTTGTCACCTTTTTAAGTGAATTATATTTTTCAATTTCGATCATCAATTGTTTACCTTTTCTCTCTCTCTCTCTCTCTTTCTTTCTCTCTTTCTCTCTTTCTTTCTTTCTGTTTATTTATTTGTGTTCTTCATCTTCATCTGAACATTTTCTTGCGACAGTTGACTTACAACGATTTATATCCATGACATGGATTAACCAACCATGTCAATGTTTAATCAACCCAAGCCAACTTTGATTTTCTTAACTATTAACGGGATCAACAGTAACATCAACAAGGAGCTGAAAAAGGAGAACAGTTAAAGAGTAAGGATTGGAAAGAATCAACAACAGACTGCAACGATATTATTATTAAGAGAGAAAAGAAAGAGATTTGTGAATATCATGAAAATGAGAGAGAAAAAGATAGAGACAGAACGAGAGAGCAAGAGCAAGAATTAGTTGCTTTTACTGTGAATTACTTATTAATGAATTAAAAAGCTTAGGGGAGAGAGAAGATAAAATGAGTGAGTGTAGAAAGAGAGAGAGCAGAGGCTGTTAATGATGATAATGATGAAGAGGGAGAAAGAAGGATGTAAAGAGAGAGAGAGAGAGAGTAAGGTAGACAAGTCGAAACCAAAAAGGTGATACAATTAATTTGATTCTGGTGTCAGTTTTTTTCACCAAAACAACTTGATCATGTTTCTCATATTGTTTCTTATGTTACAATATTGAGGAAATTTATTCATAATCTACAAGTAATAACAATCAACTTTAACCATCAATTTTTAATTGTTTTAAACCACCTTTTAAATGAGCAATTTAATTACCATTTTGTTTTTCTGTTTGCTTGATTTTCACATGTTTCACTTTAAATGTACAAATCAATTGAATCATTGTTAATACTTTTGATAATTTCAGGTTAACAATAATTCAATTCATAGGAAAATCAATGGAAATCAGAATAAGTTAATGATGATTTTAATCATTTAATCAACATTAGGAACCATTTAATTTATTACTTTCTCTCAGTATTAATCAATTTTGGATTAAATCAGTGTGAATATCTTTCCTGTCGTGAGAGTGTCATCATCAATACTTAATTGTGTACCTTAATTGTTTTGTGCTCATCATAACCATCTAATTTTTAATTATTATATCAATCCCTTTTCTTTACCTTTCTTCATCGTCATCATATTAATAATATGGATCAACAATATTGATAACATTATACCAACAAGATAAACCAAATCAACATAGAAATCAAAGTTAATCGTCATTCACATGTCAAGTAGTTGGCAACAATTGATACACTAGTTGGAACACACAATTAACAACAACATTTAATCATCTCACTAATCATCTTGATCATCCTCATCTTCCCCATCATCATCATGCCCAAAGACAATGAGATTTGTTTAGATCATTTTGAAGATTTAATTGATGATTGTTCACCTTTAAAAAGTTTGATTGATCGTCGGATTGTACCTTCCAATGATAGAAGAGTTAAAATAGTGTGAGTATTTAATTTAATTGTTTACCATCAGTCAACAACAATCTGTAAATTGTTAATCAATAACTTGAAATCAAAACCATTACAACGAGAAAATTGATTATCGATATCATCGTAATTAGATTGATATTGTCAATGTAGGAAGGAAACAGGAAGAAACCTTTTAATTGTCTTTCTTTATTACATGATAATGATTTTTTTTTCTTTTTCTTATCTTCCTCATCTTCCTCATCATCATTGAATCAATAATAACAATCAGAGGAACCAAAAGACCCGATGTAAGAAATTTTTTCAATAATTTCAATGAATTGACTCAGGTAAGAAAATCGGAAAAGTAGTAGCAATAAAAATGATATGATAATCATAACAATCAACGAAAATTAATAAGTTAATCATCATTAATATTCACACTAATTATATTAACCTTACTCTCGGATGAATTGATTTCCTTATTAATCCATACTGATTACTATCATCATCGCCATCATTATGATTGTTATTACATTATATTATTTTTCACTTGATTGTCTTCATTGATTGACATTCAATCAATGACTTTTTTTTATGTTTCATTATATTGATTTTTATTATTATTATTTATCTTTTTTCTAATTATTTTACATTCAGAGTGATCAAGAAAATGGTAATAAAACTAATAATGAAGATGAAAAATCAAGACTGAAAACAATCAATAATATATCATCAACAATGAAAACTTTAACAACACTTAATTGTGATGAAAATGATAAGGAAGGAGCAACATCATTGGTATTAACTAATTACCATAAGATTTACAATAAGAATCACAATTTAAATAATAATAATGATCTCATTTACAATAACAATGAGATTAATGGATCACTTAAGGTTGAAGATGTTGGTTTGAAAGTGAAAACAATTAAATCATCATCATCTTCATCAATATCAACCTCATCTTCAAGTTCATCATCATCATCGTCATCAATTAATAGCAACAATGAAGCTGCCAATGGAACTGTTAATAATACAAATGATTCAGCATCACCTTTGAGAGAGTCTTCAATAATATTATCCGGAGTCACTTTATCACCAGAAATATCAGTTAATCCTAATCCAAGTAATAATTTTAATTCATTTGCCAATAAATCGGATAAACGAGCCAGTGACCATGATGGTGGATTTAAATTCATCAAATGGACTGCAAACCACAGAGGATATAAAATCAATCCAAGCAATAAACGGACCACATGGTTTTCCGATTCAACTCGTGAAGATGATGAAAGTGGTCAGTTAATCAAATTGATTAATCTCTCTTACAATTTATCAATTAATCAATTGTTTTTCTTATTCTCTTTACAATAGCTACAATTGTAAGTTTAAAGATCAAATCAACAGATCCAACAATCGGTGGTGAGAGTTATCATCATTTCGTTAATCAAAATGTTCCCGAGGCTAAACAACAACAACAATCACAAAGATCAACAACAACATCTAACAACAAATTATCATCATCTCTCGGCTTGGGTGAACAATTTGTTCGTGCTCGAAGTAATTCAAGTCCTGAAGCCAAGGTAAGCTACGGTTCTATTACTTTATCGTTCACCTTTTTTGTTTTTCTCTTGCGACAATTTCCTGTTACGATTAAATTGATAGATGATAAAATCAAGTAGACTAAATTGCAAAACAATCAAAAAAAACGCACAAAATAGTTGGAACAATATATCACATAGACAACTCACCTTTACCTTATATAAGAGATGAACAGATGAAGAAAACAAGGAAATGATAATCAAAGTGTCTTGACCCATGAATTTTTGACCATCACCATGTTAATGATGATGTTAATGATGATATTGCAAGGAAATGATAATTAAGATGAATAGTAAGACATGTAATTTTATTATCATCAATTAGTTTGTTTCTCTTGAGCGTTTTATCCAGTTAATTTAGCAATGAACGCTCATAGTAAATTAAGACAAGAAAAGTAATTTAAAAGAAAAAAGTTAAAAACGGAAATTAATTGTTACTAAATATATAATATAAGTTTGTTGAGATTGTACAATTAACAGGTTGATATACTTTCTTAAAGTTAGTTAGTTGTTGTTGTTTCGTTTTTGGAGGTTATTACAATTAAGAGAGACAAAGTTTTCGGTTGTTACCTTATCCATTTAACTAATTGTTACAATTAGAAAGACCAAGGTGATGGAGATTCCCCCCATCCACCGCCGTTCCACATGCTTGGTGGCCAACTGCCACCTCCGAATCCTCCACCACCTCCAAAACCAACGCCATTGCCCCAGGGCGAGGACATTTCATGACTTCTACCGAGAAAAATCAGATTAATCATAACAAATTAATTCACTTTTTCTTCATGAAACAAAACTTTAATTGTGCTCTTATTGTTGCCGTGTTCAAGCAACGATAACAATAAGAACAATTTAAATTATAATCAATTATCTACCGGTAATAATAATGTTAAGAAATCTTAATTGTTGCTATTACAACTTTGTTGATTAGTTTTAATAGTTGATAGTTTAAGTAAACAGAAACCTTTATATAAATCAACTGATTAACAAGTTTCACTGATAATCAACATTGATTAACAAGTTGTTACTAATGTTTTCATTAATCAAATTAAATCATCTCAACATCCTTATTGATAAAACTACATATAACTAGTAAGAGTGTTTAAGTGATTAAATGTTAATTGTAACAATTAACTTACCTCATTGGAATCGGCATTGGGAAAGCAATGATAACTTTTTTACCTCCGAGTAAAAGTTTACCCAATATCCCAGCCTTGATTAACTTTTTGTAGAAAAGTTTCTTGAATCCGTTAACTTGACAGGGAACAATTAACATAACAATTAGGGTAACAATCACCAAATGAAGGATGATTAAACTTGATTGTTTGCTCATTTTCAGGCAGCTTATTATTAATTGTTAAACTGATCACTAATATAATAAAATAAAACGGAAAGTAAATGTAAAAAAGTGTAATAACAAAATCTAAACAAAACAATGGAAACTCAATGATAATTAAGATGATTAAATAATTAAAAACGATAGGAACTCATGTATATAACAAATATTAATAATATAAGAAAATTTGAAAGAAAACAAATTTACAATTAGCTAATCAAATTCAACTAATCAACTGAATTTGAAACTTTTTACCAATTTATTTATATATAAAGATGTTGAGTCCAGTTAGGCTTATCAATAATGATGACCATTCATATTGAGGATGGACATTGATGATTATAATGATTTTTACTATTTCATTGATCCTCCTCCTCATCCTCATCATCTTGTCATCTCTGTACATCATCACAATCATCCTCATCTTCATCACTCTCACTGATATCAAGTCACATCTACTCAAAAGGCCGGACTTTGATGATGATGATAACTTATCATCATCATCTTACCTTTAACTTGCTAAACCTCTCACTGTTTTTGCTCCTTCTTTTCATCCCTTATCATCTTAATCCTCATCTTGATCATCATTCAACTTTATCTATTATTTTCTCATAATCGGTAGGAATTAACAGATTTGATTAATGTTAATCATTAATACTAAGTAAATAGTATAGTTGATAATACAATATCAGAACTTTTCTCTCTCTCTCTCTCTCATTTCTAATTCTTAATCATCATTAGATGGATTAAATTCAATTGTGTCCCAAATTTAATCATCATTATTGATGATTGTTGATAATTTAAATTGTTACCCGAATGAAAAAAATAACAATCTCTTGAAACTCTCGCTGTTACAATAATTACAATTACAATTACATTGAATATAAGTTATCATCAATACTTTTCTGTATGTAATTAAGATTGTTGGTTAAATTGTTATTGGTTAGATTACTGTGATTTGTTATTGTCTTTGTTGTATTACAATTAACTGATTGTAGTTGATCGTAACAGTTAATCATCATGATCAAATTTAGTATTTTGATTAAATCACGATGATGATGATGGTTAATCAAAATCTATTACATTTAATAGTTGCCCGGATATTGTTTTCTTATTTTATATTATCATAATAATAGTTACAATTAAATTAGTTGTAAAAAGTTAATTCTCTTGACCAAATTGTAATTAAAATTTTCTATGACAATCCCTGATACCATTGTTGATGGTTAATCAATCAACTGAATTAGCGATCAGTTAATTGAAGGGTTATCAAAATTATTTGATTGTTACAATTTTCTTGACAAAATTAAGTTAATTTTAAAATAGTTTCACTTTCACTGATTGTGTTTTTGATTCATTGATTAACTTAATTCACAATCAATTGTGGATTTGATCTGATTCACCAATCCATAAATCACTAAACACTTTCACCTTCCTCTTAATTGTTGATCATTATTATTATTAATTGTTAATTTATGCGTAGTTATTGTAACACCCAATGTGACCTACAATCAACAAATTTCATAACTCACACAATCTTAATTGTTTGGTAACAATTATCATCATTCATCAATGCGTAGGCTTAAATAATGTTGACCTTTCCCGTTAATTGTTGATTGTTATCAACAATCAATGAAAAAAAATTGCTTCAAGTAACTTCACCTTTTTTTACATTAATTTGTATACCACCTAGAGTTTTAATCACAATTAGATTAACAACTAACTGTTATCCTAATCCAATTAATTATCTTAAAACAAAACAAAAAAACTTAATTGTTTCCATGGGAAATCAAGAAATCAATCAAGTTACATCTTAGTTACAGTTAATTGTTGATAATTTTCAATCACAATGTACCACAAAATTTTTGATGATTTGTGTTGCAACAATTTACTAATTGTGTTGATTTTTAAGTGATAGTTAAGTTTGATCACTAAATCGATTAATATAATTAACGATTTGATTTACCGATTATTTTGACAAAACAACTCAATTGTTATTTTTACATCTACAATATACTTAATTGTCATACTGTTTTGATTGATTGTTGAAAGGGTAATATCACAATTAAATTAACTATTACCTGTTAACTAACACGTTTCAAACTTGTAGCAATTAAGTTGCTTCAATTTTTTGTCATTATTTTTTGTTTAAACTTCAATTGTATTAATTGAATAATCAATGAACTTTTTTTTTAATTTAAGTTGTTATATAATGATTAGTTAATTGTTGCGATGTTTCTATTATTATTTTAATAACAATTTGTCTGATGATTTATTTAGATAATTAATATAATAACAATTAAAATTAAACTGTTGTCATTGTCAGATTGTTGCAATAATTGACAATAACATGTGAAGGTGACAATTAGTAATCATAATCATCGACAATTTAATCAACACTCACCTTGTAATTAGTATATATGATAATATGTGTGTGTGTTTGTGTACAATTTAATTGTGATTAAAGTTTTTCTTGATTAGTTTTGTTTTAAACGTTAACTGCGTGGTTTTAATTGTGATTAAAATAAACAATTCCTTAAACAGTTGATTGATTTAAACACTTTTACAATTGTAACCATATAACAACGGAAGTGATTAGAGTTTCTTACAAAACAATCAGTTAACTATTGATTAAATTGATAAGCTTTAATTTCAATTAATACATATGGTTAAGGAGGGGGAGTTGATGATAACAATTAAGAAATCCTGTTTCATTAATTAAGTAGCGAAATGATTTATCTAGTTGATTTATTTACAATTAAGAATATAAATTGTTGTGTAAACGAAGATATTGATTGTTGTATTTTGTTAATTGTGTCTTTATGGCGCTCATTTAATTGTATTCTCGGTCTTAATTGTGGTGTTAATTACCACCCACCCCAACCTCCACCTCCACCTCCTCCTCCAAAGTGATGAGGTGATTGCCAAGATGAGTAATGATGATGATGATGAACATTGAATCCACTGTTTAATTAAGAGAGAGAAAAAAAAATTAGTTAATTAGTTGACTTAACAATCAAATTAAACTGTTGTCTTTTTTTTGATAACCGTAACTAAATTGTGACAACTTGTTACAATCAACAACAAATTAACAACAATAATTAGGGTCATGGTCAATAATTAATGTTGGTGATAATTAATTAAACTCTTCCTTGATTTAAATCATCAACTGATTGTTGCAATTTGATATTTGATGATTAAACAAACTAAATCAACTGATTGCAAGGTTAATCAAGTTTATTATTAGTGATTAGAATGAGAAACTTTTATTCAAGATCAAATTATCATTTACAACAATCAAGATCGGAAGTTTAATTCAATTTGATCAGTTAATTGTTAACCAAGCAACTACGTTCAAATCACTGAAATAACAATAAAAATTAAGTTAATTGTTGATCAAACCTCAAGGTTTAATTTAAACCAACACAATTAATTAACTTAATTCTATCAATAGTTAATCAACTAATCCTAACTACAATTTAGTGATTAAATCTTATCATTAGTTGGACCTAATTTAAAATATGTTACAATTTAAGGTTAATTGTTGCAAAACTTTGATCTTGTTTATGATAGACGATTAATCAACCATAATCAAGATCCTAATCATAACTGTTTACATGATAAGTAAATGTTAATTAGCTAAATCATAATATTTGTATCTTATTTCAATTAAATATTAATCCTGAACAATTAATGATCAGATAACAGATTAATAGTGTTAATCAACTGTTGATTGTTATTCAAATTTACAAAAATAGCATTTCAATGAAGATTAACTTAATTAATCCAATCCAATGGTCTATTAACTGTCACAACTAATAACTTAAGATTGAAATGATAACAATCAATAAATGTAAACAACAATTAGTTGATTAATCAAGATAACAATCAAATTGAGAGTATCTTATAATACAAACATATGAGAAAGTAAATATTTGTTAAATGATTGAAACTTAAATGAACCAAATTAACTAGGTTAATGTTAATTAGTAATTTTCTTAAGGTAACTTAGCAAATGATTAATTGATTGTTCGTAAATACAATTAATTATGGAAACAATTAACTTACCTTTTAAATGGAATCGGTATTGGCAGAGGAATAAATTTTTTCTTCTTCAATGATTTAAAAATTTTCTTCTTCAATATTTTACCAAAGAGTTTGTGTTTTTTACCATCAACTAAATTAGTCTCTTCAATTGTGATTAACAGAATGAAACAAATTAAACAGGCAAAGATAATATAACGTTGATCCATCGTTGGTTAGCTAATTGCTGTTGATTAGTTTTAATTGTTACACAGAAACAAACAAATACTAAGCAAGAAAACCAAGAAAACTTCAATTGGATTAACTTGAATGTCACTTTTATGTAATATCTTGAATGTTAATGTTACCTTGTTGAAGGTGAAACGTTTTGTAACTTGATTAACTGTTGATGTTGATCATTTTTATGGTCAATCCGAAAAACTGACCAACAGTCTGTCCACTATCTAGGCCGATGTGATAATAATATTTATATTAATAACTTACTTTCCCTCTTAAACTATTATAACTTTCACTTTGATGGAAAAAAAACTTTCACTGTTGGTCAACTTCCTCCTCCTTATCCTCCACCCTTGTGGTCAGTATTGGCTTTGAGTGTAAGGTCAAGCTCCTTATTGAAGGCGGACCTGGAAAAAATCATAATCATCTTTAATTTAATCATGATGATTATAATTATGATTATCATGAACTCCATTTAAAATGATATATTATTATTGATCGTTGTTACTATCTACCGGATTAACGGTAATTTTCATTTTTCTGGTTTGACCTTTTCTGGTTTTTCCAAATCATCACAATATGAGGTCAGTTAATTGTTGATGACCAGTTACTGATTGTGGACAATTTAATCACTGTTGATTAGTTTGATTCATTGATTTCTCATTAATTGCCCGAGTTTCCCAATCAATCACAATTATTGTTTTCCTTTAGCTTTTAATTATTAACCAACTGATTTGTTGTTTAATTGTAATCATTTTTTATGGTGTTAATCTAACATCAATATCGTTTAATCATCAATAAGTTAATCATTTTCTTGGTGTTAATTTGGTGGTTAATTGTTGCTTCTGTTGTTGTTGTTGTGGTTGAAGGCAATTAACAATTGTAATGATAACTTCCGGATTAATCTGTTTCTCCAATCAATGTAACCGATTACAATTATCATCAGAATTTAATTGTTAGGATTATTTAATCAATGTGTTTCATTTCAATCTGACATTTACAATTAAATGATAACAACAATTTAATTTAATCATTTAGCCTTCACCTTTACCTGTCAAAATTAACTGTGATTTGTTGAATACTAACCAATCAAATTAACCTTTTACCTTTTCAACAATTAACTGCATCAACTTAATCAGGATGAAGGGGATTACTGATTGTGATTCGGATTAGATTAAATCAACACGATTGATTATTCAAATCAAGTATTGATGACATTTAATTAACTTTACAATATTACAATAATCAATTGATTATTATTTTACGATTAACTCATTTTTACGCAATCAATTTTGATTGTTAATTTAAGTTGTTAAGGTCAACATCGGGTCTTCCTCAATAGTAGTAATAATAATCGGTTAATTGTTGAGATTAGTTTACAATTAGCGTTTATTTTAATTGTTTCAAAGTTAATCGGTAAGAATCAATTCTGTAAATTGAATCTTTTACTACTAATCAATCAAGGACAATTAATTGTTTCTTTTTTATGGTTAATTGTAAATTGTTGTTACAATAACTTTTGAACCCTTAACTTTAATCGTTCATCATTTAATTGATTTATTAGCTGTTATTAATTTCTAACACTGATTGCTACTAGTTAATTGTAGTGTTTTGATAGCATTTAATTGTGAAATGTAAAAGTTATTAGGCTTTAATCAATGGTCATCATGAACGAAGGTCAATCATGATTAAAGTTAAATTGTTTCACTTAATTTGTGTGAATGTGTAGGCTAAATTGTAACAATCATCACAATTATTGGAAACTAATTAACTAATCAAAGTTGGGGGTTAGTTTTGTAAATTGTTGGTTAACTTTAAATGAGAAACTTTCACTTTCAATTTCATATCTAAATTGATGATACCAAACAATCAAGGAAATTGAAAGTTTATCATGAAACAATCAATCAAACATGAAAATCAATTGTTAGATAATATTAACACTAATATTATCATCATCACCATCATGAAGGATAAATTGTTGAAAATAATTGAAAAAAAACAATCAAAATCAACTAATGATAATCATCTTAAAATCTCAACAATTGATTTAATTTGATTGTTGTCATCTTCCTACTCACATTACTTAATCAAGATAAACAAGGTTGATTATATATACGTTGTTAATGACAGGTTATCATCATGATTATCATCATGATTAAGATGAGGATGAAATAAGAAACATTCCTGGAATTGAATTAAATCAACTGTAGATAAATTAACTATTGATTGTTATTCAATTTTCTCAATGTTAATCTTGATTCAATTATTACTTTGGCCAACTAAATTTGATTTAAATTTTAAAAGGAAACACGGAAGTCTATTTATTAGCCTTAATCATGATGATGATCATCTTAATTATTATGATGAAATAGATTAATAGTTATCATAATCACTGATGGAAAACCTAATTTCTAATACTAATCTTGTTTACTTAATTTACTATTAATATTTAGGTCTCTCTCTCTCTCTTACCTTGATAATCTGATGATCACGATTAAAATTTGTTATTCTCATCTAATTGTTTTGATTGTCGATTAATTAACGGTAATTGTGGTACTCTAATTAATTCTAAGAATAAATTTCTTCTTGATTCACTTATTCACTGATTTAGCCTTCAAGGTAAAAGTTTAATTAGTTGAACATTTTGATTGTTATCTGCGGTCAAATTGCTGTTTTTTTCTCGTCTATTTAATTATATTAATTGTGCTACGAGACGATCATGATTAGTAAATTATCATTTATCTAAATTTATCCTAATCTTGTAATTTCATTTCAATCTTGATTTACTTTCACTTTTTGATTATAATCAGCTGATTGTTATGATTTGATTATGTTTTCATAGACATGGTAAATTGTTTCTGTAGTCATAATAATAATAATTGATTCTGTGAGCTATTAACTTACAATTAATAATTAACTTTCATTTGATTGTCAATGGTTCATTTGAAATGTTAATTGTTCAGAAATGTTTACTTAATCATAATTCTTGCTTTTAATTACACTTTTCTTGATTATTCAGCCAACTATAAACAACTAATTATGAATTGAAAAAATAATTACAATTAACAATTTAAAGTTTTTCATGAAAAATCAGGTTCAGAGATTGAGTTAATTTGTTTGTTTATTATTATCAAATTTGCTTTTATCAAAATCTAATCAATTTGATCACAATCTCAAGAATAATTTATTTAATTGTTGATTAACTGTTAATTGTTTATTTCTTAATCAACAGGAATCGTCTGTTCTGGTCAATGGTAATTCAAATGATAAATTAAATAGAAATGAAATTAAACCATCTAACAAAGGTAAATATTGACTACCAACAATTAGCTAATTGTTTCCCAATCAAACTTTTCTCAACAATTTAGATTTAAATCAATTTTTACCCATTTTATAATTAAATTATCATTATTAATGGTAACAATTTAATGAATTGAACACAATCAACATTATTGAGCTAAAATAAACCAGAAATTGATTGAGCGCAAGTCCCACAATAAAAACTTTTTTAATTTCTCCTTGTGAACTTTAATTGTTACGATTGAATTTAGGTTACAATCACGATAACAGTGATATTAATCACTCTAAGGAATCAAACGAAGTTAATTGTAACCCAAGTACCACTTCCGAGAAGAAAAGAATCGGTGAAATAATTCGTAATCTACTTCGACGGAGGCCAACATTAGATGAGATTCGAGAGAAAGGAATTCTTATCGGTAAGTGACCTTTTCTTTTCAATCGAATCAACAAACTGATATTAATTATATTCTAATTGTAGATGGACCTGTATTCGGATGTGATTTAAGCTCATTATGCAATCGAGAAGGTCAATTAGTACCAAAGATTTTACAATATTGTATCGATGCGATTGAGGTGAAAGGCTTACAAACGGATGGACTTTATCGTATCTGTGGTAACCTTTCAGAGGTTCAAAAGATACGATTCCAAGTTAATCATGGTAAAGATTAAACTGATGAAATTGTCGACGATCAACTAATTTAATTGTTTCTCTAATCAATTAGGTAACTACGATACTATCTGGTCACAAGAAAATGTCCATGCCTTAACTGGAGTATTAAAATTATTCCTTCGAGATCTTAAAGAGCCTTTGTTGCCATTTGACCTTTTCAACTCGTTCATATTCACTACTGGTAATTGTTAATTAACTAATTGTCATCAAGCTATAGTTAATTGTTGACTGTGTTAATTTACTGTTGATCAAATGATGTCAATTTCGTGATACTTTAATATCAAATCTTGTTGTTGTTTCAATGTTGTTATTACTTTTCTCATCTAATAATTTTTGTTTTATTGAGATGAGCAAAGATTAACAATTAGTTAATTGTCATTGATTAATCTTATCGAGAGTATATATTTATGGTTTCCAGTGATTAATCATAATCAACGGTGTTGCATTGATTAGTTTTCAAGGTTACCTTCAAGTGTTTTCAGTGTCACAATTAATTAGATTGTTCAAGAAAATATAGTAATTACTTTAATTAGAATTGTCATTTAAAGTGTAAAATCAATTAATTGGATTGAAAATCATTTCGATTATTGATCTAATTTCTAATCAAACGTCGACACAATTAACTATTCATAATTCATTATTCTTTTTCCTGAATTTCTACAAGAAATTAATTATAATTAACTTAATTGTCTACAGGTATTCCTAATAAAAAGATCAAATTGAAGCTCTTCATAAGCTGATTAATCAATTACCGAAGTGCAATTATCATACTCTGGTATTTTTAATGAAACATTTACTAAGGTAAATTATTATGACTTAATTGTTTCTTTTTCTCGAGCAATTTAAACTAATCATTTTCGTTTAATTATATTCAGAGTTGTTCAATATCAGGATAAAAATCGGATGCAGATTCAAAATTTGTCAATAATTTTCGGGCCGACGTTAATGTGGCCTCGAACGGAATCAAATGACTTCTCGTACGATATGATGCTTCGAGTTCATTGTAATCGTATTGTTGAGATCCTATTAACTGAATTTAATGCCATCTTCATGGTCTCCATGACCTCTGTATGATTAACTAATTGTTTATCCTCATCCATGATCATCAAATCAGTTTCAACAATCACATTTCAGTTAATCCGTTTTCCTTAATCCAACTTTAATATACTCTCACTGTCTTTTCATTGATTTGCTCAACAATTAGAATACAATTTACCTTAAATTTGGCCTAAGACACAAAAATCCTCCAATTGTGTTGTTTAATTGTCTTTTCATTCATAAATTTACTAATTGTGATTGTTAATCTAATCCATACCTCCTTTTTAATTGTGATTACTTTCTAATATTTTATTCATATTTAGCATACATTATCATTAGATTATTGTGTATGTTTAATGTGCTGATTGTAAATTGTGAGTTTTTTTAATTATCTTTCATTTTTAATTATTCTCATTATCATAAATAGCCTGGAAAACTTTTTCGTCAATAATTATTTAAATTGTTTCAATTATTGTTTTGATTATTATCCCTAATCGAATTGGGTTGATTAAAAGGAAACAATTGATTATTGTTTGAATGGATAATCTATTGATCAAACTAATTGTTTTTGTCAAAAAAAAGGTAAATACATTTAGAAATATAAATAATTAGAGATTTTCATCTAATAATTTGTTAATTGTTCATTCAATAGGTTGGTGTGTGTGTGTATATGTGCCAGTCACAGGTTTCAGATTTATAGACAAAGTCTTGGTTTCTAATTTGGATTAATTGATTAACCAAAGGTAATTCAATCCTAATAGTTTTCGAAGCAGTTAAGCTTTAGATTATCATAATTAGTTGATTGTTTGGCAAAGTATAAAAAGATTTACAATTCGTGAGAAGAATAAGTTTTCAAAGATCTTCGAAAAAGGCAACACGAGCTTTCGTTGTTCCAGATTTGGTTCGTTTTAATGTTGAATATTTGTTATCACCTCGAGTTGAATTTTCTTCGTGAATTCGATCCATTGTTGTTAATCGATCTTCAACTTTAAGAACTTCAATCTCTGATTTAAGATCTTTTAATTGTTCATTAAGATGTCGACTTTTCTTTAAATATTCCAACCTTTCTTTCTCGATTTCAAGAACCAATTTATCAACATCGGTATCGTTAATAAGGTCACTTGTGGTTGGACTGGTAAGTATATTAATCACGTTTTCTGGTCGGTTAACCAGAACTCCGACTCCAGGAGGAGGTACAATGGTACTTGAAGTTGGTATTGGGCTGAGAGTCGGATTATTGGATAAAGTTAATGCCTGGAAAGAGCTGTTTGTACAGGGTGGTAGTGGCGGTGGTGGTGGTGATAAACTGGTTGGATTTACAATGATTGGATAAATATCGTTGACCGCAACATCGTAAATGGTCATTTCTTTCAATTTACTTTGACAAACTGAATTATGATGATAATCCAAAGTATCTAGATTATTGGTAATATACAGTGAATTTGAATTGATTTGACCAGAACCTCCGTTGATTATTGATGATGATTTAGAACATTTTGTATCATTTAATTGATGAGATCCATTTATGTAGATTGTGGTCGAATCAAGAGATTGATTCCGTGAGGGTAGTCCCAAGATGCTGAATAATTTTTCTTTCGATTCTCGTTCAGATAATTTAGCTTTCAACAATTCTTCCCTTAATTGTTCCGCTTCTTTTGTTCTCCTTTCACTTTCTTCGACCATTGTGGTGGCCAGAAATTCAGCTTCAGCGGCTTTTCTTTCCATAAGCATCTTCTCCTCTTCTGCGTTAAGGGCATTTATTTTCACTCTTTGAACTTCGGCCTCAGTTTCTGCCGCTTTTTGCGATAAAATGATGGCATCTTCTTCGGCTAAACGAGCCTTTTCCGCCAAAAGTTCAACAGTTTCTTCTGATCTTCTCAGTGCTTCCTGAGCAACTCGAGCTTCTTCCTGATATTGGAATAATCTTTGCTGAAGTTCCCGTTTATCTCTTTCGGCTTCTTCTCGTAACTGTTTCTCTTTGATAAATTTTGACCTTTCACTTTGTCTTCTTAGTTTCTCCTCCTTGGCCTGCGCTTTCATCTGTTGCATTTCCATGGTATCTGGACGACGTCTTTTCATATAGAGATCATGATTCCCAATACACAAATCTAAGATTAGTTTGTTCATTCGAGTCTTCGAAGAGTAGAAATGAAAAAGCGGCGCATTCTTGTCAACAGGTTTAATGGTAAACTTTTTATCATCATATGAAATATTACGAATCTCATTCCATGGAAATGTAATCTTGGGTGTTAGTTTATTATCCTTTTCATAGATGTTCAATCCCATGGCAGTAACACCTAACCAAAGTTCAGATTCTTTCTTATTACTTATTGGAAAATAATTAACACCATACATGTCAAGATCTTGAGCTATTTTCAAATATTCCATTTCCGCTTCATCTCTGCCCATTCCTCTATGATCGGCATACCAAACTCTAATCCTTTCCTCCCACATTTCCGATGTCATCTGATATTGATCGATAACCCGTTGAGGTAATAAATCTTCAGCATCAGCTAACATACCAGGTTTGTAATTGGCCTCATCATAATCACCATATTTGGCCTGAACAGCGTAACTGGCCAATAAAACGGAAGCTTCTGGTGGACAGTAAATATCCTCATTGAGAATTGCTTGTTTAACTTGTAGAAAGAAAAGATGTTGAGTAATTTCTTGGATTAATTCTTCAGCAACATCTTCAGGGTAAAATTTGGCAAGAAAAAGAAATGACATTTGAGGCACTGATTTATTCTTGTATAATGAAAGACTCGATGAAGAAGATGAATTTGATGAATAATAAGGTTTGTACGTTAATCTATTTTCTTGATCACATATTCGCTTATCCATTTTTAACCAAGCAATATAACCTGTAATTTATATAATAAACATATAGAAGATAAAATGAAGATTAGAACAGTTTAATAACATTAAATTTAGATAATAGTTCTTGGTAATTACCTTTAACATCTAAATATTGAAGGCCAAAGAAACACGTTTCTCTTGCACCCAAGGTACGAGTGACCAATTCAAATAGATCACCACCCGTTGCCTTATGTAATATATCAAAATCTAATTGAGCGTCCATGGTGATCACCTCAATTGACATCATTTTACACTTGGATCCTCTTAATAGTCCTTTCATCTTTGTTTCAAATTTGATTGTATTTCCAATGATATTGTATAATTATAACCAACGAATCCTCAATCTGATGAAATACACGGAGAGATAACTAAGTAAGTAAACAGAATAGAAGAAAAAATTTACTCAATGAAAGAAAATAATTGTTTTTTTCTATTTAATCTTTACCTTATTACTTTCTGTTACATTTCAGAATCTAATTAAAACTGTAATTAGAATAAATTTAACAGTTAAAATGTAATCAATTTAAATTAAATTAATTAGAAACAAAATAAATACAAAAAGTTGTCAAAATAAAAACAAAACAAACAAAAAAAATGAAAGAAGATTGAGTTTAACTCTTATCTCAATAGATGGCGCTGTCAGAGTGTTAATCAGTTGATTAAATTGTTGAAATTAATGTGAACAATTAAGTGTTAACTATTAACATTATTAAATTAATCGTTTCATAGTGAGTAAATTGTTCAGATAATTGAGAAAGACGTTGAGTTTTTAATGTCTTTTTTTGGGTGTTTATTGAATTTCAGTTGATTGAATAGGAATTTTTTTCTATTGGAAATTTTTTTTTCTTCCTTAATTGTCACAATTACTTTTCCATTTATTGCAGTATTAATCATATAACCTAAATTATGGTTAACTATGGTTAATTGATTTCTGATTGGGATAATGTTTTTCTTTGTTAATCAATGAAATAATTAACCTGGAGTTAGTTAATTACTCGGAAATGATCAACAAAAAGTTAACTTGATCATTTGAATGATCTTAATTACTAATTAGCAATCATATTTAAATTTTTTAAACCTTTCTACAATTAATATTGCTAGTTAATTAATCAACCAATTGGTATTTCCCTTTGGAAACTCTAGTTCATGATTAGTTCAATAGTCTAATTATATTGTTTCCTTTTTCCCTGAGCTGATTAAATTCACTGGAATTGTTAATCAAATAATTAACATTAAAAAAATCTCTCGTGATTTGGCACTGAATTTAATCGCTTGATTTACCAATTAGATTAACTTTAATCAATTGCAGATAATTATTCATCAAGGAAGTGGAATCTCCCGAAATTAATCAAATTTCATTTCAAGATAATTTAAGATAAAATTGAGCTCATTGTGATTAAACTAATTGACAAATAGTTAATGAAAATGATTTATTATCAGGAGATTTCAATGATAAATGTTTAATTTGATTTTTATATATCATCATGATAACATTTGATAATTAACTGATTGCTTTTACACAATCAATATGACAAGATTTGTTAATTGCTTGGGAAAGATCAGGAGATCGGGAAAAAACTGATTCGTATTTTGATCAGACCCCTGAAAGTGATTAACATGATGATTTAAATTTGATGATTTATGACAACATTGAGTATAAAAAAAAGTGATTGTTAAAAAATAAATATTAGAGCAATTAATTGCCAGGTAGAAACAATTAAAATACAATTTGTCAAACATAAAATACATAAATATAAGGAAGATAATTGAATTTATCAAATTGTAACAAATGATAAAATAGTGACAATCAATTGTTTATATTTGATTGGAAAATAATTTCTCTGTGTTTAGCTTTTGTCACTTTGATGATTATCGGTGGGAAGCGGTTTGATTATGATTAAAAGTAGGCCAAAAATGGCTAATAGAGTAGCTGATCCACAGACGAACGATAAAACATCCCGATAAAATTCAACGTGACCCGCGCACGAAGGTGAATCGGTCGGGTGGAGTTTCTGTATAACCATGACAGCGATACCATTGGAAACTTTGTCCAGAAAACTCATTGCACCAAAGACAAAGGCACCCGAACTTGTATTATGTCCGATAAGGTCATTGGTTAAACCGAGAGAAATGACCAACATTATTGCTCCAGAAAATCCAAGTAAAATGACAACGAAAAAAATACCATAGACTCGGTAAAATGATCCTTCGCTCAGGTACATCCAGGTATAAGTGGCGGCGGACATTATACAACCAATCGCGTATAATAAGCGTTTACCCAGTCGACGGTCAAGGTATTTGGTGGCCAGGGAAGCGATGAATGAGGCGCAATACATGACGAGCGGGATGTAGGCGATACTTTGTTTCCTCAGGTTAAGAGTAAAGTGAAGGTAAAACGGAATGTAAACTTGAGTTATATTGATCACTAATCGCGTTCCCATGTACAAGACACCAAGAGAGTAAAATTGAGGGACACTGAACCATTCCCACCATTTAAGATGAGGATCTTCAACATTTCTTGACCTTTGATCGGTGTTTCCATTTTGTTGATTGTTTGTTTCTTCATCACTTGTTGATTGAGGTTCATCATTATCTTTTACTTGATTGTTGTTACTTTTACTTCGGGATGTTTCATCAACAATCAGATGAAATAGTAAAGTGAAAAAAGCTCCAAGTGAAAGAATGGAAATTATTAGAATACGAAATTTGGGTGCATCGGTTGGTCCAATTGTCGAATCTCCTAGAGATTTATTGGAAATTTCATCACTAGACCAATGGTGACTTTCTTGAGAGAGATAATTGGTTAGCGAAAATGTTACATTGTTGTTATCATTGGTGTTGGTTGATGTTGATTCGTCAACCGAAAGAACCAACCAGGTAATTATGTAAACGGTAATTGATGAGATGACGGTCCAAGAGTAACGAAGAGAGTTAAGGCCAACCCGTTCATTTGAGATCGGTGTTAAATCGGGAATAAGTGATAGATGGGAAACTTGGGTCGCAGCCCAACCAAATTGAAAGAGAGAGATGAAAATTGAATAATAAGCGAGTCGATTTGAAGTTGATGAGTTATCACAATTAAAAACACACGGATTAAAAATTAAGGGAAAACTTAACAGAACTGCAATGGAACCCAAAAGATGCCAGAACTTTTTCCGACCATAGTTACCGAAACTAAATTTATCGGAAAATATTCCAACCAGTGGGGTTGCTGCACCATCGGCAATTTGACCAACTAAAAGTAAAACACCAGCGGCAGCGGAGGAAAAACTCAACACCAGTGTCATGTAAACCAACAGGTAACTAAACCAAATAGCGGAACACAGGTCATTTAAAACATGGCCCACCGAGTAGCCTAATTTTTGTTTCAATGGCAGTGGTTTGTGAAGGCGGGAGGACGGGGACGGAGGTGAAGATGAGGTAAGCATAACGGTATCGTCAAAATCGTCACCGTGAATAGTTAAATCGGATGGTGTTGTTGGTGGTGGTTGCGGTGAATATGTTGGAAGGTGTGAATAAGATTGATTGTTAGAATCCATAATCAATTTTAAGCGTTCAAACAATTGGTTAATTATCTCCTTTTTTTTGTTGCCGTTCTGATCAACGCTAATCAATAATATTTGTCACAAGGGGAGTATGTAGGTTCCAGTTGAATCTATCGAAAATCTATTGAAAAAAATTGGGAATTTTGAATAAATCAGTTAATTCTGGTGATTTGTCGATGATTAAGTGTTGATATTAGGCTATGATTGAACTGGTATGTAGTAAATTGAATTTGAGACTAATCAATTTAATCAACCTAATAATCAAATTAAAATTAATCACCAATTATAAAGAGTTAATGGTAATGTTTACAACTTTTCCCTTACCTAATTAACACAATCAGTTAATGGTATTGATATTGAATGATGATGATAATGATGATGATAAGGATGATGAAGATGAAGATGAAGGATAGATTTAAACAAGAAATTGATATTACTTGAAATTAATATTAACCTTCATGTGAACATTAAAACAATACAATATGGATAATTTGTCCTGACAAGTAATCGTTTGTGAAGTTAAACAATTAATGATTGAAAGGAAAATCTAGAAAAGTAATTAATTGAATCTAAATTGTGAGATAACATTTGATTACCACTTAAAGTAATTGACAATCTTTAAGGTAACAAACAACAAGATGAACACTAATCCAAACTTAAATGTCACCAATTGGCACCAATGTTTTAATAATTGTTGTTTCTTTCAATTTCTTTCATTCAATTCCCATGGTTCATCTTCATCATCACCTGAATCTTCACCATATCCAATATCAATCCAATGAGAATCATCAGCTAATTGTGACAATCAACTAAAAAAGTAAAGAAAATTGAAAAGTGTAAACATCAACATTGTCCCTTTGTTTCAAACATACAAATTACTTGCCAAGTGAAACATTTAGTTTACATTAAATTGTAGTGATTAATTCAACTTGAATTTTGATCAATGACTTACCAATGAATGGAGATAATTGTCTTGTGTCTAATAAAAGTGTCAACAATTGTAAATACAAACAAAAAGGAATAACAATTTACACCATTGAGAAAATAATCAACATATAAAATCCGTTGGAACCTCCAAATGAAAATGGTAATAATCACTTCAATTGCCGATATATTTTCCTCTGATTTCAGTTTCAATTGATGATGAACACATTGATGAACACAAATGTCTAAAAAGAATTAATTAAATCAACAATTAACTACAATTTAATAGAAAAATGGAAAGCTCATCGTTGAGAAAATAGAAAAAAAGAAAACACCTCAAGGAAGAAAACGCAATTACTACAATCTCCCTGAAATTGTTTGTTTTGATTTTCCACTTTTTCGGTTTGTCTTTTAAATGAAAGACTTTTGTTTATTTGTCATGATAATTATGTTTTAATTAATTTAGTTCTTTTTATTTATCGTTCTAATTTTATAGTTTAATTAATTTCTTTTAAACATTTGTGTCATTTGTGTTCACCCATAGAAGTTTAAATAATCTCTCGTATTGTTTCAGTTAACATTTTCTCTTCTCTTTTTTCCTTCTTCTTTTTTTCTTCTTTTTGGTTGTTGAGGATTTCCAATCAATGTTGGGCTGATGATTGTTTCTTTTTGCTTCTTCTCTCCCTTTGTAATAGCGTATTTATTTTTATAGTGCTGTTGCTTTTTCTTCATTTTCTTTCCTTTTTTTCTCTCTCTTCCATCATCTTCACCTTCTTTTACTGAACAAAATTACATAAAAAATATTCTTTTTTTCTCAATCTCTTTGTTTCTCTTTTCTTTTCACAGTTTTGCCATCTTGTTTTCTCAGGATAAGAAGAGATTGAAAATTTGAAAATTCTTTTTGTTTTCTCTTCCCCACCAACAACACCCAAATTAACACCAAAAATTTGACCCTTTATTTAGATAATGCGGCGTAAAGGAACCTTTAAATGGAGTTTTGCGAAAAAAATTCCTAGTCCAGTTGCACCAGTAGAATTTGATGTTGCTGGTTCTCAGGCAACTATTCAAAGACGATCAAACAATTTAAAGACCAGTTTTCATCGACACAGTTTATCTTCAACCAACAGTGAGGAAGAATCAATCATTCTAAATGTACTGCCAACAAATGATATCTCACTTGAAACCTGGTTAACAACTTTACAATTTGAACAATATATACCTTTATTTACCAACGCGGGTTATGATATGCCAACAGTATCACGAATGACACCAGCCGATTTATCCGCAATTGGAATCACCAAACCTTTACACCGTCAAATAATTAAAGCGAGTATTGCCAAGTTAAATATACCCGATGGATTACCAAGTTATGTACCTAAATCACTTTTGGAATGGTTAAAGTTAATCCATCTTGAGGAATATTTTGAAATTCTATGTCAACAGGGTTACGATTCAGTTGATCGAGCTATTGAATTAACTTGGGAAGACTATGAGGAAATTGGTATTAAAAAGCTTGGACATCAAAAGAAATTAAGTTTAGCCATTAAACGAATTCAAGATTTAAATAATGGTGTCCGTCGATCAACATCAAACATTTTAACCTCAGTTCCATCCTCATCATCACTTTGCTCGGAAAGTATATCACTTTATCCTGATACTTTATCTTTACCCTTAATGGATTGTCCACCAATTAGCCAGAAAGTAGCAATTAAAACCTCAATTGGTTTCAAGATAACATCAACTGTCGGCAGTTCATCAACACCCGAATTGACAACCTTTCAAAAACCATTGGACAATAATACAATGAAGATCAACAATCATATCAAAAAATAATCATATTTATATATTATATATTTATAAATATATATATTCACATGCACAAAACACAATTAAGCAACTAAATTTATCTCAGCTCATCTAATTATCTCCTTCACCCACTTTTTTTTTCCTGATGAAAATCAATATATCACAATTATCTTCCGTCTTCTCTGTGTCTCTCTCATCAAGGTTGTGGTTGGTTTGATTATAATCAACAAATTGTCTCGCTTGCCTTTTGTTAACTTGTCATATCTCCTAATCAGAAATCATAATCAATTGTCAATCATCATTTAATTATAAATAATCATCTTCACCGTCGCCGTCACCATCACCAAGTGGACTTTTGTAAACCTGTTGGGAACCAATAATAAAGACAAACAAAAAGATCAATATATTACATATATATATACATACATAAATACATATAAATGATTAAGATAAATTTTTCGTCAACAATCAGTCCAGTTAATTGTAAATTTAACAAAAAGTAAAACAAAAAATTGAAAAATTAATTAATTTTTTGGCAAGAAAGTACTAAGCGACACCTATTGGAAAATTTATTAACTGAAAACCGAAAAAGTCAATCAAATCAATCAAATAAATTTTAATATTCAATTTAATTGGAAATTAAAAACAAAAATGTTTTCTATTTATAAGGATTACCCATATTAGATGTTTGATTTATTGATTATTACAATTAAATGATAATGTAATCAAAGGACTTACAGGGGAAAAAAGTGAATAAATAATTTACATGAAAAAGGAACATTTTTTTGCTTCTTGAATCAAATTAAATTCAATTGACTTATTGATTTAGTTTTCTTTGGATTTTTTCTTTGCATGTTGATTGTTGTTGGTTATTACAAATTGTCTAAATTTAAGCGAGTACATTTATATCGTCTATCGTTAAAAACGATGGATCAATCGTCCTGTCGGTTGACATTTTCATTGGTATCACTCTGATTCTTTGTCCATCTCGATGACCTTTACTTTCAAATTTATTGTTACGATATTTGATGTAGCCCCAGGTCGAGATGATAACTAATTGTATTGTTAAAAAGATGAAACAAATGATGATCAAACTGTTGATATCGATACAAGTTTCGTTGACCAATTGACCAGCGGAAAGACGGGAAAGTGCATCAGAATTACCATGGATCCATGAACTGGAATTGTAACTTTTTTGTTTCCTCGATTGGGTTGGAATTTTTTGTCGATTTAAATTGTCATTGGTTGTCTCATTTTCCAAATTATCGTCATCATCATTTCCTCGTTGATTTTTATTAGGAAATTTATCAACAATTTCAATTGTTCGGATAACGATTAGTTCAGAATCGTTGGTTGTATTTGTTATTCCTGAATCAAAATGGTTTGAACTTCGTCTTCGTCTACCCAATGAGGTTATTTTACGTCTCGATCCATCCAATCCCGTTGTCGCACAATGTACAGGTTCACAACTTGGAAGGCAAGGGACAACAAGCGCTCGAAATTGAACAATTCCTGAAGTTGGAAATTTGAACGCTTCGAATGGAGCCTCAACCGACTTCGACGATTCCTTGACTCTACGAACTCCCGACATTATCGAAATATCTGTTGGACAACCTTTCTCATCGATAAGTGTAAACTCTGAAGCGTCAACACCATCGTCGGCAATCACTTCACGAACGAAGATCTCGTAAGGACCTAAAATCGAACCAAAAATTTAAATTAGTAATCTAATCACTTTGACCGACGTTTTTTTCTGTCCATCACTTACTTGAATAATCGGGAATCTCAAATCTTAACGATAACTGATCTCCAACTTCAGCTGATTTAATATCGTTTCCATCTCGATCTGTTATCCTCATAGTGACCGTCGGTGAAGTGACCGTAGCTTCTTGAATCGGAGGCCTAAGACTATCTTTCTCAGCAATATATTCATTCAAATTGTCTCTGAAACAATTTGTAAAAAGTCAGTTATTAGTTAATTGTTTATCCATTTGTCACCAATTCAAATTTTCAAAGTAAATAAAACTCACCCCATGTCTTGAAGTTGAATATTATGAACAACTTTTTTATTTGATAAATCGTATTGGCAGTTAATTGTTAAACCGATATCATTACTTGTCACAATAAGTTCATGATGTTGAATAACAATATTATTAGTGTAACGGCCATTAGCTGAGGCCATTATGCCGCAATTGATATCATTATATGGCATTGAAATATCAAAATCGTATTGACGTTTAACTAAATTGTAACATGAATTTGGTTTGGATGTTGCATAGATTTTACCGGTAAAGGGCCGATTCATTTTAATTTTGACCTTCATTTCCCGTGAACCACAATGTAAACTCACTGTAATCGAATCAAACAAGATGACAATTAGAAATATAAATATAATAATCACTCTTGAAATCGAATCAATTTACCATTGTAACAATTATCAAGTTCGTAAGTTGCCCCATTGGCCACTTCTAAATATGGATCTTGAATATGTACAGATGAAGCTCGATTAAGATGACTCGTTCGACAGACTTTATTAGAACCATCGCCAAAATCAAAGGAATGGCATCGATAAGGTGCCTCGAGGCATTTTCGTTTACACTCATCAACCGAAACGACATCAGGATACATCGAATCAACGGTTTTCAATATAAGTCCATTGATCTTTTTAAACTCACAAACTTTACCTTGACCTTTTTGATAGAGAGAAAAAAGAAGAAATAAAAATCGAAGTCAAAAAAAAAAAGTTCTGACCTTTTAAAATCCATCGACTTACCTGGAATACAATTGTTTTCAAGGTAATCGAAACTTGGATCAGTTTGTAGGCCACTTTCAACATCATCAAGTAAAAGGGTTGAAAATGAATGACGATCATGATCCAAAAGAAAACAATCGCCCGAGGCTGTGTTATAATTAACGGCCTTACATTCAAAGTCACTTTCTCGAAGACAAGACTCGAAACATTTTTCCCGTGTCGATGCACTTCCAACCCTTCGGGCCTCGCTCTTCAATTTATAGCCGATTACCCTTTCATAGACCCAGGCCTTATTGCACTTATGTATCGCATACCCTGTGAATACAACAAATCAAATCAAATCAAATCAAATCAATTGGAACCATAAGTTAACACCAACAGCAAGAAAAAAATGAAACCATTGAGATTATATCAATTTATGATAATCGTTAATCATGAAAACGGGTTCATTGGATTAACAAAAAATACTCTGATAATATTATTAATACTTGGAGTTGGAATAATAATAAGAAAAAAAAATGAAAATAAATCATGAAAATAGTGAAAATGTTTAAGTTAAATTGTTGATTGATTATCTGTAACCACTAAATTGTCACTAGAAACTGGAGGTTAAATGATTATGATGAATAATGATTCATTTCTGGTTGAAGAGATTCTTGTAAATCCATTAAAATGGTTCGTAATAAAATAAAATTAACTCTATTGTTAAGATGATTTAAGAAAAGAAATCCACTATCCAGAACTAATAGAAATTAAATTAGTACCATTATCATGATTTATCGAGTTAATTTCTGTTCAATAGTAAAATCTGAATACCAGAAAATTACACGTTCATTTTTGAAGAAGAGAAAACCATTAATATCGATTGTGTATACGAGTTAATTAATCTAATTGTCGATGAAGATGATGATGATTATGATTATGATATTTACGAGAAGTAAACTCACTTTGTAGACAAACTTTTTCAGCGTAAATTGTGAACACTGGGAACTGAGCGGGTTTCAGGGCTTCAGGCCGTTGGGTGGCCCCAGTTGATAGTAATACACATAATCCAGTTTCATAGTTAATTGCTTTACAGGAATTATTTAATTGGCAATAAGTTAAACATTGTGTCAACTCCAATGAACCAGGAATCAATCTCATCAAATCAGATGAAGTTGTATAAGCATAACCAGTGACCAATTCAAAGCCTGGGACACCATTGCGACAAGCTAGAGGATAATTAAGACAATCAGTTAATAATCAGCTGAACGATAATGTAAATTCATAATGAATATTAATTACTATCATGTTTTAATATGGTTCAATCAATTTGTTAACCATAATCATGATCAAGACGATTATCAACCTTAAACGAGACATTTTGTTGATGTTTTTACCCACGAAATTTATAGTTATCAGAAAATGAATTGTTTTTATCATTTTTTTTTCTTACTGGAAATTTACATGATATTTTTGGTGGATAAAGATCATGAAGATGAGTCTGAGAACAGGAAGAAAGAACTTTTTTTTTGCTTTTTCTTCACTGGAAAAGGAAAACATTGAATTGGAACAATTAACTTAACGGTAACTGGAAATTTGCAAATCACCACAATATCTTGAGCTGAGTTCAGTTCAGTTCAACTGGTAGAGAAAATCAAATCTTCTTTTCTTACTTTCACCACGTTGAGAATATATTTTCATGGTAAATTGATGAATATTTAACCATGAAAAGTGAATACATATATTGAAAAGAAGAGGAAGTTTCTTTTCAAAGAAAGTTAGTTAATTAATTGTCATTGATAGAGCATAAATTTGTAATTCTTTCAGGTAATTATCTCATTCATCTTTTTTTTTTACCTTCAGTCTCCGTTTTGTTTATCTTGTGTCATCACTTTTGCTCATTATCCACATGAAATATGCTCACAAAATGGAAAATGTCATCAACATGATGTCCAAATGTCATTGGAGATTCAAGGTTACATCAATTGGAACAACATTTTATTATATCCAAGAATTGACGGAAGAAAATATTGTTCTAAATGACCTTGATATCGAAATGTGTATCAAGTAATATAATAATTCACTCACCTTACGATTTGTCAAGAAAACTAATCATTAAGGTAACATGAATTTTACTCAATTCTCATTCACATGGTAATATGAATGATCAGTCTTGTATTTCCCATACAATAACATTATCAATGTACCGATACAATTTAGCCCCCGAATTGATTGTTGATTAACTTCCGCATAATTTGATGTAATTGTTGAATATTTTTCTCTTCATTTATATATATATTGTGATCTTTATCGAGCCAGGTCAGAAAAGAATCCGTTATTTTGATTGTAATATTATTCACTCAGAATTTAAGTTTATCCAGAAAAATATAGTAACATAATTATTGGTAATTTTTCAACTCTTTTCAATTACTTTGTAACAATTTAATTTGCTCGTAAATTTCAATGGTAATTTAATGGTTAACAGTTAATGGTTTAGTGTTAGTAGTTGAAAAAAGTCATGTCCAAATTAGAGTAACAATTTAAATTTCCCATAATCATCGGGTAACAATCAACTAATGGCAAAATTGTTTTCCTCTAGTAGGTCAGATCTACTTTACCAGTTTCAAGATTGTAACAATCAAAATGATGATTCATTTGATTGCTTGAAGAAAAGGTTAAATCAGTTATCATGTAATTAGTGGATAATTAATATGAAGATGGATAAAGTTACTCAACTAATATGCTAATCGAAATGTTCAAATGCGTTTGATATGCAAATTAGAAAATATTTTTTCCAGTGTGAAAAACTTTCCTAATTGAACAATTAACTTTTTTAGGGTTTGGCCCACTAATTATCTTTGGTCAATTAGATAGTTACTTAAACCTTCAGGCAATTACACTGATTAACTGTCATCACCTTTTGTTGTTATCATGTAGTTTCAGGTTTACGATTGAAAATTAAAAACTGACGAGGAATCAAAGTTAATTGTTGTCATTTCGATTGACACAACAAAGATCTACATCAAAATTTCTCAGTGATTTTCTTATTCTCTAATTGTGTTTATCATGATTAACGGAACCGGACATGTCAACGGTTCTCATTTTATATAAATAAATCAACAATTGGGTGGACACAATAATCACAACCGGACAAAGTGTTGACATTTTCCAAAGGGAAGGAAAAATTGTCAACAAGAAAAAAATAGAAACTTTCATTTTCTCAAGCTTCAGGCAGAATACACATGAGATGATGATTACAGGGTAACCTTCAAGGTCTATCATTAAGCCAGAACGTAATTTCAAATTAAATTAGATTAACCATCAACTAGAAACTTGATTTATGAAATTAAATTGATTCTGTCTCATTGAATCAAAACTTTTTTCAACTTTTTCCATTGAAAACTCTGAACTTTGACAAGAAAACTGAACAACCAAAAAAAAGTTATACATTGAACCTTTCCCACAATCGTAATTAAAAAATTAAACATTATCATGATTACCATTGAATAGTTAACCTTTTCCAATAACAATCAAGTTAATCATCACCTCTTAAAGATGATAAATTGTATGAAATATCAACAATCAATCCTACAGAATCATGTATACATGTAGTTGTTGGGATTTGGTGTTGACAGAAATTTAAATTAGCGAAAATATATTTAGATTCTAATCGAAAGGTTTAATTTAGTTTAGAACTTGATTTTCTCATTAATTGGTGTTGATTTTTTTCCTCTCTCTCATATCATGAATCAAAGAATCTGCTTGATTAAGGAAGGTGATTTTTTTTACATCATCGAAATAGTTGAACAAACTGATCAACGGGAAAAATGGTCAACACACAAAACTTTGATTGTTTGTTGATTTTTTCTGATCATCTTCTTGGTTTGATTACTTTGAAGCTCAATGAAGCTCATCATGTATGTAATACCTAATTGATGGGCATAAAAACCAAAGCAAATATATAAAGGGAATTCATTGAATAAGATCTCAATTTTTTTCTTCATACTTATCCCTTGATTCAGTTGAAATTATCTGCCGGAAGGATTGACGATAATTAGAGCTTCCTCAATTTTCAAAGTCAATGTCAAATCCTTTTTTTAATTCATAATGAGCTGACCAGTGGAAAGGTCAACAATCAACAAAGTATTCTAATCAATCACAAGACCAGGCAACTAATCAAAACATAAATTGTTCACCAATCTGAATGAGTCCAAGAGAAAAGTTTTTCATTGATAATTTTCATCTTCGATCGTTGAAATTTACCAAACTGACCCTACGAAGTTGATTTTTGATGAGATGACGAAGGAGAAAAAAATATCAACTGGTTAACGGTTTAGCCCTTACAAGGGGCTGAATGGACTGGAAATTACATGATGGAACTTTTTTTTTCTTCTTCATCAGCTGAGTAAATGTAAACAAACCATAAGGAGACTTGCATCTGATTTTTTTTTGATTGTTTCTGCTTCGTGTCAACACAAAACAGACAAAAAAAAAACAACTAAATTGACCTTATATCAGGTGTAATTGCGAGAGAGCAAAAAATTTGTCTTCCTCATCTGATAAACAATCTGATGAAGATGATGATGATCACCATTGCTTATTACATATATCTATCTGTTTACATCCTTGTTCATCTTTCCGCATCATCAAATTTTCATTCTCATCACCAATGAAGCCTTTCGCATCCCACAATCTTCATTATCACTTCGCTTGGATGGACAAACGGGAATCAGCAAAAATTTCAACGATGTCTTTCAACTGGACAGCTTAATTTTTTTCTTCGTTGATTATTATTGTCCTTTTGCAAATCATTTTCTTGTTGCTCTTCAAATTTTGTACTTTTTTTTGTTGCTTCTTCCATCATCATCATCATTGTTACCGATAAAATCAACGTAATCAACAAAAATGACCAGACTTACCTTACTGGTCATCAAATTGCTGTTACTGTCAACGTTTTCCTAAATTGCAATCACTCAACTGTTGATTGTTTGCAATTTTTATTTATATTTGATTACTACAATTGTATTACCGTTCAGATTACACGATAATGATAATAATAGTAATCAGCTGTTTTCAAAGTTTCTACAAACTTTTTCTCTCTCTCTCAAAATATTATCGTTTCTCTGAAATGATTACACTTTTTTCATCGAGAAAAATTATCGATTTATTAATCTGATCAGTTCGAATTGATTGAAATTTCTTTTAGTGATTCAACTTGAAAAATTTGATCAATAGAAATGTTAAAAGTTTCTACTTACATTGGGAGTAACAATCAATTCTAATTACTGATGATGTTAAACAAAAGAGAATAAATAATTTGATTGGTTTTTCCATCGTTGGTTATTTAGTTAACTGTTGATTGTGAAAAGTTTTGATGTTGTTGGCGATGAGGATGAAGATACACAAATGATGAGGATGAAGATGATGAGAAAAGTGTATGAGTTTTGTCACCAAAATAAAAGTGTTGAGTATTATCAAGATGAGAGATTAATTATCTTAGAAATTAACTTTATCCATGATAATGTCAACGGAGATAAGTAAAAGTCGTTGGACTGATTCTGTCAACGGCAGGTAACAAACTGAATCATCTTCCTACTTGATACCTGAAGGAATTGGTGGCGCTTATATAACCTTTCTCATCTCTCTCTCTCTCTCTCTCTCTCTCTCTCTCTCTCTCTCTCTCTCTCTCCTTCTCCCTTTCTTATCTTCCTTGTCTTCTCTTTCTTTTTTTCTTCTTCATCATCTTCTTTCATCATCATCATAATAATACCTCATCTTCCTTATTTTGTTCATCATCATTCAGTTTTTTTCTTCTTTCACTCTTTTGTCAATTCAACTTTCATTTACTGATCATTCGGTTGACAGTTTTGTTTGATGTGACATCGAATTTGCTCAAACAATTTACAATTTAATTGTTCTAAAACTTTTTTTTTCTCTTCCTATTCGAATTCTATTTTAAATTCCAATCTATTGATATTGAACTTCAATCCATCTCAATTATCAACTAATTCGTATCATCTAATCAATCTAAACTTGTCGTTTATTAGTTGAAAACAATTAAGACTAAAAATCAGTTATAATTGATTTTTGAATCGATTCTCTTCCGATAATTATTGAAATTTGATCAATTGATAATCTCGAATTGGAAAATCAGTAATTCTAATCATGATCATGGTAGTGAAACCTGTTGACAATGAAAGTTAATTGTTGTCAATCATCATAATGATTTAAGAGCGGGAATCAATTCGCAGACACTGCCATCTATTAAGGTGCCATCGAATTGTTGGAAATATTGATTAACAATTAATTAACTGGGGATTTCTCAATCAACCGATAATTAGATTTTTATTGCGATTGAAATTTGCAAGATTCAATTAAATTAGATAATGATGGTGATATGATTTAGAAATCGATAGATTATCAATGATCAAAATGGTTCGTCAATTGTGTAATTTGTTTAATTTATTATCATAATATTAGTTTAATTTAATTAATTTATATAAGTCTTAATTACTACTGATTAGGTGTGTAGGGTTTTGTTGGTTTGGTATAATTTGTTTGTTTACCTCAGTCTTGACAGTTTTTTTCCCTCCAGGAAACAAAGATGTTACATTAATTACATATATTACTTTACGTTAATTAGTGTATATGTATTGATAAGCTAGAAAAAAAAGTTTGATAATCAAAATTGATTTGATTAAGTTTTGTCAATTAGATTGATGATTTTGTTGTCCTCCAAAGTGTCGTTCAGTTGTAAGTGTTTGTGTTGGTGGTGTTTTTTTAACTTGACTCCATGAGAAGGTAATTACAATCTGATTAAAAATCAGGTTAAAAAAAGGTAAGATAATTATAATAATTGATTGGTAATAATTAAAATAATAATTGTGATATTAAGGAACAGAAAATGCTAATTAAAATCCATAAACGGGTAGTCGGGCTTTCATTTAATTCCTGGTGCTAATTAAGTATTCTCGAGTCATCTAACTATAGATTTATAAATTCCAAGTGTGAATAAGTTTTTGTTGATTGTGTTTGTTAATTATTATTTTATCGATACTGAAGTTTTCCTTGATTGGTTAATTGTTTCTCTTTCAAATGAAACAAATCATCAATTTCGATCCCATTGAGATAAAAGGTGAATTAGTTAACCATTGAAGAAGAAGAAGATATTTGAAAATTGAATTTTTGGAGTTTCTTGTTGTTTAGATGTTTTTTTCTTTGTCTCATCGTGATTATCATCTTTTTAGTAATTAATCAGCAATTTGTCATCTTTAAAAACTTTGAATCCTGGTGTTGTTTTTGTCGTTCTGATCTGGTATAAGATTTTAACGGAGAAAAGTGTTTGTTTATGTTTCATTTTGTGTTATTAATTTCAAAGAGTAAATCGAAGGGAAAATTAAGAGGAAATTTAAAGTTGATGATTTTATCCTTTTGTTGTTGTAATTTGAAAACAGGGATTTCAATTGTACATTTCCTAGGAAGCTTTTGCATTATTTGCTATTAGATTGTTGTTGATTTATTAATTGTTGTTGTTGTTGTTGTTGAGGTTGATTGCTAGTACCAGTTGATTCTTTGTTCATTTTACCCATCCAAATCTGAGCGTCGATGTTTTTATTAGCAGGTATATGAAGAAGAGGACATTGCTCTCGAGAGAAACAATTAGTTGTCCGCCAATAGTAACATTCACCTTTATTATCTGGTGGTTGTTTTGGTCGAGAAAATTTAAGATCTTTTTGATCATCAGTTGGAGCAAAATAAAGTCGCAATGGTACCGAACCATTAACTGAGATACCTTCCATCACGATACCTTGAAGCTTATGCGCTGCCTCCACGGGTGAACTTGGATTATCATAATAAACCCAAATACTGTTTTCAATTGTTTTGTTAATCCTTTCAATTAGTTTAACACGTCCAAATTTATTGAATAACGATTGTAAAGTTGACCGAGAACAGCTAGATGACACATTGGAAACTCTTAATCCATTATAAGCCCATATATTGGTTGGCTTCAATTTAGTCAAATTACCATTACAATTAGTATTATTATTACCGGTAGTAGTCGAGCCATTAACACACTGTGATGAATTAATTGAATTATTATCACAACTATTGTTATTAGAATAGTTGTTACTATAATTAGTTAAATCGCTTTGATCATCATTAGTATAATTTTCATATCCATTTGTTTGGTTATCACAACCATTGGTGTTAACCTTTTTATTATTAGCACTAGAACCAGAAGAGGAGTTATTACTTTCATGATTACCATTAACAATTGTACCATTTTGTTTTGGATTATCAATACCGCCAATTGAATCCATGATATTATTATCACCCATGTTATTAATACTTTTCTTAATTACCGTTGCCTTTGTACCATTTGTATTACTTGAAGTAATATTATTTGTTGGTGCAGTTGTAATAATAGTAGTTGTATTATTATTACTATTACTATTATTATTATTATTATTATTGTTGTTGTTTGTTACCGTTGTTGTTGGTGGGGTTGTTGTTGATACTACTTTTATAGCTCGTTTGACAATATCACTATAAGATGTTGGTGTCGTGGTCGAGGAAGCATGACAAGGTTGATCAGATGTAGATGCATGATGGTTTTGAGGTTCACTTGATGTTTGTTGGATTGTCTCAGTAATCGTAGTTGATGATAAAGTAGCAACGGTAACGGGAGTAGCAATAGTTAAATTGTTATTATCAGATGCACTGTTGACATTATTATTATTACAATTACTATTAGCATTATTAGTATTGGTATTATTACCAATAAGATTACCATTAGTATTGGTATTGATATTGGTATTAATATTACTAATTGTTGTATTAGTAGTATTTGTATTTGTATTGGATGTTGATGGTCCATTACGATTTATTGTTGGCCTGCTAATTATTGGGCTTGATGCAAGTGAATTGTTGTTATTATTTATTAAATTAACTGTTGATTCGTTAGTTAATTCAGATTGAATTGGAGAAAATGCTTGTCCACCACAATTACCAATAGTTAATTCTTGTGTTCCACCACCATTACCACCAATACCGCCAATGTGATTACTTATTGTATTATGATGATTACCTGAACTATTTCCAATAATAATACCTTGATTATTATTATTAATTAATTCGGGCATCAATAGATTAACATCATTTTTCATGTTATTGTTGACACCCATCAATGAGTTCATAATGAGACCAGTTGAACCTGAATTAGGATGATGACATGAAGAAGATGAAACAGGCGAGTGAGATGTTGTTACGTTATGTTGATGGTGATGCTGTTGTTGTTGCTGCTGATGATGATGGTGAAGTGTAGTTGATTCAACAGAATTTCCAACATCATCAACAGTAAGAAACTGGGTCGAAGGAGGATCTTTTGAAGCAGTACCAAATTGAATATATTCTTGAAGGGTGAGTGGAAACTCATTGAAATGTGGTATAGCGGTTAAATGTCTACAGTAAAGTGGATACTCTTTCAATTTTGACTTGAATTGATCTAATGCCGCAATCCCGAAAAAGTACATTTTACTTGCAAAGGGTTGACGAAGTGCTTCCAATACACAGGTAAGTGCATCTACCAGGGCAACAAATTTAACTAGATCTTGTTGAATTATACCACCAAATAGTTGGGCTGTTAATGATAATTCTTTATCCGGATATTGTGGAAAGTAACAATACTCTTTGAAAAGATTTTTTATCATACAATGGAATATATCTCGCTCCTGTTTATTGGGTGATGATTGAAATCGACTCAGCATGTCAAGAATTTCGTTAATGCTCAAATTTTCACTAGTTGATTGATTGTAGATTCGCTGGAAATATGTAGCAGCTTCTTTCTCAATTTCGGGACTTATTGACAACTGTGGCTCTGGGAATATATTATTCACATCGAACATGTAATCTCGTTGAGGTTGTTGTTGTTGTTGTTGGTGTTGGTGTTGTTGGTGGTGTATTTGGAGTGAATTCTGAAAGAAGACGAGTTAAGAGAAAAGAAGATTATATTATAAGATAAGATGAGAAGATAATTCATTTGATGGAAGATGAAGAAGAAAATGTTTCTTTAAGGAGATGACTTTTTACCTGAAGTTGATTTTGTTTCGTTGAAATTGGACCAACTTGAGAGACATTATTTAACTGAGTTGTTAAAGGTAATTGAGAAGATGTAAATTGTTGCTGATGTTGCCTAGATTGATGACTGTTAAATGCATTCATAGATCCGTTTAATGATAAATTATCAATCCTACCATTAAGATCACTAATTGAATGATGAACTGATGAATTTTTGACATCATTATCATTACTGTAAAGTCCAGGAGGTACCAATTGTCTAGAAGATGGAGACGATGATGACGAAGTCTTTGATAATAAGTAGTTTGATGAATTATCTATTGCTTGGATAATATTCATTAAAGGTGATGAGGGTAAAAATTCACGGCATAAATTGGCTGCTGAATCAATCTCATCAAACCTTTGGGAGGACATCATTTGTGTTTCCTGATTTTTACTGGGATCACACATATCAAGCAATATCTTGGCGCACAGTTTTGGTGTAATGGCAAATTGATTCATCAATTCTGAGCTTAATTGAATATTTCCATTATCATTGACCAGCATATTGGTAATCTGGTCATCGGAGAGACCAGATAATCTACCCAAATAATTTGAATCCATTCAATTGGACACAAAACCAAAACAATCAAATTAACTCTGTAACCATGATAATGTTGGCATAAGAAAAGTAAGTGTGTGTGTAGATATTGAGACCATCCAAGTTTATTCACAAAGGTTATGATGAATTAGGTATATTTATATATAAAGAGAGAGAGAGAGAGAGAGAAAAGGAAGAAAAAAAAAGAAAAGAACATTAATAAGCAGAAATATATAAAAAATAGTAACAGTAAATTCAAAATAAAAGGTAACCTGGATAAACAAGAAACCCAAATGATGAAAACAGTTCTGTCAAAATATTATTAGCACAACTGTATGTTCACAATTATGAATATTTAACCGATGAATGAACTAACCTTGTTTGAGTTGATGGATCCAATGATTAACTGAATATAAATGGCGATTAGATGACAGCTATGGAAGAAGAGAATTAAGAAAGACACAATTAGAATAAATAAAAACACTGAGCTTTCAAATGGAAGATGATGAATGTAAAAGGTTACAATTAGAGGTGATGGTTTTGTTTGGTTTTCTCAGAACAACAGAAAATAATGATTGACCTCTTGGTCTCTAGATTAGAATATTTATTTTTTTCTCTCTCCCTTTTTTTTTCAATCTTCAATTTTAAACAAAATTGAAGAGAAGTAGAAAAGAAAAAATTATTCTGGATTATTATCTCTTGAATCCAGAAAAGTAAATCATGATGAGGTTTTGAAGAAAAGAGAAGAAGAAATAGAGAGAGAAAGAGAGAAAGAAAGAAAAGATACAAGATGATGAGAGAAGAAGAAGAGAAGATGAAGAGCAGACACAAGAAGGGAGAGAAAAAAAGATTTGGGAGAATGTGAGAGAAGCCAAGAAAGAAAGAGAAGGAAGAAGAAAAGAAAGAAAAGAAAGAGATTGTAAAGAGAGAGAGATGAGCTGATGATGATGGAGATGAAGATACAGGGTTTACCAAAGAACTTTATCCACACAAAGGGGAGAGAAGGATGAGTTTTCTTTCTCTTTCTCTTTCTTTCTTCTTTTTAAAGACAATACAAACTGATTGACTTTTTCTTTTCTTTTTCACAACAGAATGAATTATCCACCACCACGCAGGAAAAGAACCACCCACCGAATGAAATCCACAGAATACAAATTGGAAAATGTTTAACTTACTCTGGGTTTAGAATTTGATTCAATTTGGAAAGAGAACAAATTTCTCGCGATGAGTTTTTGTTTCAAAAAAGAAAATTAAACACAATAGAATATCAGTTAATTAGGAAAACTTTCTGATGGAAAAGGGAATAATTATCCATCTTTCCAATGTCATTGAATGAAAACATCACGAAAGACTAATTCCTGACCGAATCTTAGATGTTCATGTCACGTGACTTTTTACAGCCAATCAGAGAAGTTGTTTCAATTTTTGAATCGTTTTTGGTTCTTTTTTTTGGTTAACTTATGATTTATTCAATCGTCTTATTTTTATCAAATTAATAATTATAATTTACTATTATATCGATAATACTTGTTATAATACAGTCTTCCAATTGAAGTGAGTGAGTTAATGTGTAGGTTTTTGGTTAGGTTACTGTTGTCATGGATTAATATTCTTGTGAGGCTTTTCCTTTGGTTGGAACGGCACCAGTACCTTTCTTTGGTAAGAGGACAGTTTGGATATTTGGTAAAACACCTCCTTGGGCAATGGTAACACCAGAGAGTAATTTGTTTAATTCTTCGTCATTTCGAATGGCCAATTGAAGATGTCTTGGAATGATACGAGATTTTTTATTATCACGAGCAGCATTACCTGCCAATTCTAACACTTCAGCGGCTAAATATTCAAGAACAGCGGCCATGTAAACTGGAGCACCGGCACCAACTCGTTCAGCATAATTACCCTTACGGACAAGACGATGAATTCGACCAACGGGAAATTGAAGACCAGCTCGGTTAGAACGAGACTTTGCTTTAGCCTTAACTTTACCACCTTTACCACGTCCAGACATGATGATTAAAATGGAACAAATCAAAAAAAGTAGATAAAAACGAAGATAAAATTAAGTACGAGACTTTGATCAATGACTACGAATCAATTAAACAATTAAAAGTGAACAAGAAAAAAGTTCGCTTGTATTTATATGACCAACTTTTGGTGTTCTATTCACTTGACCAATCAGCGAAGACTTGAACCCTACGAGGACTCAAAGAAAACTCAAACTCCGCCCACAAAAGAAAATCTCTTCTTAGTAAACAGATTAAGAAAAGAATAGAAAATTTGAAAATTAATTTTAATCACTCTGATTATTTTCTTAACTAAACTTTTTAACAATTAACCCAAAAGTAACAAATTAGTTATCATTAGTTAATCCAATTCAATTTAAACTAAAGAAATTGGGTCTTCCATTTTTGATTAAAATGTTTAATTTCAATTGTGTGTTAATTTTTCAGAATCTTGATGAACGAAATCGCTTGGACTCAAAAACAATTAAGGTAATCATTTAGTCAACAATTAATTTGATTGGATTGAAAAGAAATCTGGATTAACCTGGTTAATTAGGATTCGATAAGTTAATTACAATTTTTGAAAGAAGCGCATAGTTGTTACTATGGAGATTGTCATCTGTCATTGAAAAGGAAAACAAAAAATTCTAACTGATTGTTTTTTTTCCTTTCTTAATTTCAACTGAATGTTTCTCTTTTGCCGTTTTGTTAATTTAATTTGATTGTGATTCTAAATTTTGATGGAAAATGTTGATAATCTTATGTACTTTTATATGGATAAATTAACTAACCTGTTAAGTATTGAAGGTGTTGGAAGTGAGGTTTTAATCACTGGATTTATTGCCACATTAACCTTAAGTTTATTATTCTATTTGATTAATCGTCAAATAAGGACAAATGGATTTCAATTTATTCATCCATCTAATCAAGAGGCTGTTGATAGTGCAAGGCACCAATTAAATATACTCTATTCTAATAGATTACTTTCCAGTCGTATTTCCAATGGGACAAATCAATCAAATGGTAACAATTCCAATGGCGAGCAACCAAATGATACCGATAATGGTGATGGAAATAATCAGAGGACCGATGAAAATAATTTAGGAGATAATTTTGTTAATCTTAATCATTATGGTGTTGATTCTGCCTGCCCCGTGTGCCTAAATGATCCAGTTCATCCGGTTGAAACAAATTGTGGTCATTTGTTTTGTGGTAAATGTTTAATTGTCTATTGGAGACATGGTAGTTGGTTAGGTCCAGTTCTTTGTCCAGTTTGTCGTCAACAAGTTTCACTTATCCTTCAATGTTTCAGGATAGAAAATGATATTTCAACTGAGGAATCAAATGAGATACAAAATTTACTTCGAGAGGTCCACGAATATAACAGAAGATTCTCTGGTGCACCAAGACCAGTAAGTTACAATATTCTCCATCTTTTAGATTCATTTCATGACCAATTAATTGAATTTCTTTTCTTTTTCTATTTCTTTTTTTTACAGTGGATCGATTATGTCTATGATTTACCGACTCTTCTTCGCCACAGTCTATCTGAGTTCTTTACAGTCGGTGGTTTAATGTGGATGTTTCGAATACGAATATTCTTATGTTTCATTGGAGCTGTTATGTACTTAATAAGTCCACTTGATATTCTACCGGAAGCAGTTTTCGGGTTATTCGGTCTACTAGACGATGTGTTCGTAGTTTTACTCTTTGCGATCTATGTGACGATCATTTACCGTCGATTTTTGGCTAATCGATGGGAAAACTCTAATCTTTTATAACCATTAAGCTATTTAAGTGAAAGAAAAACAAAATTGAAACGAGATTTGATCTGGTGTTTATATAAAACGAATCAATTCCAAACTTAACTGTTTTTGATTAACATTTAAACTAAAAAAAATACTTTTCAAATATAATCGATTTTGATTAAATTTCCAAATCCATTATTATCCAACATTCGACAAATTGATTGGTTATTGTCCAAAGGTAAGAAGTTGGAATTTGGAATAATAAATCTAATAACTAATTAGTTTGTAGATTTCTACAAATTTATACTAAGATACACTTTCGAATCTGACCCGATGTGACCTGTAAATAAGTTCGATGAAAAGATTGATGATTCTTTTTGATTCGAAGAAGGAAAAAAAATGAGACAATTGTTGCTTTAAGTTTTTCAAATGATCAACTTTTAGATCAATTTAATTGTCATAAAATAAATCATTTTAAAAACATAAAAAGTTAATCTAATCTATTGAATAAAAACCATTAATGACCTTCGATAACAATTTAAGCAGTAACGGCGATTCGGGCTTGAGCACAGGCCAATTCTTCACCACCGTCTGAGGCGTACATGTGGAATTGCATGTCAGTTTCCATCTGAGAATTCAATCGAAACAATAACACAATTAATCGATGGAATTAAGTAATTTAGTTAATTGTCAACTTACGGGTGGAAGCCAGTCAAGAGTTTCGACCTCGATTTTGAACTTGTTGGGCTCATTGGCCTTCAATGGACATGCGAGGTAATCACAAGCGTTTTTGGAGAGACCAGGATATTCAACGAAGAAACCAGAGACCTCAACTTGGACGGAAAGGGTTGGAGCAGCAGCGGCAACAGCTAAATTGTCAACAATTAAAGTGGCAAAATTTGTAGATCATCATGATTGGCAATACAGTAGATGACAATTAACTTACTTGGGACAAGTTCACCGGTGATTGTGACCTTCATGTTGGGCTTGAAAGCGCAGACATCGGAGTCACAGGGCTCGACGTTGATATTTTGGACCGAACCAGCGGCGGCTATGGTTTAGATTGAATGAATTAGTTGATTGATTAATTGTTATGATTAGTTAAATACTTACAACCACATTTGGTAGTGGTGATTTGTCGAGCTGATGAAACAGCCAAGAAAAGGCAAAGAACAGCAATTGATTTGAACATAATTGTTTTCGTTTGTTTGGTTGTTGATTGTTAATCGTTACAATGAAAAGAACTGAATGAAAATTAATTGAGTTAATTGTCGCTTTTTATAGTAAAATTACTTGATGACCTTTGGTTAGTTATCGCTCATTTAGATTAATTGTCTTTGTATTTTGATTAGGGAAACAATTAAATTCTTGTCGTTAGGTTCCAGGGGCTAATTCAATTGATATTCAATTAGTTGGTAACAATTTAGTTGATTAATTCATCTGATTGTTTGAAAATTTATTATAATACAAACAGATAAACAAATTGATAATAATGTTGATACTTTGTATCAATTGGTTTCATCGATGTTGATTGTTATTAACTAATTTAATTAAATCTCACTATCATCTTCCTATTGTTTTGTATCACAGATAATTAATTAGTCTATTAATTGTCGATTTTTTTTGGATAATCAATCAAAGTGAATAAATTGCTCTAATAATAATCTGAATAATCTAATTGATTTGATTGTTTCCGTGATTTTCCTACAAAATTAAAATTGATTACAATGTAACTGATTCAGTTGATTATTCAATTACTTGATCAATTGGTGTTAATTATAAACAAGATAATTAACCGAATATAATTAAAAAGTAGTTTATAGTTTATCTTAGTACCGATGTACGGAAATCTTTTAATTTATTTAATTGTTCAATCGATGATTGTGATTACCAACAATTAACAACAATAGCCACTTGAAACTGTTACTATGCACAAGAAATTGTCATTTATAAGAGATGCAATTTGCTTAATTGGGTCAGTACGAAGAAGAAATTAAGGGTAATTGCGTAATAAAAATACATTCTAATTCTTAATTGTCCAATAATCAATTGATTTAAATTCTTAATTAATCTAAAATAAGCGCCAAATAATTGAAAGATCAGCTGACCAAAAGCGCGGGTTTTTGTTTCTCTCCTTGAGGTCATTTGAAATTCAAAAATGTAAACTGAACAAATTTCATTCTTTGTTTTTTAAATTGTCTTGATTGTCTTTAAGTTTAGAATTATTGTTTTATATTAATTTTGTCTGATTGGTAATTTCTTTTTAATTAATTGTCTGTTTATTGTGTCCATTTATTTATCTATTTGTTTAATTGGGTTAAATTATGGCTCGAACCCGTCAAAAGAAACGTGTGATCACAACTCAGGCCAGTGAATTGGATCAAGTTATTGAAGATGAAGCTGGTGAGAATCAACAGCCTAATCAACAACCCAATTTACTACCAGAAATAATACCAGAACCAGAATTGGAACCAAGTCCACCCAAGAAAATTCGATCCACCAGAAAACCAGTAACAGCAACTAAAGTGACAAGAACAACCCGAGCTACTGTTAAACGAACAGCGGCTCAAAGCAAAATTGGTAAAAGCGATTCTGGACCAACTCCACCTCCACCCACACCACCAGTACCACAACAACCTCGACCTGCATCAACCATTCCTACTTTAATTGTATCAGAAAATATACTCGATGATTCCGATATCAATGAAACTCAGCCCGAAATCATAATTCCCAGACTACCCAATGTCTCTGACTATATTGGTACCAAGAAGTCAGTGTCAATTGTTGAAGCAAATATTTGTATTGTCACACCCAAGAAAGATGAAATTAGTTCACCCAATGAGTCAAGTAGACAATCAGATGATCGATATGATGAACCAATTGAATCTCCTAAAGATGTTTCTTATGAACAGATCAGGAATTACATGTCACCAAATGATGCTCTCTCCAGTACAACCCTGTATGTGACCCTTGGTAACAGCCTTTCACCTCAGATGAACAATTCAAATGTTGCTCTCGATGATTTATCAAACCAATTAACTCAAAGAGCTTCAAGTTATCTGAACAAAAATATCCACGATAAAACTATCAGCAACTCGTGTAATCAATCAATTGAAAGTGAACCAATTTTTGATTCAACTTATTATTTTATCAAAACTTCACCCGAAGATGAAAATAATGATATCATGGAGAGAGCATATTTTTGTTTGGTCAGTCGTGGTCTTCATGCAACTCAACTTGACCCTTCTGAGGTTGACAATTTACCGGAAGATAATGAATCGGTTAACTTTTACTTCGTTCTGCCCGAATTTGATGGACCTCTTTTCGAGAAGATAAAAAATCATCCTCGTTGGAAGGCATTTCTACCCATTGGATTGTTACACTTTCATTCACGTTCAACACCCATTCGAGATCATCCAGTTATGGATTTTTCCATGAGAAATTGTTTCATTACTGTTTCCGGTTTTCCTCGAGAGGTTAGAAAAAATTTGGAAAACAAGATTCGTTTCATGGCAGGTCAAGTTTCGTCTTCCATTAAAGATCGTACAACTCATGTTGTTGCCTCTTCTTGGAATACGGAAAATGTTTATACTCTCGAACTCATGGTTATCCTTTAGTTATGAGTCCTGATTGGGTTGAATTCTGTTGGGAAAATATTCACCAAGATGAGGCCATTGACGCTCTCGAATTATCTTATAATCGTAACTGTAGGTTACCCGTTTTCTCTGGTTTCATTATCTCGGGTGCTAATTTATCTCGACGAGGTCAAGAGCGTCTCTGTGATCTTGTCTGTAGCAATGGAGGAACCTATCAGAATATAATTGACCCTTTTCGAACAACCCATTTGGTTTTGGTGAAAAAAGAAGGTCCAAATTATGAGAAAGCTCTTGAAAGTGAAAGAATTAAAATTGTTCAACCCAATTGGATTCACGAATCAATTGCTCGAGGCTATCCTTTACCCGAACAAGATGTTTCCACCAAAAAACTGGTCAATCGAATGTTAAATAAATTCATGGATTTCATGGGAGTGGTTTCTTCAGTTTATACCGATTCCACGGCAACGGAATTATCTTCACCTTCCCTGGCCAGTGATGTCCGAGTTCCAGGATCGCCAGAATTATCTGAAGATGAAATTGACGATGAAAGTGCTGCCGATCAAGAACCAAATGAACTCGAATAACTCTCATCTATTTTTCTTCTCATCTTTACAATCGAGAATATTTTTGTACAATTACCTCTTTTAGCTTGAAAAAATCGCTATTTATATCTAACAATTGATTGTAACTCAATTGGAACAATTTATTTGATTGGAAATATAAAATTTCATTTACGCGCCACAAACTTGAGGAAATATTTGTTTACCTTTTTGTTTATCAAATGGAAAATTTTTTCCTTTAACTTGTTAATCATTGAGGAGAAAACTTTTTAATTGTAAAACCATTTTAATTAGAATTTAATTTATAATCAGAATTATTAATTTCTGGTGTTTGGGAAATTCTATTCTAATCCTTTTTTTTTGTTTCTATGGTTTAGGTTAGTTGATTTTATCTTTTTTTCCTCTTTTATATTGAAAGATAATCTTGGTTAACAATCTGTTGATTTTTTGTTATCATTTTCTACTTTGATTAGGGTAAGTATCTGATTTCTTTTTTCTTTTCTACTAATTGTTGATCATTTATCGATAATTTTTCTTTTTCTATTTTTATCTCTCTTGGTTTGAAGGTTGTATTTGTCTATTTCTGTGGCTTTCATTTTATCTTTTCTTGTTTTGTTTTTGTTGGTGGCATTTAGATCGGTATGTGGGCTAGAGGTTTCAAAAAATTGTCACTTTCCCGTCAATCATTGGTCAATATTAAACGTCAATGTGTTCACACCTCAATTGTTAGAAATAAATCAGCAGAAGGACATGTAACTACTCATCATACTGTTCATCCCCGTGAATCTGATGCAAGATGGTCAGAGGTACCAATGGAAAGGGTTCAAGATGAATCGGATGTTGTAATTGTTGGTGCAGGTCCTGCAGGTCTTTCCGCTGCAATTAGGCTTAAACAACTCGCAGCTAAATGTGATAAAGAGATCAAGGTAACCGTTATTGAAAAGGCCAGTGAATTGGGTGGACACACTTTAAGTGGAGCTTGTATTGAAACTCGAGCCCTTGATGAGTTAATACCCGATTGGAAGGATAAAGATTCCCCATTGAAAACACCCGTAACTGCGGACATTTTTAAATATTTGACGGAAAAAAGTGCTTACAACATTCCGATTTTTAAATCATTACCAATGTACAATCATGGCAACTATATTGTTAGATTGGGACATGTAGTTAAATGGTTAGGTAAATATCATATTCTTTACCATTGGATTTATTGTTTTCGCGTTAATTGATCCGAGAATTGAATTTACCTTTTTTACTTTCCTTTTAAAACTTACAGGTAGTATTGCTGAAGAGCTTGGTGTTGATATTTACACTGGAATCGCTGCCGCTGAATATTTGAAAAACAGTGAGGGTTATATTGAAGGTGTTGCCACAAATGATGTCGGTATCGCTAAAGATGGTAGTCCAAAGGATTCGTTTGAACGAGGGATGGAAATTCGTGCCAAGTGTACAATCTTTCGGAAGGATGTCATGGTCATCTGGCTAAGAGATTGTACAGTGATTTTAATTTAAGAGCCAATTGTGAACCTCAAACTTATGGAATTGGATTGAAAGAGTTGTGGGAGATCAATCCGGACAAACATAAACCAGGGACAATTGAACACACTACAGGTTGGCCTTTGGATAAGAATACGTATGGGGGATCATTTTTGTACCATTTAAATGAAGATTCACCTTTGATTGCTGTCGGATATGTGGTGGGCTTAGACTATTCGAATCCTTATCTTTCACCTTTCCGTGAGTTCCAGCGATTTAAAACTCATCCCTCAGTTCGGGATTATTTTGACGATCCATTGGCCAAAAGAATCGGTTATGGGGCTCGAGCTTTAAATGAAGGTGGAGTTCAATCCATTCCTAAACTTACAATGCCCGGCGGATGTTTAATTGGTTGTTCGCCAGGTTTCATGAATGTGCCCAAAATTAAGGGAACTCATAACGCTATGAAATCGGGTATATTGGCCGCTGATGCGATCTTCGAAGCCTTTGAAAGCAACAATCTGTCCTTCGGATTTGAACCTGTTCGCTATGAAGAAGAGCTAAGAAACAGTTGGGTCTGGGATGAGCTTTCGGCTGTTCGTAATGTCCGACCTTCGTTTCATAATCCGCTCGGTATTTGGGGAACAATGATTTACACCGGTTTCTCTCAATTGATTCTTCGAGGTAAAGAACCTTGGACCTTTTCTCATGGTGGGACAGATTCATCTAAATTAAAACCCGCCGCTGAATGTAAACCAATCGATTATCCTAAACCTGATAACAAAATAACATTTGACCTGTTATCTTCAGTTGCATTAACGGGAACCAATCATGAAGGAGATCAACCTGCTCATTTGACTCTTCGAGATGATGAAATTCCTGAGGCCAGAAATTTGGCAATTTATGATGGACCTGAGCAGCGATTTTGTCCCGCCGGGGTTTATGAGTATGTTGAAAATTCAACTGGCCAAGGAAAACACCTTGTAATTAATGCTCAAAATTGTATCCACTGTAAGACCTGTGATATCAAAGATCCGAGTCAAAATATTTACTGGGTCACCCCTGAAGGTGGAGGTGGACCAGCATATGATGGAATGTAATTCAATTACAATTAAAACCATCGCAGAAACAATGACAATCCGACAACAACCAATCAACATTAATTGATCATGAAAACAAATATCCAACCATAAAAAAATATATTAACCTAATCCAATGTTAATCTAATTTTTTTGTTAAATTTTGTATTCTCATAATTTTAATATATATTATATACCTACAGGCAATTACAATTAGCAAAAATTGTAATCAAATTAACTTGTAAATCACCTTAAAAGGAACCAGATTAATCAAAAACAACAACAAAAAGTTAATAATATTTATGAAAAAAAAAACAGGTCAATTTATTTTGATGATGATTAAGTTTTTCAATACATTAACTAAGATTGTTCGAGTTATGAATTTTCAAGTTAATTGAATGATAATTAACCTTAATTAACCTTCACCTTTCTCCATGTGATACATATCAACGAGAATCTTTTCAATGGGAATCTCGCCAATTGTTTCACGAAAGAAAAGTTTTTCCACCGTAGTTGATGAAATTGTCCGAAGACAAGGAAGTATTAACAATAAGCGACCGAAGCGAGTGGGCTGCCGTTGGTACTTATGTCGGACATAATCACTTAGTACACATTGAGCTTGATCTTGTTGCATTTCAACGGGATGAACATCACAAAGACGAAGTGACTCTGTAAAAGCAAATGTAAATCAAGGATAACACGAGGATTAGAATGTGACAAAAAATTCAATCGGACATTCAGGTCACTTACCTGGTCTAAAAAGAACCACGGCTTTTAAGCAGCTACATTCAGTTCCATCGGGTGACAATTGTCGGAATCGTCTCATTATCTCCTGAATATATTGCACATCGATGGTCATCTCGGGATTTTCAGCCGCTTTACTTTGTATTATTGCACGATTAACGTAACTTGGCCCACCGGGGGTGGTGGGTGAGACCACATCAAAGGTGACTGACCATTGAGCCATATTCAGGAGGAACAGATCTTTCCAAGAGTCTTCCAATAAAGTCAACTAATTGGTCAATCAAAAGAGACAAAAAATCACATTAACCTTTGAGCACTGACCATTGGCCATTCCACCAATACAAAGAGTCAAAATAACCTTTGCTTGTTGACCACAATATTGACCATTGATGTTGAATAGTTTTCATTTTTTAAGACAATAGCAATTAGAATGTGATCAATCATCAATCATGAATTAACAAGTAAAAAAGTTGTTGAGACAATTAATCTTGCTAATTATAAGTAAATAATAATTTCTGTTAAAACAATTAACTCTCTATGATCAAGCTTTCCAGTTAATTACCATTGAAATTGTTTGACATAATTCAACATTAATTGTTTTCTATTGTTATTTAAAACAACGAACAAGATCAATTGTGATTAATTATTTTCAACTATTGAGAGAGTTAATCATTTCGGATGAATAGTTAACCTAAATTACAATTAGGAAAAACTAAAAAGGGCTTCAGGTTTATTATTACACGAAAATGATCATCATCTTGATCCTCAACTTGATCCGCAAAGAGTAATATTTATATTCGTGTGAAATAACATATGTGATGAAAGATTATGTTCAATGTTATTTTACTCTTTCATTTTCATCTTCATCTCTTATACAATAATATTATCTAAACTTGAAGAAGAAGAAAAAATTTCTCCATCCTTTGTTGAAGCATCTTCTTCATCTTCTTCATCCTCATCATCTTTTTTTTTGTTACTTTGCCTTTTCCATCAAGATCAATGTTAACTCTTGATCAGATCTTTCATCTGATCATCATGATGATAATCATCTTCATCTTCACACTCTTTTGATTATTGTTTTCGATTCCTTTTTGATTCGGATTCGATTTTCGTTTCCTCTCTCATCTCATGATGATGATGATGATGAAGATGATTCTTGATGAAAACAGATATTCAAGTTCATAGAAAGTCATCTACTTATCATCATCTTCATCTTTCAATCATATTTATTGATCTGTTACCAGGGGGATAACTTTTATTTCATGTTAACGGTAAAAATGATATCAAATGATAGGTGATGATGATCCTAATTGTTACTATAAAAACCCAATCCAAATTGACCAGAGGTCATCAGTTGGACCTTGAGGCAAGTAAAAGGCAAAGGATGATGAGGATGATCGAGATTGGAAGATGAAAACTAATGAGATCGAAATGAAGACAATGAAAGGTGATGATGAGAATTGTGATAATGAGCAGAAAAAGTAAATAGCCATTGGTCAAGAAGAAGAAGAGGAAAAACCTTCAAGGGAAAAGAGACAAAGTATCAATCGTTAGAACACAGATTGATTATACCTAATAGAAAACAATTACTTCTAATTGTTGACGGTGAAGAAAAAAGAATCAAATAAATCAGAAGTAATTATCATTGAATGAGAAAAGAAAAAGGGAAAAGTTCAAATCATTTCTGTTGATTGATTCGATTACAATTACGATTTGAAACTTTTCGTCTCATTAATTGGTTGTCATTAATTTCCAATCTTTTAATTGATTAACTTACTTGGTCAGTTTTTGATAATGTTCGAAATGTTGGTAAACTTTTAATCCATCGGATGACCATGAATAACAATCGAGCTGTGATTTCTTGAACTGAGTCCCAATGGCCGATAAAAGGTTTCGAGGTTAAATGTGCCAATGGCGCCGATAATTGTGCAATAGGTATTGGCCTGGGTACGGTGTTGCTATTGGAGGTGTTGTTGTTGTGATCACGAGATTTGTTCACTAGATGGTGGTCACTATTGTCCGTGTTTGGTGTTGAAGTGGATGAGGTTGTTGTGGTCGCTGTTAGCAGATCACTTGATGAGCCCGTTAAGGGAATCGGAGTGGAAGTGAGGAGTGGACATGAAGGTGAGAAGAAGGTGGGAAAAAGGTTAAAAGACGCAGGATTGGGTAGACCGGACTCGTCGAAGATGCGACCTAAACTATTAGAACCAAGATACGGGAAAGCAGGTCGACTTAGTGGATGGCCTGAGGATGCAGTTGCCGCCGCTGCTGCTGCTGCTGCAGCGGCCGTTGAATAGCGTAAATTGGACCAAATGACTTCTTGGGATTTTTCAGCATTAAGAAGCATTTGAAGCAAACCGGGATGAGCGGCGGCCTCATCGATGAACGAGGTTGAGGTTGGGGTTGAAATTGAAGAGGGAGAATTGGTCAAACTAACATCAACCACCGAGGATTTAACTGAGTTACTTGTCGTCCCATTGTTGGTGTTTAGAGTAAACAAAGAGGATGAACCACCGCCGCTATTATTGTTACCATTTCCGCCGATTCCGTTACAAGTTGCATCGGTCATTTCAATTGAAGTTGAACCGTTTGTGGTCAATGAAACAAGAGGTGGAGGTGGAGGAGGAGGAAGTGATAAATGCTGAGATGATACAATTGAATGGGAAAGGTGATGATGGTTATGATTATGATTGGAGGAGGTTGATGAAGATGAGGATGATGATGATGATAAACCCGAAGAGGGTAATGAAGTTATATGAATGGGTGGTGATAATTGTGGTTGATGATGATGTTGATGGTGGGGTGATTGATGATGTTCCCGATGTAGTTGAAGTTGTTGAAAGTTATGTTGCTGTTGGTGATGTGAATGATGATGAGGATGATGATTATTGTGATGATTAAGTTGATTCTGAATATGTTGTTGGTGTAATTTAGTTAAAAATGTCCGATGTCCCTCTAATTTAATTGGAAATGGTTTACTAATTGTTGTCACTGAATTAGGTGTAGTTGCATTACTATTATTATTATTACTGCCCACTGGACCTCCGGTCACCCCTGAGGTTGTTGATGAGGAGGTTGAAGAGGTTGGTGATGATCGGGAATGATGATGAAGATGATGATGATGATGATGATGAGAAATGTGATGATGAAGACTTTGATGACTATCTAATGATGAAGGTGTTGATGAGATTGATGAAGTTTCCTTTAATTTAGGTTTTCGAGGACCTCGTTCATGTTGAACCGCTGAAAAGAATCACAATTAACACTATTAAATTTATCTCTCAAACAATTAACACTCAACAATCAACTTTTGTAACAATTTCTTACTCTTTTTTTATAGCGTTTAAATTTACTCTAAACTTTTTTGCTTATCGAAAGATGATAAGAAAACCTATATATTTGTGGGGAAAAAAGTTCTATTTGGAAAATTCGAAAGTATAGAATTTTTTTATCTTCTTTTATTTCATCTTCTTAACCATCATCTTCTCGTTATCATCTTGATATTTTTCTTTTCGATAAATTGAGTTTTCGATGTTTGGGAAAAAGAGAAAAAACTTCGAACTGATATTTTCCAACTTTTTTTCCTCGAATTCGAAGTGAACATTAAATAAGTTATCTTTTTTGTTTATTTGCTCATCATTTTCGTTTCAGTTTATCATCTTAATCACTAAACAATCAGAGAGAGAGAGAGAGAGATAGAGACAAATCAATCGAAAGTATTAATAGAAAATATTAGAAAAATAAACTTTTCAACCTTCGAAACTTTTGTTTTCGTTTCCAATCATAAAGTAACCCCGAAGATGATTAAATTTTCCTCGTAATTGTTGAAGGTTAATTAGATTGTGGATTAAATCAATTGATTGATATTAAGGTGAATTCATTGTTACTATTGGTAGAAACCTATAGATTGATAATTGTATAGAGATGAAGGCAAAGGAGGAGGAAGAGGAGGAAATGGGAGTGGGAAGACAAAGTGATGAGGATGATAATGTCAAATATAGGTTGAATACTTCCGTATCATCATCCTAATCATCATCCCCATCCTCATCATCATCATTAATAACATGATTATTGTTAAATGGCTTAGTGTCACTTGATAGTTTACATTTGGATGCTTTTAATTGTGTAAATAGTGACTCTGAGTTTTTTTTGTTATATTCCAGTTTTCATCATCATCATCATCATCATCATCATTATCATTATCATTATCATCCTCATCTCTTTTTTTATCACCATCATCAGATTGTTAAGTATTCCCAAATTAATTGCTGTTGTTGAATGTTGATTAACTAACTGTTAACAAAAAGACAAGGTAAAGAGTCATTCAACCAACAATCAACAAGGAAAAAAATGATTTGATTATTTACTTAACACTTTTACCATTCAATTGAAAACAATTAACTCAAATTAATCTACCAATTTGATATTCACATGTAAATCAAATATATATGTATCTATGTAATAGCCAACAATTAGTAAATTAATTAGTTTAATTTTATGTGTGAGTGTGTTTGTATTTTGTATAAATCAATTGATTGTAATGTTGAACTTTTTTTTTGTTGTTGCTAAACAAAAATTGATTTTAATTAAATTTTGGTTTCACTTTACAATTTAATCCAAATGATTAGCAATTTACAAATAATCTTAATCATGTTAACCATGTGACTTTTTTGCTTGTTGATCAAATTGATTATCATCATTTTCACTTAATTCAGTTGAGTAAATGAGTAGCAATTAACTAACTACTTTTTCCACTTTGTTGTAGTTTATTACTTATTATTGTATTTCAGCAATTCAACCAACAGTTAATTGTTATCAACTAATCATAATGATCATTATTAAATGATATTAATTTGCGTGATATTATGAAAACAATTTAACAATCATCATGTTAATGATTACAATCATCAACAGGAATATGTTAGCGTGATTAAGATAACTTATTATTATTAGAAAACCAAATGATTAAGTTAAATGTATGAAGAGAAATGATTAATTAAATGACTGATTAAAAATAGACATTTAATTTTTGTTACCAATAATTATTTACTTTTCATCATCAAAGGTAAACAAATGATTGATTGAAATCGTAATCATCTTTTACCTGAAAACAATTAACTAATCAACCAAGTAAAAGGTAAATAAATTTGATTGTAATCAGCTAATCAAAATACTTTGGTGGTCTTTTGATGTTGTTGTTGTTGTTAATTAGCAATTTCATATATTAATTGTGCTATTATGCTGGTTAATTGTTTGTAATTAAATAAGTGTAAAAACATTTGATTAACTTGATGATTCAATTTTGATTGTTGATTGTTTTTCTCATCTGATTAAAGCTAATCAGTGATGTAAACAAAGTATTTGTTTTATTATCACTTGATTACACATTGACCATTGGCTTTGCTAAGACAATCAATTTTAATCATTTGATTTCCTCCTCCACTTATCATCCTCATCCTCATCTTCATCCTCATCTTTTTATTGATTTTTGTTTGTTATTTCATCATCAAAAAATCATCAAGATAATTGTAACCCTTGTTTACCTTACGATTCACTTATTACTTTGATTTGATTTGCTTTTTGATTGTTGTTGTTTAACTAGCATCAAAAATCAGGGTAAAACAATCAAAAGGTTAATTCCTTATGATATTTAATAACAATCAAATAACAAGAGACAAAAACAGAAATCAACAATCAACTAATAATCAAAAATAATCCATTTGATAGAAACTTAATATTAAATTGCCTGAAGCAATTTAGATTAGATTTTCTTGATCAACTGTTTTATTTTATTTTTCTTGTATAATCATTTGTAATAATTAATTGTTACATTGTTGTGGTTGCCAGAAAAGTGAATTAAATTAATCAACATCTCGTGGGAAGTATAACAAAAGGTATATAACAATTGACAAGGAAGCAATTTAACAATCTAACAACAATTTACTAACTACAGTAGCTAATAAATAGTAAAGTAAAAACAACAACTGATGATGCGGAACATGAGATGATGAGGATGCTAATCTTGTTGATAATAATACCTACTGAATAATAATAATATGAACCATCATTTACAAACCAAAGGGAGTGATAATTGAGGGTGGGGAGGGTAAGGAAAGAGGAGGAAAGCAAATCCATGAGCAGAAAGAGGATGAATTCATAAATGGAAAGTGATAATATTAATGTAGTTGAAAGTTTTGTCTTTAATCAAATCTCATCATCATGTTGATCATTTTTAAATGTAATTTTAAAGGTAAATCCTCAAGGCATCATCATGAATATGATAAGATGAGTGAGGGGATGATGAGGATGATGAGGTGAAGGTGGAGGATCATGATTAACCCCTATGATGAGAGTGAAATTGTTTCAGACTAAATTACATTGCAACTCAATCATCCGTTTCCTTCACGTAAGAGATGATGATGAGGATGATGAGAGGTAAAAAATGATTTTATTTTTTTTTTCTTCTTCATCATTATCATCTTCATCTTCATCATGTTCATCCTCATCTTCCCAGAATAATGGGATTTTTCATCTTCCTCTTTTTCTAGTTTACTCTTTGTGTATGTAATATATTGATGATACAACAACAACTGATGTTACCATTCCCATGGTTGGATTTACCGTTACTTGAACTGAGATGATGAAGATGATGATAAAGAGAGAGAGAGAGAGAGAGAGAGAGAGAGAAAAAATTTGCTCTCTTTCTTTTATACAAATAATAATGATGATAACTAAACATTCAAAGTCTTGTAAGTAGGAAGAGGAAACAAGGAATAGGGTTTTATATGGATGATGAACATGATGGGGATGAAGATAAAGATGATGATGAAGATGAAGATGATGATAATGGTGATGATGTGTATCAGTTGACCTTATACCTTTTAGCTCTGGTTAACTTGATGACCGTTAATCCAATTATATATTAGGTTGGATCAAAAAGTTTCTTTCGATTTTCCTACTTTTTCCCCTTCGATCCTCTCGAATCAACTAATCCTAATCATCATCTTATTATTATGATTATCAGCTAATCTTGTTCATTTAATTGTTACAATTTGATGTTTACTTTGCTATCGATTGATTTATTATGTACCTTAAATTGGTGATACAAAAAATTTTGGAAAATGATTAGTTATCATTAATTAGTTTTTACCTTTTATTTTAGTTACTTAGTTACTTTTGAAAAAATTAACAATTAACTAATATCTTTCATGATATAATAATTTATTTGACTTAATCACCTTTGTCATCAGTTTGTTATTAGTTAATTAGCTTAGATGAATAAGGGAAACAATTGATAATCAATAAATGACTTGATTAGTACAACAATTGATTAGCCAATCTAAACCATCAACAAAGTCAAGTTAATTGTGATTCAAGTAAATAAACAATTAACAAGGTGAATTGTATAAACATTGTAACGTATTTTCAATCAATTAAATAGTCACAAATTGTGTGATCATAATAATCAAAGAGTTGTAACAAACAATCAAATCAGTTTGATTCATTTAAGGTAAGAAATTGATTGTTAAAAGTTAATCGATTGAGTTTTTTGAGATTTTATAAACAGAAACACAAATCCATTGGATTATAATTTAGGATAATTAGTCTAATTGTTTGGATTTACTTACCATCTTTGTTCATTTGAGCTTCGAAACATTTTTTCAATCGACAAGCTCGACATTGATTTCGATGAGTTTTATCAATGGGACACTTTGAATGAGCTTCGCCTTGGGCTTTGCAAGTGTAAACCCGATTACGATGGATACTACGTTTAAAGAAACCTGAACAACCTGAACAATTAGAATGATAGATTATCGATGATTAGTTAATTGGCTCTTACAAATTGAGAAAAAAAAAGATTAATCAACTTACCGTCACATGAATAGATTCCGTAATGTTTACCTGAACTGCGATCACCGCAAACACGACAAGGTATGTCAAGAAGTCGATCTCCTATTAACATGATTTGTTTTCGCCAACAATCAGTTAATTGTTGAACAGAGGGAAAGATTGTAAATAGACTGTTATCAATAATTTAGGTTAATTGTGATTCAATTGATTGGTTCATCTTTTTTCATCTTACGTTTTTCCATAGGTTTCAACAGGGAATCCTTTTTAATTGGGATTTCTTGAGAATCCTCATAATCATCCCAAAGGAAAGATTTTCATTAACTAATTGTTTACAATTAACACACAAATAGACAGACACTAATTAGATAAATATTAAATTGATTGGCTATTGTTTAATTTAAATTATAAAAGTTTGAGAGTAAAAAAAAATGATAATGATTCAGAATTGAGAATCCGATTGGAAGATTGGATTAAGTTTAATTGTTCTAGTTGATTAAAGGATAAATTTAAATAATCTACTCACCATATATTTGATCAGATGAAAACAATTATCTTGATAGGGGATTAATTGTAATTAAGATGATAACCATTGATTGTGAACAAATTATTAAGTCAAGAAAAGGAAGGAAAAAATATTGATCAGAAATTGATGAGGATAAAAATGAATTGGAAAATTTTTTTTTCCAAGATGAAGATAAATGTTGATGATGATGATGTTTAAATAGATCACAGTTAAATTGTTGATAGGCTATAGGATTGACTGATTGCTGTTAACTGTAGTTGGTGTTGTTAACTCTGTTAAATTGTTGTTTGATCTGTTGTGATAATAATAATAAAAGTAAAAGTAGATTGAGCAAAATCCAAGCGATTTCAGGATTGGTTAGATAATGTTAAGGTAAAAGGTAGAGTTAAAAAAGCATATCATCAGAAATTATATCATCTTTATCATCCTTATCATCTATCTCAAACTTTCATCTTCTTTATCATCATCATCATCTCATATATCAATGATTATATAATAATATTTACCTGTCTTATCAAGTAAATGATCATGAAAGAGGCAAAGGAATCAAGATGAAGGAGGAAAAAAAAGATTGGCTTGAATTAACTGCTCTCTTTTCATCATTATCATCCTTTGGATTGTTGTTGTTGTTGTTGTTGATGATGATGATGATAAGCTTTCTTACCTTTTCATCATTGGGACGAAGAAAGATGAAGATGATGATATTTCTCTTTCTTTTCTCTGCTCACTCTATTTACCATCGGAAGCCAGTAACTAAACTGAGGTTTGAAATGTTGTAACCAAATGATCCTCCTTTTCATCCTCATCATCTTTGTGTTCATCATGGATGAATTTCTCTCTCTCTCTCTCTCTCTCTCTCTCTCATGATTACAAATAATTTGCCATCATGTCAGATCCAATGTTAATGCTATGGGAATGGATCCATATGATGTTGAAAAGAGTAAGTGAGAGAGAGAGAGAGAGGATAAAGTGAGTTTGTTTTTTCATCTTCATCTTCTTCTTCTCATCATCCAGTGTATCATGATGATGATGCCTTTTAAATTTATTTTCTGCGACAAATTGTGATCAATCTGTTGTTAATATAACATTTAGCTCTCTTTTTTTCTGATGTTATTTTTTGTTCACTTTCTCCCACTGTTGATAACATTTCTCCGCCGGTGGAGATATTTTGTAGAGAGATGAACACATCGAGATAATGATGATGAAGATGAAGAGATGAATCAAGAGATGATAAGGCGGAGTTTAATTCTATAGGATCTGAATGGAAAAGATCCTGAGTCTGTCCAGTTACTTGAGAGAATCCAATTCAACCAATCGAATAGATTTTCTCTTTCTTTTCTTTCTTTTTTCATATTATTCTGTTTTTTTTTGTTCTTTTCACATTTCGACAATTGTTGACAATTTGTTCTACTCGTCTAATACCCTCGATTAACATTTATCGTTATTGTTACGAGTGGAAAGTCTCGTTAATCTTTGATTAATTTTTCTGTCTTGTTGATATCCTTTTGTGTGTTTTCACCTCCAATTGATTGTTTACATTAGTTGTTTAATTGTTTCTCGATTGTTGATTGTTGTTCATCTTAAAAAATATTGATTAAAATCAAAAAGAAAACCACTTTTTGATTGTTAATATCTTTTCTTTTCCTCTAGTTGACTCATTAGCTTTTGACTTTTCAATTGATTTTCGTCAATTTTGATTGCAATTTGTTTTTCTTTTGGATCCATTTAAGGACCAATATAATAATTGATAAGCTTACTCATTTACAGAGTTAATTAGTTACAATTAATGTATATTATTTTACCTTAATCATGTAAAACAATTGACAATTGATCGCTACTTGTTTTACATTAATTAATCTGTTAAAATACAAATTTTATGAGCTTATTTTGCTTTTTTTTGTTACAATTGTTTTTCAATATGATTTGTTAATTGTAGTTAATTGATGAATCCGTTTGTATATTACAATTACAAAAAGAAAGTGTAATGTTGATGATAATTGTAATGGAATAGGGTGAAGATAATGGTAGCAGTTATGATGATGAAGATGATGAATGATAATGTATATAAGAGTGATTAGTGTGAGTGCGAAAGAGAGAGAGAGAGAAAGATTCATTGTATAAATATTTTCAGTCGAATCAAAAAAAAATAATAATAATAAGTAGATCTGGTGATGATTAACACTAGTCGCTGATGGTGATACAGGCATTGTCAGTGAAAACTGGTAATTATTATTAAATTATCCATGATTACTAATTGTTTAACTAATTAACTAATTATTCATCATCGAGACCTCTTAAAATTAATGTTCTTTGAATTTCTTTGTGTCGTTTTTTAACCAATGATTTCAGTTTGAGTTCTTCCGGAATCTTGTAACCAGGAGCTAAAAATTTGATTAAAGCGGTAAATCCTTTTCCTTGGGTTAAACAAATTGGTCTACAGTCTTCCACCAACATATTGACAATTGCATTGGTTATATCGTCACACGAAAGTAAGGGAATATTTTCTGGACTAATATCATTAGATGTTTCCACTTCGGTCGTTGTTTCCATTGTACTGGATAATCCAGTTGATGTGGAAAGTACATAATCTTCTTGAGTGTTCATTTCGGTTGGATGTTCACCATCACCTCCACTGGTATTTGGTGTTTCATCTTCAGCAACGAAAGTTATCGGCATTGAACTTGAATCACCAAAGGTTATACCTCGTACAATATATTCTTGATTTTCGTTTTCCACACTGTCACCGGTTGAGAAACCAATAAATTTAAATTTACCCTTTTTTCCTCTGATAGGTTTTGAGGTTGGTGTCATTTTAGATGGATTTGCTTCCGGATGGAGCGCTTTCAAATGGGTGAAAAGATTCGTTGTATTACCAGAATACGATAAAGTAGTGGCACACAGTTTACAGACGACTTTCTTTTTATCCTGAATTTCACCATCATCTCCAGCAATGAATCCAAAATAAGCCCAAACCTCAGAACGAGCATGAGGCAAGGGAACCACTTTAACCAACTTCATATTCGTCGATTCAACAGGATACTGATTCTGATCGGAAAGACCATCATCAGGCGAGGACATTATGATGAATTAAATATTCACTAAACGTTAAATTAAAACAGAAAATCAACCAGCAGTAGGAAATAATCAATGGAAACAACAATTAACAATAAAGATGTTCACAAACAATAACAACAATTGTCTCTTATTCACCCGCGGTTACTATGGAAACCGAATAAGCGGCAAATACAAATAGAAAGAAAATAAAATTTTCTATTCCATGAGTTACATCTGTCGGTAGAATTTAAAACTAACCCAGAAGCTTTTTTTTCTCTCGTTAACTGTTGATTTTTTTTGTTAATTCTGATTGTGATTAACTAATTGTCTATTTTTAGTTGATCTCCTTTTTTGTATAATATTTGTTTATCTATTTCATGGCTATTCAATTACCTGCTGTTGGTAGTTAATTTATTTTCTACTAAACAATTGACTGATTATCTTTTTCTAAGGTATGTTACATTTGTGTCTCTTTTTAATTTCTTATTATTCTCTATATGAGCTTTTTTTCTTTTTCTGTTTCATATTACATTTGATGATTAAGATTAGTTAAGTTTACAGCTGGTTTGCTTGATCATCATATTTGTTAATCATCAGCTATCAGATCATCACCAACATCATCTTGTTGAGAACATTGTGAATCTAATCAATTGTGTTTGCTAAATGTGCTATCTTGTTACTATCTAGTGATTTCTTAGTTTCTCTTCAATTTTTTTCTCCTTTTTTTCTTTTGTTGTTGGACAAGATTTGATATTTTTCATTTCTATAGAATAGAATTTGACATTTTTTAGTTTCATTTGATTTTATTTGTAATTGTTTCTCTTTTGTGTCTCTCCAACAGATCAATGAATTTTTTCAAGAAATTTTATCTCCCATCATCTAAACCTTTAAGTGAAAATGGTTCTGGTGTTGCTTGTGAAAATGGCGAAGTTGGTGAAGAAGAGATTGATTCTAATCGGGACATTTGCTCGCCTTTCAAACGAACCTTCCTGAGTCCAACTCTATTTGTTGATTCATCGGCTGCAAATGATTATGTTTGTAAAATTTGTCATTTCATGGCCGTTGATCCATTGGAACATGTACCTGGACCCAATGTCACCTGTTCTAATATTTTCTGTCTCCCTTGTGTCAAAACCTATTCCACTTCTGGTTTAGCCTCTTGTCCAGCCGAAGGATGTTTAACAAGTGGTTTTGATTGGTCATCTCTTCGTGAATTGGGAACCAGAGAGATCGCTCGTTTATCAAATTTAATGCTCAATTGTGAATTTAAATGTTCTCAAGTTATTCCATATCGAGACTATTGGACCCACCGAGAAAAATGTCCCGCTAATCCTGATAATTTTTGCTAAATTTGTGATCCTTATTTAATGGCTATTCAATTATATGGTGTTGGTAGATAATTTATTTTCTACTAAACAATTGATTGATTATCTTTTTCTGAGGTATGTTACATTTGTGTTTCTTTTTAATTTCTTATTATTCTCTACATGAATTTTTTTTCTTTTTCTGTTTCATATTACATTTGATTAAGATTAGTTAAGTTTACAGCTGGTTTGCTTGATCATCATATTTGTTAATCATCAGCTATCAGATCATCACCAACATCATCTTGTTGAGAACATTGTGAATCTAATCAATTGTGTTTGCTACTGAGAGTCTTGAGAGAGAGAGAGAGATCTTACTCCATCAGCTTTAGCCATATGAACAGGTCCTTTAAAGCGGTCAATATATGTCCATACCATGCGGGGCTTGGGTTGACAGTACAATAGAGATTACCTGTGAAACTTATTGTAGAGTTTTGAATATTGCTAAATATCGAGCAATTGTTAGGATTTGATGGGGTACTTAGGATCTGCATAAAAAAGGTAAAAAAAACGATAAAAATAAAGTTTTTAGTCATGATTAAAATTAAGGGAAAATAAGAAAGAAATAATTATAAAAAAAATTAGGAGATTGAAGCCGAAAATGCAAGTTATTGGTTTATATAAGAAGAGAAAGAGAGAGTGAGAGAGCTAGAAGACGTTTTTGTCTTCTTATCTAAGCCAACCATCAGCAAGTTTCAAACAATCAACTCAAAACAGTTTAACCTTTCAATTCTATTGGTTCTCAAAAGACAAGAATCAAGGAGAAGGTTAGCAACAATCAACTGAGAAACGGTTACATGGTAACAGTTTAACCTTTGGTGGTTCAGGTCATGTAAATGGTTATTCTGACATTGGCTCAGGAAAACTCGGAATCCTAGATGAAAATGGTGAACTCAATGATGTCTCACCCTCTCAATCACGAAGACAAAGTTGCTCATTACCACTTGGTCAACACTGTTCCTCAAAAGAAGTCCGAATATCGAATGAAAATGGTGACGAGTGAGTATTTTCTCTCTCTCTCTCTCTCTCTAGATCATTTAACCTTCTCTCTCTTCTTTCATGTGTTTTTTTTCTCTATCAAGTGTTTGTTTAAAGATTTTTCTCATTTTATGTTCTATTCCATTTTGTCTAATATTATTTCTCCTTCCACCTCAACAGGGATACTCGCGGTGTTTTATCATCAGTTGGTAGCTGCAAACGCAGTCGACACAATTTATCATCATCAAGTATCTTAAACCACCAGTTGAATAGCTGTGAAAGCAAATGTACGTACCCTAGTTAATTAATTAATACATTTAGATACATTTCTCTGCATTAAGAGATAATTTTTTCTCTCTTCTCTTCTCTCTCTAATCTAATCTTGTCATCTTTTCACTTACCTTTCTCTCTCACAGCATCAATTGTTACTCAACAATCTCACCGATCAAGAAATGGTTCTGTGAATCGAGGTGGAAACGATATACCTCTGAATTCTAATAAAACAATCACTGAGACAACGCGACATCAGGTTCGCTTTCAGCATTCACTGAAGGAACAAACAGTTCAAAATGAGAAGATCGTGTTTGTTGCCTCCAAACGGGCTCCGGTTGCCTTATTTTCGTACATCCCTTTTTCAAGGAAATCCAATAGCACAATTAACAGGTAGACTGATGAATCTTCTCAACAATAATTCTAATCCAATATTATATTTTGATTATCTAATCATTTTAATTCACTTTGCTTCCATTACAGTCAAATTAAACAAGATTTAATCAATAAACGACGACATACTGGTGCTCGTCAATTATCAACAATCGCTGATGGTTCAGATCCTTATGAATCAATTTGTATTGTTGGCTATGAGAAACCAATGGATGGCCAAGAAGTATCTTATTCAAATTTACTTAGCCCAACAATTAAATTAATCCATGGGAAGAAGGCTAAAATTCACGCAGCTGAACACAATTTTGTTAATCGTTGTATCTCTTACGATTCAGCGGTTGCCTATCCTGGTAAACAATCAATTGGAAATAATCATTATCACCTATTACATCAGATAACGGCTCCTTCGGTATTAAATGACTCTGAATCAAATCTATTAAGAGACAAACATCAATACCATGGGTACCCAACAACTCTCCTCAAGTACAATCCTGATATTCTTGATGATCCAGAATTAATTACTGGTAAACACAGTACTTTATTAGATTTTCCATCCTACTTGGTAAGCACAATAACAATTAAATTCTATCATCAACAATTTGTTTACTTTGATCAAAGTCTAACTCATTAATCCTCTCTCTCTCTCTTTCTCTCTTTCTCTCTTTCTCTCTTTCCTAATTAGACTTCAATAATTAATTATGTCAAACCATCGGATCTCAAGAAGGAATTGAATGAAAAATTTAGAGAAAGATTTCCTTATATTCAATTAACATTGAGTAAGATGCGAAGTCTTAAAAGAGACATGTGTAAAATTGCCAAACACGAGGTGAGAACAATCAATTAAATAGTTAATTTGCATCAACAATCAACATGATTTTCTAATTACCAGTTATGGTTGGTTTACATTTTATTTTGGAGGGAAAACTGTTGACTTTTTCTATTACATTTAGATGATTAGTTAATTGTTTTTGATTGTTGATGAAAATCTAGAAATATCGTTTTAAGTGATTTGTTTTTGGTTATTTTCTTACCAAAAATAAACAATCACAATTAGACGTGATCATAAACTATTATTATTATTATTACTATTATTGTTTTCTATTTTATCATCATTCACACTAATCATGATCATTAACTGATTTCTTTTTGATTTATCTTCTTCCTTATTATCTTATTCTAGGGTAACATTGATTATCTAACGGTGGCTCAAGCTTATGTTTACTTTGAGAAATTGATTCTTAAATTGTTGATTAACAAACAGAATCGTAAACTTTGTGCTGGTGCTTGTTTACTTCTCTCTGCTAAATTAAACGATGTCAAAGGAGTAGAATTAAAAAAATTGATTGAGGTAAATTAAATCTCTATCTCTCTCTCAACCCTTTACTTTCATAATTATCAATGTTGCAATCTTAAAATTATAACAATCTTACAATTACCTAGTGATAAAATCATATCTTTGATTGTGTTTGATTCAGTATAAATCAATTACTCATTAGTGAAGAAGGAGTAAAAATATTTAACCAACATTTATTAGATTGTTACTCTTTATTGGCAATAATTCAAAATTAGCGACTTCAATTCACATAATTAACACTAATCATGACCCAATGTCATGAAATACAAGGAAGAGACTAAAATAAACTAGAAAATCGCATCAACAATTAAAACCTCAATTGTTTTTTTAAATAAAAAATGAGTCAAAATATTGAATTAACCTTGAGCTAAATTATATTATTGCTTCTTGAAATTTAGTCACAATCAAGTTTTGACAGTATTTATTTGAATGCTGATCAATCTTAACAATTGTTCAAATGATTTGCTCAACTAATTGTCTTTGTTATTTGTTTTTTATTGCAGAAAATTGAAAATACATTTAGAGTTGATCGAAAGGATTTGTTTTCAATCGAGTTCACTGTTCTTGTCGCCCTCGAGTTTGGACTTCATTTACCAATTAACGAAACACTTTCCCATTACCAGCGACTCATGTTCGAGACCTAATTAACCCTCTCCTCATCATCATTATCATTAATCATGATCATTAGAAGAATAAGAATTTTTTCCTCCAATAAGATACGCAGAAGATGACATTATATTCAACAAGTGTCATTGGCGACAATTTCATAATCAACAATCGAGTTACTACCGAAAGATTTTCATCTTTAATTATAATCGTCATCATAATCTTGTCAAAACGTTAATCCAGTCAAAGAAAACGAGTATCAATATCAAAGATTTAATCATCTTGATTGTTAATCCAAATTTCCTGATAAATCAAAGACAAATGATTTTCCTAAATCATAATACCAAGCCAATTAACTGAATCCTCTTTTAAATCAATCACTAGTGTTAAAAGATTAATTGTTTATGTTATTGATCCAGTTAATTGTTATTCTTTTACATTCTATTAACCAAATCAACTTCTATTATTAACTATCATCATCTAGAACCACCTGTTATCAGTTATTAATTAATCAATAATACCAACACATCCTCATATTTACAATAACTATTATCTTAATTATGTTAAACCTTGAAAATTATATTTACCTTTCAGAATTGTTAATCAATAATCAAGAAAAATGAAACTTTAAATTAAATCTAGAAAATTGATATTTAATTGTTACTATTAAAAAACAACTAAAGTTTATTATCTCAATTTAACCAGCTTTTCATATCCAAGTATCAAAAATGATTCAACTAATTAAGTTGAATTGAATCACAATCAATCAACAAGTAGTTACTGTGAAAGAGACAATTAAGTGAGTTAATTGTTGATTGTTTATTGTCAAATTCTTGGTCAAATAATTAATCTAATCAGCTGATTTGACTTCCGATGAGTTTATTGTTTGTTAATCAGATTTAATTTTCTTTTTATTTTAAATATTTGCACAAATTGACAAGTTCAAATGTATTAATTGTTTATCTGTTAATTGTTTTACACTTTGATTAGTTAATCGATATGATTAAATCGATTGAAAAATAAAGTAATTCATAGAAATCAAATTTGTTTTTCGTTTTATAATGATCAAGATTTTGGGTTGTTTTTGTTTGTGATAATCAGTTTAATCATTTTCAACACTTTTCTTTGTTTTGTTGATTAATTCATTGATGATAATTAAGCTCTGAGAAAGTAAATATTAATTGTTGATGTTTTTACTTTTGTCTTTTGATACTGTTGGGCTGTTGAAATGATTGTTAATTAGGGTTATTAATTAACTAATCACAAAAGATTTTAGATAAATGAGATCATTTTCACTTATGGTAAATCAATGATGATTTTGGTACATCATTGATCATTTTGATTAGTACAATTGCATTTAGATGAATGTTTTTAGTGTAAACATATAAGATAACAATTAATTTTACCTTTTCTCTCTCTCTCTTTCTCTCTCTTTTAGCAGCAACAATTAACAAGAATTATGAATATTTTGCATACTACTTGCTTGTAATTTTATCTTTAAGGTTAACTAATTAGCTGCGTAATTAGTTGAGCAAATCAATCATATGTTGATTTTATACCTAAATATTGTGAATATATATTACAATTAATTTAGATTATATTGTAATACCTGAGATAGTTGATCAAATTTAAATATATACCATTAATAAGGAATCGCACTAAACAATACTGATTCGATATCAACATACAGAAATACTTTTTCACAACAATAAAAAATTGGAATAAATAATTACCTTTTTTTCATCCAAATCCTTATAAAAGTGAACAAATTTTTCAATTGGAGCACATTCGCTAAATAATAATATGGTAATAAGTAAAATCAGAGAAACTTGAATCAATTTAGACATTTTCGAAATCAATGAAATGAAACAAATGAAAAAGTTTGCGAGAAAACTTTGGATTGATTTATTTATAGGGAAGATTAAAATTAATCTATTTTTCTTTAATCATCCTCAAAGCCCTCGAGCAATGAAAAATATGCTTATTTCTTTATCTTCATTCAGATAAATGCGATCAACCAGATCAATTATACTTTCAAGTTCGAACTTTTTTCTCATTCTTTCGACAAACTTTTAATAACACGAATTAAAGACAACAATTGTCTCTTATTCACCCGCGGTTACTATGGAAACCGAATAAGCGGCAAATACAAATGGAGAGAAAATAAAATTTTCTATTCTACGAGCGAGATCTGTCGGTAGAATTTAATACTAACCCAGAATATTTTTTTCTCTCGTTAACTGTTGATGTTTTTTTGTTAATTCTGATTGTGATTAACTAATTGTCTATTTTTAGTTGATCTCCTTTTTTGTATAATATTTGTTTATCTATTTAATGGCTATTCAATTACCTGCTGTTGGTAGTTAATTTATTTTCTATTAAACAATTGATTGATTTTCTTTTTCTAAGGTATGTTACATTTGTGTTTCTTTTTCTTTTTCAATTTCTTATTATTCTCTATATGAGATTTTTTTCTTTTTCTGTTTCATATTACATTTGATGATTAAGATTAGTTAAGTTTACAGCTGGTTTGCTTGATCATCATATTTGTTAATCATCAGCTATCAGATCATCACCAACATCATCTTGTTGAGAACATTGTGAATCTAATCAATTGTGTTTGCTAAATGTGCTATCTTGTTACTATCTAGTGATTTCTTAGTTTCTCTCACACTTTTTTCTCCTTTTTTTCTTCTGTTGTTGGAATAGATTTGGTATTTTTCATTTCTATAGAATAGAATTTGACATTTTTTAGTTTCATTTGATTTTATTTGTAATTGTTTCTCTTTTGTGTCTCTCCAACAGATCAATGAATTTTTTCAAGAAATTTTATCTCCCATCATCTAAACCTTTAAGTGAAAATGGTTCTGGTGGTGATTGTGAAAATGGCGAAGTTGGTGAAGAAGAGATTGATTCCAATCGGGACATTTGCTCGCCTTTCAAACGAACCTTTCTGAGTCCAACTCTATTTGTTGATTCATCGGCTGCAAATGATTACGTTTGTAAAATTTGTCATTTCATGGCCGTTGATCCATTGGAACATGTACCTGGACCCAATGTCACCTGTTCTAATATTTTCTGTCTCCCTTGTGTAAAAACCTATTCCACTTCTGGTTTAGCCTCTTGTCCAGCCGAAGGATGTTTAACAAGTGGTTTTGATTGGTCATCTCTTCGTGAATTGGGAACCAGAGAGATCGCTCGTTTATCAAATTTAATGCTCAATTGTGAATTTAAATGTTCTCAAGTTATTCCATATCGAGACTATTGGACCCATCGAGAAAAATGTCCCGCTAATCCTGATAATTTTTGCGAAATTTGTGATTCTCCGAAAACGTGTGATACCCATAGTTGCCGAGAAGTATTCATCCAATTAAAGAAAAAGGATGAAACTCTAGTTAAAGAAAATAATCAATTAAAGGCTGAAATTGATAAATTACGTCGTGAATTGGATTCACTAAGAGGCGAAAGAGCTGAAAAAATGTCAAATGGTATCTCATCGACAACTACTTATACCCCCGAAAATCAATCAAATCATAGTAATGACAATAACTCTGATTCTAACACACCAAACACACCAACCACTTCTTCTGGTGCTGGTACAGTTTCCACGACGAGTGAAGACAAAAATGCTATTAAATCATCGCAAAGAACAAAAGTTGGACCACCAAAAGTAAACGGCAATAAAAATGGAAAACCTGATAATAATAATAATACAAACAGTCAACACAATTATAATAGAGATAATTGGGATTCTAAATCATCAAGTAGCCATAACAATAAGGGAATTAGAGAAAGTGAAGAAACGGGTTTCCTTCGAGGTGCAGTTCCTCAATACAAATTTCACTCTAATTGTTTTATGATTAAATCGGATCACAGTAGAATCCGATTGATATTTCATTATGGAGAAAAAAGTTACAAAATAGACGATGCCCAATCTACATTTACATTTCGCACCTTGAGGTCACTTTTACATGATATGATGAAACATGATCCAGGTATAATGTTATTGGTTCGACATCGAATCCTTGACGATAGAGAAACCATTTCATCTTGTGGATTCAAGCCAGGATTAAATTCAATCTCTTTGGTTCCATATGATACTCCTGATTTCAATGAGCCAGGTTTCCGTTTAGGACTTTATCGTTTAAAACATGCCACCGATCCATTAGATGCCAAAAAAGTGCCACCAGGAACAATTAAACCAAATGATTTACCTTTCATTTCAAAGGAAGCGATTGACTTTTATTCAAACTCGTTGGACCCACAAATTGGCGAAAAGGATATTACATTATCTTTCCATAAAGGTGGTAAAGACGATTCATTAGAGATCAAAGTGAAACGCGACCAGACCATCGGATCGATTAGATCAATGGTCGATTACATGATCGAAGGTGGTTGCGGTAAAATGATGCATATAACCCACCAGTTGATCAGAGACGACATGACCGTTAGACAATACGGAATAGGATTTGGAACTGTTGATATAACCCTTTTACCGGCCTCATTTCCTATCGACCTGGATAAGACTCGAACATTACACTTAATACGTTTCAGGAATAACGGGAAAATGAGTAAAAAGTTTACAGGAAAATTGAAAAGTCGAACCAATTCCATGGCCTCTTTGGTTTTGTAATCCTTTTTACAATTAACGGATTTAAAAGCAGAAAAGTTTCCATTTCGGCAATAATTAACTTTATATCAACAATCCCATATAATATATGCTTTGTCTGTTGATCAAATTTACCAATTCCTTATTAATGGTATATATTTAAATTTGATCAACTATCTCAGGTATTACAATATAATCTAAATTAATTGTAATATATATTCACAATATTTAGGTATAAAATCAACATATGATTGATTTGCTCAACTAATTACGCAGCTAATTAGTTAACCTTAAAGATAAAATTACAAGCAAGTAGTATGCAAAATATTCATAATTCTTGTTAATTGTTGCTGCTAAAAGAGAGAGAAAGAGAGAGAGAGAAAAGGTAAAATTAATTGTTATCTTATATGTTTACACTAAAAACATTCATCTAAATGCAATTGTACTAATCAAAATGATCAATGATGTACCAAAAATCATCATTGATTTACCATAAGTGAAAAATGATCTCTCATTTATCTAAAAATCTTTTGTGATTAGTTAATTAATAACCCCTAATTAACAATCATTTCAACAGCCCAACAGTATCAAAAGACAAAAGTAAAAACATCAACAATTAATATTTACTTTCTCAGAGCTTAATTATCATCAATGAATTAATCAACAAAACAAAGAAAAGTGTTGAAAATGATTAAACTGATTATCACAAACAAAAACAACCCAAAATCTTGATCATTATAAAACGAAAAACAAATTTGATTTCTATGAATTACTTTATTTTTCAATCGATTTAATCATATCGATTAACTAATCAAAGTGTAAAACAATTAACAGATAAACAATTAATACATTTGAACTTGTCAATTTGTGCAAATATTTAAAATAAAAAGAAAATTAAATCTGATTAACAAACAATAAACTCATCGGAAGTCAAATCAGCTGATTAGATTAATTATTTGACCAAGAATTTGACAATAAACAATCAACAATTAACTCACTTAATTGTCTCTTTCACAGTAACTACTTTTTGATTGATTGATTGTGATTCAATTCAACTTAATTAGTTGAATCATTTTTGATACTTGGATATGAAAAGCTGATTAAATTGAGATAATAAACTTTAGTTGTTTTTTAATAGTAACAATTAAATATCAATTTTCTAGATTTAATTTAAAGTTTCATTTTTCTTGATTATTGATTAACAATTCTGAAAGGTAAATATAATTTTCAAGGTTTAACATAATTAAGATAATAGTTATTGTAAATATGAGGATGTGTTGGTATTATTGATTAATTAATAACTGATAACAGGTGGTTCTAGATGATGATAGTTAATAATAGAAGTTGATTTGGTTAATAGAATGTAAAAGAATAACAATTAACTGGATCAATAACATAAACAATTAATCTTTTAACACTAGTGATTGATTTAAAAGAGGATTCAGTTAATTGGCTTGGTATTATGATTTAGGAAAATCATTTGTCTTTGATTTATCAGGAAATTTGGATTAACAATCAAGATGATTAAATCTTTGATATTGATACTCGTTTTCTTTGACTGGATTAACGTTTTGACAAGATTATGATGACGATTATAATTAAAGATGAAAATCTTTCGGTAGTAACTCGATTGTTGATTATGAAATTGTCGCCAATGACACTTGTTGAATATAATGTCATCTTCTGCGTATCTTATTGGAGGAAAAAATTCTTATTCTTCTAATGATCATGATTAATGATAATGATGATGAGGAGAGGGTTAATTAGGTCTCGAACATGAGTCGCTGGTAATGAGAAAGTGTTTCGTTAATTGGTAAATGAAGTCCAAACTCGAGGGCGACAAGAACAGTGAACTCGATTGAAAACAAATCCTTTCGATCAACTCTAAATGTATTTTCAATTTTCTGCAATAAAAAACAAATAACAAAGACAATTAGTTGAGAAAATCATTTGAACAATTGTTAAGATTGATCAGCATTCAAATAAATACTGTCAAAATTTGATTGTGACTAAATTTCACGAAGCAATAATATAATTTAGCTCAAGGTTAATTCAATATTTTGACTCATTTTTTATTTAAAAAAAAACAATTGAGGTTTTAATTGTTGATGCGATTTTCTAGTTTATTTTAGTCTCTTCCTTGTATTTCATGACATTGGGTCATGATTAGTGTTAATTATGTGAATTGAAGTCGCTAATTTTGAATTATTGCCAATAAAGAGTAACAATCTAATAAATGTTGGTTAAATATTTTTACTCCTTCTTCACTAATGAGTAATTGATTTATACTGAATCAAACACAATCAAAGATATGATTTTATCAATAGGTAATTGTAAGATTGTTATAATTTTAAGATTGTAACATTGATAATTATGAAAGTAAAGGGTTGAGAGAGAGATAGAGATTTAATTTACCTCAATCAATTTTTTTAATTCTACTCCTTTGACATCGTTTAATTTAGCAGAGAGAAGTAAACAAGCACCAGCACAAAGTTTACGATTCTGTTTGTTAATCAACAATTTAAGAATCAATTTCTCAAAGTAAACATAAGCTTGAGCCACCGTTAGATAATCAATGTTACCCTAGAATAAGATAATAAGGAAGAAGATAAATCAAAAAGAAATCAGTTAATGATCATGATTAGTGAATGATGATAAAATAGAAAACAATAATAGTAATAATAATAATAATAGTTTATGATCACGTCTAATTGTGATTGTTTATTTTTGGTAAGAAAATAACCAAAAACAAATCACTTAAAACGATATTTCTAGATTTTCATCAACAATCAAAAACAATTAACTAATCATCTAAATGTAATAGAAAAAGTCAACAGTTTTCCCTCCAAAATAAAATGTAAACCAACCATAACTGGTAATTAGAAAATCATGTTGATTGTTGATGCAAATTAACTATTTAATTGATTGTTCTCACCTCGTGTTTGGCAATTTTACACATGTCTCTTTTAAGACTTCGCATCTTACTCAATGTTAATTGAATATAAGGAAATCTTTCTCTAAATTTTTCATTCAATTCCTTCTTGAGATCCGATGGTTTGACATAATTAATTATTGAAGTCTAATTAGGAAAGAGAGAAAGAGAGAGGATTAATGAGTTAGACTTTGATCAAAGTAAACAAATTGTTGATGATAGAATTTAATTGTTATTGTGCTTACCAAGTAGGATGGAAAATCTAATAAAGTACTGTGTTTACCAGTAATTAATTCTGGATCATCAAGAATATCAGGATTGTACTTGAGGAGAGTTGTTGGGTACCCATGGTATTGATGTTTGTCTCTTAATAGATTTGATTCAGAGTCATTTAATACCGAAGGAGCCGTTATCTGATGTAATAGGTGATAATGATTATTTCCAATTGATTGTTTACCAGGATAGGCAACCGCTGAATCGTAAGAGATACAACGATTAACAAAATTGTGTTCAGCTGCGTGAATTTTAGCCTTCTTCCCATGGATTAATTTAATTGTTGGGCTAAGTAAATTTGAATAAGATACTTCTTGGCCATCCATTGGTTTCTCATAGCCAACAATACAAATTGATTCATAAGGATCTGAACCATCAGCGATTGTTGATAATTGACGAGCACCAGTATGTCGTCGTTTATTGATTAAATCTTGTTTAATTTGACTGTAATGGAAGCAAAGTGAATTAAAATGATTAGATAATCAAAATATAATATTGGATTAGAATTATTGTTGAGAAGATTCATCAGTCTACCTGTTAATTGTGCTATTGGATTTCCTTGAAAAAGGGATGTACGAAAATAAGGCAACCGGAGCCCGTTTGGAGGCAACAAACACGATCTTCTCATTTTGAACTGTTTGTTCCTTCAGTGAATGCTGAAAGCGAACCTGATGTCGCGTTGTCTCAGTGATTGTTTTATTAGAATTCAGAGGTATATCGTTTCCACCTCGATTCACAGAACCATTTCTTGATCGGTGAGATTGTTGAGTAACAATTGATGCTGTGAGAGAGAAAGGTAAGTGAAAAGATGACAAGATTAGATTAGAGAGAGAAGAGAGAAAAAATTATCTCTTAATGCAGAGAAATGTATCTAAATGTATTAATTAATTAACTAGGGTACGTACATTTGCTTTCACAGCTATTCAACTGGTGGTTTAAGATACTTGATGATGATAAATTGTGTCGACTGCGTTTGCAGCTACCAACTGATGATAAAACACCGCGAGTATCCCTGTTGAGGTGGAAGGAGAAATGAGAATATAAGACAAAATGGATTAGAAAAAAAATGAGAAAAATCTTTAAACAAACACTTGATAGAGAAAAAAACACATGAAAGAAGAGAGAGAAGGTTAAATGATCTAGAGAGAGAGAGAGAAGAGAAAAATACTCACTCGTCACCATTTTCATTCGATATTCGGACTTCTTTTGAGGAACAGTGTTGACCAAGTGGTAATGAGCAACTTTGTCTTCGTGATTGAGAGGGTGAGACATCATTGAGTTCACCATTTTCATCTAGGATTCCGAGTTTTCCTGAGCCAATGTCAGAATAACCGTTTACATGACCTGAACCACCAAAGGTTAAACTGTTACCATGTAACCGTTTCTCAGTTGATTGCTTATAATCTTGTTGATAGGATTTATTGACCGATTGAAGTGGTAACCGCAAATGTTGGAGGTGTGATGATGAAGATGATGATGTTGTTGAGTCAAATGGATGATGATGATGTTCAGAAAAGCCTGATGATGGTAACAAAGAGGCTGTGGTGTCTTGCTGAGGGTCAGTTGTTGGTGTTGATGGAAATGGTGGTTGAAGAAAATTTGATTTATTTGGATAAGATGATGAATATGTTGCGTCCAAATAATTGTCACGAATTACGAAAGGGGCCAATTTAGTGTCCCGATGAGTACCATCCAATGATATGTTGGAAAGGAAAGTGATTGCTGCTAACCTTCTCCTTGATTCTTGTCTTTTGAGAACCGTTGCCATCAAATGGATACACAGAACCAGAAGATTATTGTATCAACAGAAGGGAAGAGAAAGAGAGAAGAGAAAAACAGAAAAGAAACAAATGTAAATTCTATTTTTTTAATTGTTTCCACTGATTAAAAGAAAATCAATTTGTGAAGAAAATGGTGATTATCAGATGAAGAACAGAAAATAAGAAAAAATCAATAATTCTAAAGAGAGAAGAGCAAAAAGATCTTCTTGCTCTCTCGGTAAACTGAACTCAAATGAGAATAATTTTTCTTCCTCAAAAAGCTTCTTTTCTCTCTCTCTCTCTCTCTTTCTATTTTCTCTTTCGAATTTCTTTCTCTCTGCTTATCTTCTCAACTGTTATATTAATCATCATCATCTTTCATTCGTTTTCCAGTCATTCTCAGTGAAGAAAACAGTTGATACTCCAAATCGACCATGAAAACTGTTCCGAGTGGTCGTTTTGAGAATTCATTTTTTTTCATCAATTAATTTCTTCTTGTCGTTACAATTTAAACCGGTTTATTACAATTGTTTTGACTTTGAATGACAATTTAGTGAATTGACAGTTGATATTATTGCTTATTGTTTACATTTGTTGTTGTGTCATTTTTGTTTATTAGGGAATTTGTTTTGATTAAATGTCCAAAGTGGTTTAATGATGTTGTTACAATGTGATTGTTTTGGTCTCAGGTTATTTAATTGATCTGATAGGCTTTGAGATGAACGTAAGGTGATTTTTGAGCGTTCTGATGATGAGGCCAATTGATGCCGAAGTCTAAATCTATCAGGTGGTTTAGAGAAATCGAAATCATTTTGATATTTAGCTTGTTTCGACGAGCCGCTTGTGGTTCTCAGGGAATGAATTTCTTTCTTGAGAGATGACACCCGTTTCGCCCACTTCTCATGAGTGATCTGAATTGTCGATGAGATACCATTTGACATTTTTTCAGCTCTTTCGCCTCTTAGTGAATCCAATTCACGACGTAATTTATCAATTTCAGCCTTTAATTGATTATTTTCTTTAACTAGAGTTTCATCCTTTTTCTTTAATTGGATGAATACTTCTCGGCAACTATGGGTATCACACGTTTTCGGAGAATCACAAATTTCGCAAAAATTATCAGGATTAGCGGGACATTTTTCTCGATGGGTCCAATAGTCTCGATATGGAATAACTTGAGAACATTTAAATTCACAATTGAGCATTAAATTTGATAAACGAGCGATCTCTCTGGTTCCCAATTCACGAAGAGATGACCAATCAAAACCACTTGTTAAACATCCTTCGGCTGGACAAGAGGCTAAACCAGAAGTGGAATAGGTTTTGACACAAGGGAGACAGAAAATATTAGAACAGGTGACATTGGGTCCAGGTACATGTTCCAATGGATCAACGGCCATGAAATGACAAATTTTACAAACATAATCATTTGCAGCCGATGAATCAACAAATAAAGTTGGACTCAGGAAGGTTCGTTTGAAAGGCGAGCAAATGTCCCGATTAGAATCAATCTCTTCTTCACCAACTTCGCCATTTTCACAATCACCACCAGAACCATTTTCACTTAAAGGTTTAGATGATGGGAGATAAAATTTCTTGAAAAAATTCATTGATCTGTCGAAGAGACACAAAAGAGAAACAAATTACAAGATGATGTTGGTGATGATCTGATAGAAGATGATTAACAAATATGATGATCGAACAAACCAGCTGTAAACTTAACTAATCTTAATCAAATGTAATATGAAACAGAAAAAGAAAAAAAATCTCATATAGAGAAAAACAACAAATTGAAAAAGAAACACAAATTTTACAAACATGATCATTTACAGCCGATGAATTCGCAGTTGGAATCAAATAGGTTGGTTTGAAAGAAGAGTAAATTTCTCGATTGGAATCACAATCTCCATTCTCACTCAAAGTCTTAGATGAAGGGAGATAAAATTTCTCGAAAAGACTCGTTGCCATCAAAAAGAGAACCAAATAACGCAGAAAAAAAGAGATTAATTAAACGAACAATTAGTTGATTAGGAGCAGAATTAACAGAAAAACATCAACAGTTAAATTGGCAGTTGGTGTTACGATTATTGACTAATGTTTATGTTGGTTGTTGTTTTTTATCATGGATTTGATTAAATTGTCAATGTTAATATGATTTAGTTGGTGTGGAGTTGCGTTAACGAATTGATCTGTAGGCTGTTATGCTTGAAGATGAGCGCAAGGTGATTTTTGAGCTTGCTGGTGAATCCAAAATGGCGTTTCTATTTACCATCGGAGTGACTGGATCCAATCGAGTTGGTTGATTGAACGAGTAGTTTTCATGGGATTGAGATTTTAACATCGATGATGAAGGCACTTGATGACGATTCGGTCTGAATATTTCTGGTGGTCTAGAGAAATTATAATCATTTGGATAATTTGACCGTTTCAATGGATCGCTACAGCCAATTTTACTCCTTAGAGAATGAATTTCCTTCTTCAGAGATGACACCCGTTTCTCCCATTTCTCTTGAGTGATCTGTCCTCTGGAAGCCTAAAGTATAAGAAATAAAAAGAAAAAATCTCATTACAATCAAACCAATCAACAGAAAAGTGAAATTCTAATAAAACAAAATTCTCACCTGAGAGGTAAAATGTGCAAGTAAATTTCCTCTTTGAGCCCGTTGGAATCTCTCAATTTTGACAAGCTTTTGTAAAAGTCTCTCGATCGGCTCAAAATATGATCGTAATTCTGGTCTGATTGTTTTATCCAAAGGTACAAATTCACAGCGACTCTTACACTTGGAGCAAAATCGATCCTTTTTAACTGAATGTGAGATGATGAGGGGAAAAAATAATAAAAAATGATAAATTGTGATGAAAAATAAAACAATTAACCAAAGAATTAAATAGAAACAAATTACTTACTTGATTCACAACATGAAGAGCAAAAAATATGAGTACAAGAAGTGAACCAGAATTTGGTTCCATTAGGATCAGGTAAAGCAAAACACTGATTACAATGAACGAAATCAGTCATAATCGTGTTGTAGAATCGACTGATTATAATAAAAGAAAATAAAGAAAAGATATTAACTCTAAACAAACAAATTAGTTAATCACAATCAGAATAAACAAAAAGCCATCAACAGGTTTCAACGAGAAATAAACAGAATCACTTCTGATTTTTTATTCCAAAAAGTTTCAATTTCGACCGACAGATGGCATTAGATTAGTTTGTTTTTAATTCGAGTTAAATAAAAGTTTATCGAAAGAGATGAGAAAAAAGTTCGAACTTGAAGGTATAATTGATCTGATTGATCGCTTTGATCTGAATGAAAATAAAGATATAAGCATGTTTCTCATTGCTCGAACTGTCACTGCTATTCTAATAAATTTACGTATACGTTAAACGTATTAAGTGTAATGTTCGAGTCTTATCCAGGTCGATCGGAAATGAGGCCGGTAAAAGGGTTATATCAACAGTTCCAAATCCTATTCCGTATTGTCTAACGGTCATGTCGTCTCTGATCAACTGGTGAGTTATATGCATCATTTTACCGCAACCACCTTCGATCATGTAATCGACCATTGATCTAATCGATCCGATGGTCTGGTCGCGTTTCACTTTGATCTCTAATGAATCGTCTTTACCACCTTTATGGAAAGATAATGTAATATCCTTTTCGCCAATTTGTGGGTCCAACGAGTTTGAATAAAAGTCAATCGCTTCCTTTGAAATGAAAGGTAAATCATTTGGATTAATTGTTCCTGGTGGCACTTTTTTGGCATCTAATGGATCGGTGGCATGTTTTAAACGATAAAGCCCTAAACGGAAACCTGGCTCATTGAAATCAGGAGTATCATATGGAACCAAAGAGATTGAATTTAATCCTGGCTTGAATCCACAAGATGAAATGGTTTCTCTATCGTCAAGGATTCGATGTCGAACCAATAACATTATACCTGGATCATGTTTCATCATATCATGTAAAAGTGACCTCAAGGTGCGAAATGTAAATGTAGATTGGGCATCGTCTATTTTGTAACTTTTTTCTCCATAATGAAATATCAATCGGATTCTACTGTGATCCGATTTAATCATAAAACAATTAGAGTGAAATTTGTATTGAGGAACTGCACCTCGAAGAAAACCCGTTTCCTCACTTTCTCTAATTCCCTTATTGTTATGGCTACTTGATGATTTAGAATCCCAATTATCTCTATTATAATTGTGTTGACTGTTTGTATTATTATTATTATCAGGTTTTCCATTTTTATTGCCGTTTACTTTTGGTGGTCCAACTTTCGTTCTTTGCGATGATTTAATAGCATTTTTGTCTTCACTCGTCGTGGAAACTGCACCAGCACCAGAAGAAGTTGTTGGTGTGTTTGGTGTGTTAGAATCAGAGTTATTGTCATTACTATGATTTGATTGATTTTCGGGGGTATAAGTAGTTGTCGATGAGATAACATTTGACATTTTTCGGGATTTTTTCAAAAAGTGAATTGTTTATTGGTCAATGATTAGGTTGATTTAATCAGTTCGTAAAGTTTTGATAATTGATTAATACCTTTAATTATCAAATATCAGTCAAGAGGAATAAGTTTGATTATTAATCATGAAAATAGAACATAAATTAAATGAAAGAAACAATAACAATAGTTTAACAATAAGGATGTGATCTGTAGTCTGATAGACTTGAAGATGAGCGTAAAGTGATTTTTGAGCTTCCTGGTGAGTCCAAAATGGTGTTTCTACTCACCATCGGAGTGACTGGATCTAATCGAGATGGTTGATTGAACGTGTAATTTTCAAGAGATTGAGGCTTTAACATTGAAGATGATGAGGCCAATTGGTGACGATTCGATCTGAAAATATCTTTGTTAAAATTGAAATCACTTTTAGGTTGTTTCAACGAACCACTTCCATCGATTGAATTTCTCAGAGAATGAATTTCCTTCTTCAGAGATGACACCCGTTTCTCCCACTTCTCTTGAGTGATCTGTCTTGAAGTCTGAGTTAGAAAATTCTATTAGATTAATGTTCAATGAAACAAAGAAATTAAAACTTTATAATTCTTACCTGAGATGTGAAAAGTCTTAATTCTCTTCGTAAATTATTGTTTTCGACTTTTAGTTGGTGATTTTCTTCATCGAGACTCTTGTTCCTTTTCTTCAGTTGATTGAATGTTTCTCGACAATTGTGATTGTCAAGTGTTTTCTGGGAATCACAAATTTCGCAAAAATTATCAGGATTAGCGAGACATTTTTCTCGGTGGGTCCAATAGTCTCGATATGGAATAACTTGAGAACATTTAAATTCACAATTGAGCATTAAATTTGATAAACGAGCGATCTCTCTGGTTCCCAATTCACGAAGAGATGACCAATCAAAACCACTTGTTAAACATCCTTCGGCTGGACAAGAGGCTAAACCAGAAGTGGAATAGGTTTTGACACAAGGGAGACAGAAAATATTAGAACAGGTGACATTGGGTCCAGGTACATGTTCCAATGGATCAACGGCCATAAAATGACAAATTTTACAAACATAATCATTTGCAGCCGATGAATCAACAAATAGAGTTGGACTCAAATAGGTCCGTTTGAAAGAAGAGTAAATATCACGATTGGAATCACAATCTCCATTCTCACTCAAAGTTTTAGATGAAGGAAGATAAAATTTCTTGAAAAAACTCATTTATTCTTAAAAGGAACAAAAATAAGATTCAAACTTTAAACAAACAATTAGTTAATCACAATCAGAATAAACAAAAAGCCATCAACAGGTTTCAACGAGAAATAAACAGAATCACTTCTGATTTTTAGTTCAAAAGAGAAAAAGTTTCAATTTCGACCGACAGATGGCATTAGATTAGTTTGTTTTTAATTCGAGTTAAATAAAAGTTTATCGAAAGAGATGAGAAAAAAGTTCGAACTTGAAAGTATAATTGATCTAGTTGATCGCATTTATCTGAATGAAAATAAAGAGATAAGCATGTTTCTCATTGCTTGAGGGCTTTTAGGATTTAAGTTTAAGAATCTAAAGAAAATAGATTAATATTAATCTTCCTTTCAATAAATCAATCCAAACTTTTTCTCTATGAACTTTTTCATTTGATTCATTTCATTGATTTCGAAAATGTCTAAATTATTGCAAGTTTCTCTAGTTTTGTTTGTTACCATATTATTTAGCGAATGTGCTCCAATTGGAAAATTTGTTCACTTTCATAAGGATTTGGATGAAAAAAAGGTAACTGATGCTCCGCCAATATTGACACAATTATCTAACCAAAATGTCACACACAACTTTAATGTGCATAGTTCAGTAACAATTAATATTAATAATATTAATAACGTTGTTATTAGTAACTCTGTTATTAGTAACGCTGTTATTAATATTAATTCTAAAAGTTCCAATTCTAATACGCCACAGACAAATTGGTTAGACGTGATCAATTTGGTCCTCAGTGTGATAAACTTCATTCTCACTTTGGCCACATATTCATAATTCTTGTTAATTGTTGCTGTTAAAAGAGAGAGTGAGAGAGAGAGAGAAAAGGTAAAATTAATTGTTATCTTATATGTTTACACTAAAAACATTCATCTAAATGCAATTGTACTAATCAAAATGATCAATGATGTACCAAAAATCATCATTGATTTACCATAAGTGAAAAATGATCTCTCATTTATCTAAAAATCTTTTGTGATTAGTTAATTAATAACCACTAATTAACAATCATTTCAACATCCACTTGTTGATTGTCGAGTTGATTAGTTGCAATTCATTAACATTAGTTGACAATCTGATTGTCACGTTTTAATATGATTATTATTTTGAAATGGTTGTTACAATTACAAGGAAAATAAAATATAATGTTAATATCCTTTGATTAATTAATTATTTCTGTAAATTTCCTTTCCATTTTAAAATGTAATAAGTTAGTAAACGTCCAATCATCAATGTTGCTAATAGAGCATAAATCGCCCTCAGGTAAGCAGAATCATCTAAATCATAGTAACTAATTGCTCCTGATTGATTTTCTTCATTAAACCAACTTCCACCAATCCCGTTAACTATATTTCGAGTTAGATTGTCGGTTTGATTCTTGAGAATTAAATCTTCGGGTTCCTCGTTACTTTCAGCGATCGACAATCGAGCCATTCGGAACATGGAATTAAGAAAAAATCCTAATTGATTTTTAGCGTTTATCATCGCTTTGGTCAATTGTGGTTCGCATCTGAAACAAATAAGATTGAAATATGAGCCGATTACTTTGTCCATCATTAATCTGAATCAAAGAAATTGGTTTCAAATCTCATGAACTTATTCAAGGACTCGAATGAAGAAAAGTGAACAAAAAGTTCGAACTTAATTGTAAATTCGATTTGGTGAATAAGTTGAGATTTTGTAACAAATAATAGGCAATCATTGTTCACCTGTTGAATCCGAAAACGGAGACCATGAATCCTTCGAATCCCCACCTCAGGTACGAACAGTAAGAAGCGTATTGGAAAATAATGGGCATCGCTTTTTGCCGAATAAAGAAACCAGAGAAAAGTATAAGTGGAACGGTTGTATTGGGAGCGGTGAACACGGAGGCCACAATGTTGTTCATTAGAAATGCACCACACATGATTCCATGGGTTTGTGACACCAAAGAAACGAGAAAATAGATGACAAAAGTATCAAAATATCGAGACAATGGTTGACTGGTAAAGAGAAAATGTAAAGTGACCACAACCACATTCGTACCAATAATGAAAGGCACCTCAGCGATACCTTTGGCCATATAATACGAACTCGTTTTGTACCAACCATTGTATCTTTCCTTAGCAAAGATCTTAATCTCCATCGGAATGGCCACCGCCATGGGCATCAAATTGGCCAGACAAGAATAAAGAAGTAGAAAATAAAGTGACCCAATATTATCTTGCGTCGATCGAACCTGATCTTCAATGGCCTGTTTTACCTCCTCCATGTGATCAAGATTCGCTTTACCTCTTATATCGGGTGTACATCCAGAGTAAACTCCAACTCCATTATAAAGAGCACCCAAAGTTAGGCCAATATTTATCGCAAAAACAAAACGCAATACACCAAGAAGTGGATCACGAACCATCACCAGAAATTGTCTCGAGAGTAAGATCAAAAAGTGTCGGGTAAACGGTGTCACTGGACGAAGTCTAACTTTCGCTAAAGAGGTCATATGATCATTAGTTGATGATGATTGAACGGCCGAGCTGATTGTCGGTGTTTCAACCATCGGTGTTATCGTCGATTGTAACTTGGACAATTCACCAACATGGGAATGTATTAATGGAGTTGATCGGGTTATCCAATTAGCAGAATGACCATTAGCACCCAAAAATTGACCATTACTATTAATATTTTTATTATGACTTAAATTAGCATTGTTTATATTTGCGATCTCCACATTGGAGGCCATTGATTGAATCACCTCAGTACCATAATCGCCCGAGGCAACTTCAACCAATAGATCAGCGGGATTGTAAAACTTGTCACAATTAATATTGACCCGAGACAATGAGCTGACCACTCCGTCAGGTGTCCCTTCATAAATGAACTTACCCACCCTGGATAACATGTAAACCTTATTGAACATATTGAACACTCGAGCTGAAGGTTGATGAATGGTCATCACAATGGCGATTGGTGTTGATGAAGTTAAATCAGCTAACATTTCCATCAGCTGATAGCATGTTGATGAATCTAATCCCGAAGTTGGCTCATCCATGATCAATATATCCGGACGAGCGACTAGTTCTTGAGCGATTGAGACACGTTTCAGTTGACCGCCACTAATCCGACCTATTTTGGTATCGGCACAAACTTCGAGATTCAATTGTCGTAAAATTGAATCAACGATGTTTATGTGATCATCTGTTGAATAATTAACGCGAGTTCCGTTAATTATTCGAGAATGTTGTAATTCCGATGCATACATTAGCGCCTCTCGAACGGTTAATAGTTCATAGAGATGATCTTGTTGGGGGATGAACGCGATTGATATTTTTTCACGACCAATGCACCTCATTGAACCGTCTAATCCTTTGAGTCTCATTCCAGCGATACACTCGAGAAGTGTTGACTTACCCGCTCCACTTGGTCCCATGAGAGCGGTCAACTGACCTGAAGCGAATGAACCTTGAAGAGATCGTAAAATAATCCGAGAATCGGTGCTGAATGAGACACCACGAATTTTGTTGACCAGTTTATCAAACGTCGACAATTTAACTCGATAAGTCAATTGGCTCCACGAAATAATAAAATTTTTCCCGTCAATTTCAACTATACTCGATCTCAGGTCATTTGGCCTCGTTTCCGTTTCTTCAGAATAAGTTTTCATTGTCGTCGCTGATTCTACAACAAGTGTCTCTAATATTCGCGGTGAATTCAGCCGATTAGTTTGATTGTTTTCGATAACAACCTGTTCGTTATTGACAGAATTTATTGTGACCTGATTTCCATTCACCTCACCGATTATCTCACTATTCACCAGATCACTTTTTCCACTTTTAATTCGATTGTGATCTGGATTATTTCCAAAATCATCGACGACAATTTGATCTGAATATTTATCGTCCACTTGTTGATTATCAAGTTGATTCGTTGCGATTTGATAATAAACGTTAATCGACTGATCCTCTGGTGAAATCAACTGATCATCATTGACTGATTCACTTTTAATAGTTGACATTATTCAATTTAAATGCTTCGAATTTATTGAAATAATTTTAATTGTTCTGATAACGTTGATCAATAATCCATTTCCACCTTTAATGGTAACAATCAAAAAGGTAAACTCAACAATGTTGTTTAAATTTTTCCATTTCTGAGTTAATCATGATCAAATTTTTTTCTGTCTTCCCGATCGATTGAATAAATTATTTCTCATGAACATTTCCAATTGTTCATGACGATGATCATGATCAACATGATTCTAATCCATTTGATCATCATCATATCTTAAATTATATACAAAAAAAGAAGCACAATTATAATGAAGATCATTATTATTAATGAAGAACCAATAATAATAAGATTGATTTAATTAGATATTCAACTTTTTTTTACGGTTTAAATAATTTGATTCATTTCTTAAATTGTCAAATATCAGTCGGGAGCAATTAGTTTGATTGTTAATCGAGACAATGGATCATTAATTAACCCAAAGAGAGCAATTTAATATTTAGATTGTCAATAGTTTCCATTTGGATAATAGTTTGATCAACGAAAAGAAAACAAAAGTTAAGGTAACAACAATTAAAATCGATTACCGATAATCAAAGATTCTTATTTGATTGTAATGATTTTCGATTGGGGTAAAATGATTAATTCTTTGTAACAATTAAATGTTTTCTTCGTCCAATTATAAAACCAAAGACTCTGAATTTACAACCACTTGTTAAATCATCGACGCAGTTAAATATTACAATCAATTAGAGAATTAAGTTAATGATCATAATCAATATCCTCTCATTTGAACAATTTAGTCTCTTAAATTGATTAAATCTTATTAGAAATTAAAAGTTACCTTTACTTGATAATCGAATGACTTAACAAGTGGTTGCGAACTCAAAGTCGATGTTTGTTGCGAAAAAAAGTTTCGAGAAACAATTTAATTGTTCTCACAATTTAACAATTTCTACTGTTTAGTATTTTTATGTCTCGTAAATTGTTGGCAGCAATTTGTTAACGAAATTAAGTCTGTTATGGTTGCGAGGAAAAAGAAAAGAAATAAGAAAATGGAACCCAATTTAAATCGAATCTAAAAATATCGTCGTTACAATTTCTCTCATATTAAAGGGTATCTTTTACTTTCTCTCTTTCTTTTCTTTCTTTTTCATCTTCATCTTCATCTTCATCTTCTTGGATCCTTGGATAACCTTGCATATATAAAAAAACATAGATGATGAAGATGAAGATGAAGATGAAGATGATGTTCACAGATTCTACATCTACTTTTAGATACTTTTTGATTGCATCCATTGTACTTTTGTTCATTGAAAAGGCAAATGAGACCATTTTATCATCTTAATCATCATCATCTTCTTCAGCTCATCGTCCATTATTTTCATGATTGAACCCGAATCGAGATCAAATTGTGTCCTAATTAGATTGAACCAACGAAAAACGAAAACGATATTGTCCAGATTTACTTTGTTTTAATCTTCAATCTTTAATAATTCGCCAAATGAAATTTACATCAGAATAATTGATTGTTAATTGTTACTCCTTCTTTTCCGTTTTCTATCCTACAATTGTGACCAATTTCTGATTAGTGAAAGAAATCAAAGTTAATCATCATGGATCCGGAACAATTTCTAGAGCTCGCTAATACAGTGACGAAGATGAAAATGTTTCCTTACTTTGAAATGGCTCATGCGGTGATTAGTTGTCTCTACATTCGTGATGATTTAGGTTCGGGTGCTCATCCCTTTTCAAGAAAACACCCTTTCTCTTGTTGGTTATCGTCTATGGTCAACATCTTTGCTTCGGCGATTTTGGCCAATTTTTTACTCGGTGAACCAATTGTTGGTGCTTTTCGCAATCCTAATCAAATACTTCTCGCCACCGTCGTTTGGTACCTCATATTTTACTCGCCTTTTGATTTCGTCTACAAGGTGTGCAAATTCATGCCCTGTAAGGTCATTCTGGCGGCGATGAAGGAGGTTATCAGGTGTAAAAAAGTTCATGATGGTGTTTCTCATGCAGCCAAAATCTATCCAAATGGATTCCTCATAATGATCGCCATTGGAACCGTTAAAGGTAAGACAATTGAGAAGATCAATTGATTCTAAACAGAGATTCCATCAAACAAGTTGAATCGATTTGCTCATTTGTGATTTTTTTGGCTCAGGTAATGGTGCGAGTTTCATTAAGATATTGGAACGATTGATGAGAGGAGTTTGGACACCGAATGCAATGGAAATTTTAACACCCACTTTGTGAGTTAATCATCATCGAATTTGAGATTTAGTTCTATTCCTTTGGTACTAACCCTGAGCACTTTTTCGTTCTCTTCTTTTCAGTCCAACGAAAGCTTCGATTGCTGCTTCGATTATCTTTATTGTCGACAAGAAAACGGACTGGATTTCGGTTCCTCATGCATTAGTTTACTTTGGAATTGTTATTTTCTTTGTATATTTCAAACTCTCTTCCATTTTGTTAGGCATTCATGATCCTTTTGTCCCGTTTGAGAATCTATTCTGTGCCATTTTCCTTGGAGGTATTTGGGATGCGCTGGCTCACATTATAACGAATGGTAAATATTCAATTATATCCTTGACAATTAACTTGTTCTAATTAATATTGTTTCATTATTTCGTTTCTTCAGCCAAAAAAGGTGATGAAAATAGTCCCAAAGTGGAAATTCCTAGAAGAGAAGAGACAAAAAAGAAGGATTAATTTAATTGTGTTTTCGACCAACTATCATCCTGGAACTTTGGAAACTTTCAAAAATGAACTGAATCAATTTTGATTGTACAAAATTTTCACTATTTTTCACCTTCTCCTTCAGTGTAATTATCCCAAATAAAAGTTACCAACGTTAAATTTGATTCCCAAATTTCCTTGGACTAATTATTTTCACTCTGTCAGAATTTCTTAATTACTCTTCATCAACCAAAAAGATTAAGAAATAGATAACAATTTGATGCCAATTTTTAATTATCCGTGGTAAAAATCTAAATCTAAATTAAAACAGTTCACAGATCAACAGATTAATCGCAATTCCAAATCAATTCAATACTCGTTATCGTTTCAATTGATTTTTTCTTCTCAATGTAAACTTAATTGTTTCGCAGATTATCAATGAAAACACAAAAAAATGAATTAATGGACTATAAGGATTCAAATCAGGTTAATTACAAAAAGACAATAAACTTAACCATTCAATAATTAACTATTAATCAAAGATTCTCATCTAAATCAATAAGAAACTATTATTATAATTATTGATAGAAACGCTCATTAACTTCAATCCATCCCTTTCACTAGCCGATAAAAATGCTCAACTTTTCACAGCTCAATCAAGTTAACTCTCCGGTCGACCATTAAAAATTCAAATCAAAAATCTAATCAATGAAAAAAAAAGCTAAACAATTAAAAACTGATCAAAATCAAACAATCAAAATCAATTCGGTGGAGAAATTGACATCAGCAGCATCTAGTGAATTCCAAGGTAACCAAAAGAATCGGCGTTTCTATCAGCACATGCGCTCAGCTAAGCCGCATGAGTCTTTGAGATCCACACATTTTATGTTGATTTGATTTCTCAGTGGACAATTAATTTAATCAGTTTTAATTAGTCTGTTTAATTTGTGTTCTAGATTAAATAGATTAACTTGCGGCCAGTCGATCATCATGGTTTGAGTTGTCCAAGTTATCAGTAAGAATCAATTTCTATTCAATTATCTTATTTTTGTTCTCTTCTCTTTTTTTTCCTTCCTTCCTTTCATTTTTCTCTTGCGGCTCTTCACTTTATCTCTCTTTTTCTATTTTTTTGTCACCATTTTTGTTTCTTATGAAAATCTTTGTCTCTTTTTTTTCTTACTATCTTTTAGGTATTTTCTCCTGCTTATCAACGTTGATTGATTTGGGTATTGAAAGTTTTCTTGTGTTTGGAACCTGTTGCTCTTCCCGGATACTTTTTTTGCCTCAGCGGATTTTGTGTGTTCTCTTTTTCTCTCCAACATCAGCTTAGCAGCATTTTTGTGATAAAACAAACCTTGCATCTCTTATTTTTTACATTTTGCTTTCTCTCTTTGTCTCTATCTTGTTGCTTTTCTCCTTGGCAACTTGTTACTTTGTGATTATTTGTTTCTTTGAATATTGACTCATATATATCCATATATATATTTACACAAACAAGCAAATTCACAAATAAGATCATTTTTGATTTTATTGTTTTCCACATTTATATTTAACTCTCACATAAAAGAAGATGACGGACGCGGGCTTCTTTCGTGGTACTTCAGCTGAGCAGGACAACCGGTTCTCCGATAAGCAGAAGAAATTGTTAAAGCAACTTAAATTCTCTGAAAATCTTAATCAAAAGGTTGATCTTAGTAAAGTTAATTTGGATGCCTTAAAGCCATGGATTTCAAAGCGTTTGGAGGAAATTTTAAATATGGATGATGATGTAGTGGTTGATTTTGTAATTAACCAACTAACCGAAAACAATTGTCCCGATGGAAGGATTTTACAAATTAACTTAACCGGTTTTTTGAATGGAAAAATGGCGCGTGAGTTTATGGGTGAACTTTGGGATCATCTATTGGAAGCTCAAGCATCGCCCGATGGTATTCCTCCTAAATTAGCTGTCGCAAAAAAATTAGAATCCAACAAGAAATCAACCTCACCCAGTAAAGTTGAGGAAATTATTAAAAAAATAGCACCACCAGTTGCCGATAATAGCCCAGCTAGTCATCGATCTGGTCCAACTAAATCAAGATCACCTTCACCATCGACAAATAAATCATCTAAAAGTCCAAGAAAGGATGATATTGAACCAAATGAGTCAGTTACGCAAAGTAAGCGACAGTATAGAACTCGGGAAGATGGAGAAAAAAATGGTTCTCCCGATGTGTCTGAGAAAATTCGAGAGACACGTAAACGTGGAACTTCATCTGATAGTAATTATTCCGATAAATCCCGACGCTCAGGATCCAAGTCACCGTCACGATCAAGGTCCCGATCAAAGTCTAAATCAAGATCCAAGTCAGGTTCTCGATCAGGTGTACAAAGTAAGAGTCGCTCTAGGTCAGGTTCTCGATCAGCTTCTAGGACACCTGCTAGACGTCGGAGGTCACCAAGTCCTAGAAGACGTCGTCATAGTCGGTCAGTGTCACCACGTAGAAGAAGAAGTCGCTCATTCTCTCCTAGAAGAAGACGTAGTCCAAGGCGATTTAGATCACCACCGAGACGACCTTTTTACCGTAGATCACCGAGAGGGCGTTTCTCACCTCGTCGCTGGTCACCTAGACGAAAATATCGTTCACCATCTCCCAGATCTCGTCGATCTCGTTCCAGAGGTAGAAGATCAATTTCTCCTCGTCGACGATCACCTTCACCTTACCGACGCAGATCACCAAGCCCTCGCTCTAGACGACGATCTCCTTCGCCAAGAAGATCACCACCTTCTAGACAAAGAAGACCATCTCCCTCACCTCGAAATCGACGTCGGTCACCTTCACATACCCATTCAAGATCATCTCGATCACATTCTCGTTCTCCCGTTAAATCGAGATCAACTTCGCCATCAGGGAAACAGCGCTCTAAATCCCCTGTTAAGCTTAACTCATCTTCGCCTAAAAGCCGATCAATTAGCCCAACAGATAATCGACAAACATCCTCTGCGCGTAAACCAAGTAATTTTGAACCACCTGTTAAAGATAATATCGATCAACAATCAGGAAATTCTGGAAGGTAAAGTTTATTAACTACTAAAAAATATCCCATTTCCCTCAATAATCAATTTTCTTCTTTATATTTTATTCATTCTAGATCGAGAAGATCGGTCACCCCAGAACCCAAAAACGATCGCGACAAAGGTGCTACTGCCTCAAAATCTAAACTCCAATCACCGAGTGTAAACCTGCCTTATCATGCCACAAGTGGAGGTGACACTAATAGTGAGCATGATGATTCAAGTCCAAAGAAACTGGCTAAGCGGAGATCATCTAGTGAATCTCCTACACCATCAATCCGTAAAAAGCGAAAAAATAGCTCGAGTGAAGATGATTCAACACCTCCGCGAAAACGAAAAGATAGATCAGTTTCGGTGGAACGAGAGAAAAAGAAGAAGAAAAAGAAACGTAAAGTTAGCAGTAGTGATAATAGTGATGCCTCTGATTATGACAAGAAAAAGAAAAAGAAACACAAGAAACACCATAAAAAACACAAGAAACACAAGAAACATAAACGAAGTTCCCGAAAGAAAGCCTCATCATCTGACTCTGAAGACGAAGAAATTAGCAGTAAATTGAAAACTGGAGAGATGGAGAAAAAATTGAGAGAGAAAGCTCTTAAATCAATGAAAGAAAAGGATGGAAAATAGACAATTAAAAGAACAAATTATCAATTGAATTAATTAAAAAGCAAAACTGGATCTGGAATCTTGGAACTGCATAAATTTTTCAAAAGGATCAACTATTCAACAACAACCCAATCAACAAAGATTAATAATCATGTGAAAATTACAGACCCAAAAAGAGAAACTACAAAATCATGAAGCAAAAAAAAAGTTGGCTAATTCAGTAGTTGATTGTACGATTAACTAACTTTCTACAATTGTTAACAATTAACTATGGTTAACTATCCATCAGCATCAATATCATCATCATAATCACAATTTTTCATCTCTTCCTCTTGTTTTTTTTTCAACAAAAAGATTCTGCAACTTTCGGAAGCTGATAAACCACCACAATAAATCCCAATGGAGACTTAAAACAAATGCCAGAGAAAATGAGCAAAATTCTGAAGAAAGGAGAGTAACACCAAAACATTCAACAGGCATGATAACCATGTTAACACCTCTGAGTGTATATCTGAACTTTTAAATTGTAAGTTCAGTAAAACTGGTTAAATTTAATTTCTGATTTTTCATCAATACATTTAACATATGAGCTTTTCAAGCTTAATCGTTTTTTGTCAACAAAAACTAATCATTTAATTAATGTAATTTGCATAGACCAAAACTCTTCTTGTCTCCCTTTCCCCTCTCTCCTTATCTCCACTTTTTAGTGCGACTTAATCCTAATCTCTTCTTCTCCCACTTAATCTCTCCCTCTCTAACTCTCTATGAATTATCAGATCTCTCCCTCTCTCTCTCTCTCTCTCTCTCTCTCTCTCTCTCACTTTTCTCCTATTCTCTATTGTAATAACATTATTATTCAACCAAGCATTAAATTTTAAGTCTTCAGACTCCTAATTAAATCACAATTCAATTTCCTTCTCACAACAATCAATAAAGAAAAGAAAACTAGATAAAAATGAAAGAAATTCTATTTACCATCATTTTCTCCTTCCTGTCCCCTCTTTCTCTCTTCATATTTTCTCCTTCGATTGATTGATGACAGAAAAAAAGACAAACCAATTTATGGAAAGAATAAAAATTCTAAATCAAGTAAACACGCGATTAAATATTGACCTTTTTCGATGATAACTTTTAATCGATAAAAAGGAAAATCGAAACTCGAACACGCAGGTAACATCGTTATTCTTTCATTCGTCATTTTTATCATCATTCTCATCTTATCATTTTCTCTGCGCATCTTTTATAATCCTAATCATCTTCATCTTCATCAACAACAACATTCAATTAGGTTTCTTTCTCATTCTTTCATCATTTTCTCCCTCAGAATCATCCGAAGATAATCCTGTCATAATCTTCTCTTTCTTATTCTCTTTCGATTTTTCTTCTCTTCCAATTTTGGAATAAAATTCCTTGACATTGATACCATTTTCTTAATATTTTTCTCTTCCTTCCCTTAGACTATTATTATTTATTTCTCTCTCTTTTACATTATTAGATCTTCTTTTTAATCTTCCTCATCATCTTCATCCTAATCATGATCAATTTAATTTCTTGTCTTCCTTTTCCTTTTCATCTTTTAAATGTCAATCAATTTACTTTATTTTCGTCATAATATTTACTATGTTTACTTTTGCTGTTAATCATCTTCTTCTCATTGACAATTAATTTTAGACTTTCCATTGATCAGGTAAGAATTAACTCTCATTAAATTAACTATTGACAAGATTAACGAAGATTAAGTAACCTTATCTTCCTTCATCTTCCATCTTCTTTCATCTGATTTCGATTTTTCCATGTTACTGTTAATCAAACAAAGTGAAGAAAAAAAGGATTTTCTGTTTACTTTGTGTTCTCTTTTTTTCTGTGACAATTTACGACAGAATTAATTGTTTACCTGTATTCTAATTGTTTAGCATGTTAATTGGATGAGAAAGACAATTAATCAAGAAGAATATTCTTCTAATATTGAAAACATTATTTTCTTTTCTTTTATTTTTCTATATTTTGGTGGATTAAACTTGCGATTAAATTGGATTTGAATTCTAAATTTGGGTTAAATTTGTTTCTCGATTTACATCATTAGACGATCTTCACGTGTATTTGGTTAATCTGAATCAACAATCAATCGGTGAGAATGATTTAGGTTAATAGAATTGATTAAATTCTAGTTGATCTTTACAAGAGACTCTTTTACTTGGACTACTTTTATTCAATCTCTATTTTCATGTTCCTCTTTTCACCAAATTGATTCCAAAGTGATTCTCTGATTCTGATGAACAAGCCAATTATTGTTCTATTGTGATTAAATCTGTTTAATCTCTTAACTGTTGAATAGAAAAAGACCAAAACCTTGACCAAGTCGAAGAAATTAAGATAAAAAGAAAGAGATAAAGTGAAGAGACCAAGAGAAAATTCTAGATAAAAAGGATATTCTTTTGTTCATCTATTGAGTCAATTATTATTCTTTTCGTGATTTGTGTTCCATTTTTCCCTGATCTCTTCTTCTCTCAACATGGAATCAGTTGACCATCATCACCATCATCATCACCGGATGACCAACAACTCGACCACTGTTGCTCCGGAAGGTCAATCATCATCTTCTCTATCAATGTTATCCTCTTCCAAAAGTGCGACACTTATCACTTGTTCCTCCTCATTCACCTCGGAATCAAGTTTAACCATGAGCACGGAGAATCTTCGAGCCTCCCCTGACCTTGGCTCATCGGCGGCAACACTTTCCACCGGCGGTGATTGTCCCAGTGGCTCTGTTGGTTATTCGAAAGGTCTTTCATCTTGCAATCGAAACTCTCGAACTCCATCAGCCGGTAGTTTATTACTCTCAGTTCCAAATGAAAGATATGGTTTACGTCGATTCTCAATGCAATCTGGTCAACGATTTTCTCTCTCACCTACTGACACCTTATTCGAGGAGCAATCAGAACTCATTCTTAACTGTGGTGCTCTTTCATCTGCTGTTCTTGGACGAATCAAAAGCTTTTCCACTTCCGATATAACCATGACCTCCAATGAATTTGATAGCCTTCATGATCCAACCTTTTCTTCATCAGCTTCTTCTCATCTTCATCCATCATCATCATCATCAGGGAATCGAATGAAAAATTCACTATCAGAAATTGTCCTTTTCGGTGCCCATGGTTGGGATCCAAGACTTGCCCTTCCCAATAATATACGATCTCTTGATGCAACCTCAAGATCTTGTTCGACTTGGGTCATTGTCGGTGACCGAAGTATCTCCTCCGTCTCTCAACTTCCCTCCCCGTCACAAGCTCATTCGGTTTCAGGTACATTGTCACCAACTCTTCATCCATTGGACATTGTTTTCAGTATGAACAAAAAGGTCCGACAAATGTACATCCGTCAACGACTTTTATCAACCTATCGAACCCTCGAACGTCTCTCTCGAAGTCACCTCGATCTGGGCAACATAATCAAAGGTGATCTGGTAAATAAACTGACAAATATTCACGGATTAACAACAAAAACAACAATGGATTCCAATGGAGTGGATGAAAGAGCAATTGAAGGTGGTGAAAATGGCGGAGGTGATAACATAAAGGGACCATCGATAGTTAATAGTTTTAATAAACTAAATAACAAATCAATTGATACATCATCGCCCTCATCATCATCTGTGATTACCCATAATGAATCAACCGAGACGAAGGAACCATTTTCAAACCAATCATTTAATTTATCTAATCCAGTTACCCGATCAACAACTACAACATTTGAAGCTCAATCCAATCAATTTAACAATGATCCTAATTGTTTATCAAATCTTGATGATGACCCAATCAAGATGGTAGATTGTAATTCAATTAACTTGGATGATACTGACATAAACAATAACAACAATTGCACTAATTATAAAACTGATTGTTCATCATCAATCCTTAAATTGCAAGATCGCTTGGCTTCAACATCATTAGATTTAATTCAATTACAAAATGATTTACTCTCACTATCAGTTCGTGACATTGAGCTTCAAAAGGGCAAACCCTTGACCAAATATGAAAGGAACATGATGATCTTTGATTGGCTTCAAAATCTTGACCAAGAAGAACCCAATTAACTAATTATCTGAACGGTTAATCTTTTCCTAATTGCTCTCAATGATTAACAAAATCTTCCATGATTAACTTTGTCTCTTTAATCTCACCAATTCTTATAATTTTCCTTTAATTGTTGACGAGAAAAACAATTTAAATATTGTTCATGTTTCTCATTTCATTTCATCTTGTTACCACCGAGTAACAATTAACTAATTGTTTGCTTTCATTTTCGTGTTCAAATTAATCCAAATAATTTAAAAATATCTAATCAATATTTAATTATTTCTTGACAATTTAACAAAACTCATTTTAAAGATTGAAACAAATTAATCTTTTATTTGGAAAAACAAATTTTAAATAAATTAAAATCTCAATAATTTAAATGTTAATCAATCTATTTGCAATCACTATTAATTTATTTTGAGAATTGATTTTTAACAATTAACTTAAATTGTCGAGGGAAGAAATTTTCATTTTTAATTGATTTACTTTTAATTTCAATCATTTAATTGTTTCAATTTGTCACTTGTACGAGTGAAATTAATGATTAATGTTGATGACAATTAGTCTCGGAAATTAATATCATTATTGCAATTAAACAATATTATCATTCAACATAATCATCAAGTTAATTACAATTAATTTAATATCACAATTAAGCTGTTGACTCTTTCTCTTGGTTATTATTGATTAGTTATAAATTTCAATGTCAATCTTAATCATTTGATTCATTTGATTGCACATACAGTATAATTGATTAGACGTATTTGTTAATTGTACAATCAGTTAACGAGTTTTCATCATAGTGGTTAATATATTTATATATAAATTGTAACAATCATTTAGTAATTAAATTGATTAGATTGATAAATAATCAATTTCAATTGAAAACACAAACAAAACAAAAACAAATTTTTCAGGAGTGAAAACAAAAAATTAACTCCCGAGAGTTAATTCAATTGTAGTTGTATTGAGATTGAGTGAGTTAATTGTCGAAGTGATTAATTTACAATTGAATGATTGTAATGATGATTTTGCAGAGGTAAATTTAGTTTAGACAAATAGTAATCAATTAAATCAATAAATTGCCCCGAGGAATGAGTGAAGAGAGAAATGAAGAGAAATGTTAACAAGCAGAATAACCTTTTCAACTTGTATACAAAAAAAGGACAACAATTAACAATAATTTATCGATAATTAACTGAGGGAATGTTTTCGTTAATTCTTAATTTTGGTCGTGATTGATTGTGCTAATTAAATCAGAGCATATCGATGTCATCTTGTAGGAATTTGAAAGACGTGTTCGGCCTCCACTCGACATGAGCTCGTTTCGTATTGGGAATTGTGGCTAAAGAAAGATGGAGAATCAAGAATCAAGAATAAGATAATAAAAAGAACATTCAAAATTCATAACAATCAAAATGACAATTAACTAATTTTGTTCATTCGAGGAGAGGATCGAGTAAATTATTGAAAAGAAAACCGATTCATTTGAAAGCCAAGTTTTTAATTGTTGAGAGAGAGAGAGAGTTGATAACGAGATTTATTTGGATAAATTAATTGTTTGTTATTTATTGTTAATTAATTTTGTTTCAATTGTTTAATTAGTTAATTTATTAATATTAATTTGTTTTTCTATCTCTTTTAATTTGTTAATTATGTTGTTAATCATTTAAGGGAGATGATGTTAATTTGATTTAAGGGCAAAAGATTCAAGGTAAAATCAATTGGATTAAATTGATTGTTGGAGTTAATTAAGAGATTAATTTAGTTAGTGCAACTTTAAAGATTTGATTTAATAATAATAATAGCAATTAGCCTATTATCATTATTATTATTCAAATCAGCAATTAATTTATATTGTCAGTGTGTTGAGATCATGATTAATGAATTCAATGTTGATTCATTTTGTAAGTAATTAGTATAATTAAGTGTTCGTTAGTATCTTTTTTTTTGATCTAGATTAATGAGTTGATTAATTTAACTATTGTTAATTGTTGTGTTATAATTAGTGAGCAAAACTCCCACTAAGAAAAACTGAGCAATTGATTGTGATTTAAAAGAGATGAGCAATTAAGGTAAGGTGATGTTTCAGTTTTGTTTTTCTTCTCAGATTGTTGATTGTCAGGGTGGACAATCAGATTAATTAACTAATTCTAAATAATAATAGTTAATATCCAGATAGAATCTCATTATTAAGTCGAGGCTTTCATCTTATTGTAAAAAATAATCATTAAAAGAATTGACTAAAAATGATCTATTACATCCAATGGATGAAAATGTTTGCGAAAATGCCAATTCTACTAATTAATTAATCGATTGGAATCAATTAATTAAGGGGATGTCGTGCAAGGTGGGAACCTTCCTCTGCGATAAGCTCATAATAAGTCTCATGATTAATACCTTTCCCTCTAAAGTTTTCATCTTCCTCATCAGCTGATGGTTTTTTATGAGCGGTCACTTTGCGCTCCATGGTGGGGATTAGGAATAAAAGTGCTGAGGCCATGACCGCGTGCCAGAAGCTATGGACAATAGCGTAGTTATCTTTAGTCTCGAATAGCGAGTAAATGGCCAGACCTGAAGTGGTCATTACGAATCCTGGAACCATACTTAAAGTCCAAAGTTGACATGACGGGAAACAGTTTCGCTTGATGCAGCAAAAAAAGCACTACAAAAAAAAGGCCAAGAGTAGAAATCGAAGTAAAAAAAATCGATAATTGTTCAGTTAAATTCTAGAAAGTTAGTTGATAAAGCTTAATGGAACTCGTAATATATGATAATAAGAAAGAATAATTTTCTTTACCCAAGTTAAAATAACGATAATGAAACCCGCCGATACTGGAATTACAAATGTCCATAAAGAGGTTCGATCATATTGAACTCCAATCGCCAAGAATACGGAACCAATAAGGTGGAAAAACGATCTCGCTTTTATCGGTAAATTGGAAAGTGATATAAGTGTTACCCAAAAGGCCAAAAGTGCTGAATAAAAATCAACATATTGAAGGATATTGAGCTTCACCAAGCAAAAGGCTTGAAGAGAATCAGAATCACAAGCGTGATACAACTGTAATTAAAGAAAAGAGTAGATGATTGTTAGACTAATTAGTAAAGATCGACCATTGATTAGGGTAAATTACTCACAATAGATGAGCTCATGGCAATCAGATAGATTATTGCTTCGGTAAAAAGGTGTCGATATATTGCTAATATAAGAGCTGGAACGAAAACTAAATTGCTTAATGTTAATAGTAGAAAGTTAATTAGTATTTCTCTCTCATCTAAAGCATCAGATCCATCTTTACAATCTAATCCTTTCCACCCTGAAAAAGAAAATAAATTCAATTAGATTTCATGACTGGTTCAAGTTAATTGTTCGTTAATTATCTTACCTGAATTACATATACATGTTGAGAAAATGAGTCCACCGCTGATGAATTGATTACATTTACCATGAGGGGCACATTGATCTTCAAAACATGAAATTGATTTGATGTTCATTATGATTGAGGTAACATTTGATTTGCAAGGGTCAGTTTTAAATGACCAACCATCGTATTTATAACAATCGGCTTTCAATGAGATGAACCAAAGTCCAGCTCGAGGATAAGGAATATTTAATGTTATTAATGGATTGTGACTAGAATTTACTTTCATTGGATATTGACAGGTTTCCAAGCTTATTGAATAATGACCTTGCCTCAGGCAACCGGAAAGGGTTACATTTTGATCGGACATATTGACCGTTAATGGATTTAAACCTAAATCAATAGTTAATGTACCTCCTGAATCAAGTATTGGGTTAATTTGAAAATGAAGGACGGATAATTCAGTTAAATTGTAAGTCCGTTGAGAATCAGCGACCAGAGATTTAGGTAACAATAGATTGTTTCGTTTTTCATCAATAATTGTCTCTTTCGACATTAAGTTATCATTAAGTGATAATGATTCAGAGGAAGATGATGATGATGATGATGATGGATTATCATTTTCCGCTGGTACTTTCATAGCATTCGGTATATCAACAAAAGGTGAATATGTCAAATGACCTGATCTTGTTTTAAAAGCATCAACATAATCAAATTGAAAGTTAAATGACCCATGAAGATTGTAACGGATCAGATTAATTCGGAATGGACATGAAACTGTTTCCGTTGTTTTTGCTAATCGCCTGTGGTGCCAACGATTGTTAGTCGATGATGGGTGAGATGTAGATTCATGATTAATCGTGTTTTTATTATTGGTAAAGGCAAATAATTGTTTGTCTTTACCAGCAATGGTCCCACCAGGTAATGATTTAGGAGGTGGTGGTGGTGGTGGTGAGGAGGAGGAAGATGGAGATGATAATGGAGTGGAAAGTTCAGAGAATTCGTTTATGGCGGAAAGAGGATCTGATGTTACACTTGGTGGTGGGAATAATGATGGAGATGAAAATTCTGAAGATGGTGAGGAAGATGAAGAGGGAACTGAAATAGATGAGGAAGATGATGATGAGATTGTAGAGTCCATGGATGCCGATAGATCAGCTGATAATAGAGCGGCAAATTGTGACTTTAAAGGAGATGGTGATGGCGGTGGCGATGAAGTTTGAATATTATTAGGACATTGCTCTGTTATTATCGATATGGAAAAATCAACTGGAATATTATCATTTCGACTTGGCTTTCTCACTAGGAGAATATAATTCCAAGCCTCTTGGGTATAATTAAAACCATTCGCTGTACAATCATCACCTAAATTAGCTGAACAATCAATATGATAATCATATAAACGATCTGACGGTAATCCTAAGGTTCGAGTGTATATTTTAATGGGACAACCTTCACCTGATCGTCTTCTTATTCCGCCATTTCCATTGGCTGAATTAGCACCAACACCAGAGGTTCCAAGACCGGCACCACTTCCCGCTCCACTTATTAAATCTTCATCATCAGTCTCATCACGATCTATTTTAGATGATGATGAAGATGAAATTAGGGCTGAAGCAGAGGGCGAGGATGATGTTCGTGAGCAACCCGAGATAATTAATTTGGCACCATTGGTAAACAGGGGAATATGAAATTTAAAAAGTTTCTTATCCTGTAACCGGTGAATTATTGTTGAATCTGAGGTAATCTGTTGAATCTGTTCATCATTATTTAGTTTAACCAAAGATAATCGAGTGGAAAGGGAAACCTTACATTTATGCTGTAAACCCCGTTGAACAATACGATTGGAAGAGTGTTTCAAGTAGCCAGTACCAAACCAGTGACCAGTTAAAGGTCGACTTAAGGTGAAAGAGGTGGTTCGAGTTTCACTCGTTTTAAATGATAGATGATATTGTTCAGTGTTATCGATAACAATTTCTTTTGAAGCTGAAACATTATGAAGAGAGGGTATTAAAGGGTATCCCTGCCAACGAAGCAACAGAATGACTTCTTTTGGATCACAGTTTAGTGTTGAATTGGACCAAATTGTCCATCGAGCGGAAACAATTTCCTCAGGGATTTCGTAATGAAACATTGTTACATCTCGATAAGAGTGCAAGGGAAATATTGGCCTAGAAGCATAGTATTGATCGTTTGCTGGAAGAAAGAGAAAGAGGGAGAGATGATTAATTCCATGGATTCTGAGACTAAGTAACTGAGTTAAGAAAATCATCTTGAAGCAATTTGACTTTGCGCATTAATACAATTTAATTGAATTGAATTTAGTGCGCAAGGAAAATCAAGTCATCGCCCTTGATGTTTTCATATATTTACCTTGAAAGAAGCAAATAAAACTGGTAAATATTGTAACTGTAAACAGGAAATTTTGATCACTTGGAGGAATCATTTTCATCAATTAAGGAACAAGGGTGATGGTTAAATGAAATAATTAAGAATCACAAATCAATGGAGAGAGAAATCAATTAATTGAGAGGAAAATGTTCACCATCATGTTGTTGTTGTCTATTAACAAAGGGCGAGGCTTTTGGTTGAATGTTAATAAAAAGGTTGAGAATCATTTTCCTGGTTGATTGTTGATACGATCTTTTTTATCCTCGTCTTTTCATGGACAATTGTTGATGGTGGAATGATGAACAATTTAGTAGATTCTCCATTGATTAGAATAAATTATATGTACACAAGAAAAGAAATTGAAAGAGAGATAGAAAAGAAGAGAAATTGAAAGAAACATAAACAGAGGAAAAAAGAAAGATACAAATTGATGAAAAAGTGGCGATGATGATGATAAGAGATTCAGATTAATAACATTGTTTGAGATCTTTGTAAGAATAGAGAGAGAAAGAGAAAGAGAAAGAAGATGGAAGATGAAAGAGGAAAATAATAGAAAGAGAGAGAGAGAGAGAGAGAAATAAAGACAGGGAGTGAAAATCGAAGGAAGAAGATGAGGATTGGGAAAGAAAGAGAATTTGGTTGAGTGGAGAGAGAAAATGTGAGCATGAATTCTAAGTGAATTTCTGGTTAAATGGAAAAGAAAGAGAAGATTGGAAATGATTTCTTTCTCTTTTTTTTCCTCTTTCGAATTTCTAACAATTGAATTAATCTTCACATTTATTAGATTATCGAGCGAATTTCAAAGATAACATTTCCCTCCAAATTTCGAAATCAAAAGTTTCGAGAGATATTTTATTCCATTTTCGAATTCATTTCAAATCAATTTTTGTATTTTCTTTGCTATCGATCAAGTTATCGATCTTCATAAAATTCGCTAATGGATTAAATTGCATTCGAAACAAAACTTCCAGGACAAACTCCGACCTAATCTTTCCATGTGGACAATATTTAGATCTATTGTGGAATTCGCAAAACCTTCGAGTTCCAATATATTTTGATGAATAACTAATTAGTTAATAGTAATCACAATGTTTACGATTTCAATCAGCGAATTCTGAATTCGAATCAGGATTTTTTCATTCATCAATCCACTGAAAACAATGAACACGAAACAAACTGACAAAAACTCAATGGACATAAAAACCAAACGAAAACAATCCAAAAAAACTTTCGAAAACTCAATTGATTATCTTGAAACTCGTCCATTTCTTTTCCACAAATCAAATCAAATCTAAAAAGTTTTTCGAACAATTAATTTCTCCATTTCAAATTGGCGCCTTTCGATTTACAAACGGAGCCCTGGGGGCGAATCTTATCCTCAAACTGATTCCCGCTCATTGAGATTTTGTGAATGAAAAGATCAATTGTCTCTTCGCTTGTGTTTAGTTTCTTAATCATTTTTAATTGCTTGTCTTCTTAATTGTTATTAGTTAAATTTTCTTAATAGAGTTTGTCTCAAGTTCAATTAAAATATGAACTCAATAAATTATGTCAAGTGTGATAAAAGATACGAATCTCTTTCTACTATGACCCAAAGACTTGAAGAGAAGCTTAAACTGTAAGTACAATTTTAGAATTTCTTTTTTTTCTATTAATTTCTATTCTAATTGAGTTTTTAATTTTCTTTTTCTTTATATCTTTTACATAGGATTGTGGGTAGAAAATTTTTCGAGGATGATAACTATGTTCATATTGATTACCATTCATATTTATTCAAATGTAAGCCAAGTTTGATGAGTGGAAAATTTTAAATGATTTTCTATAAGATTTTCTTTTTACTCTCTGGTAATTTAATCTATTTTTACTTCATCATTTAAAACCGGTAATTTCCAAAAGATTGTATGAATAAATTTTATATACACGTTCATGTAATATAATCCCATTGTTATGGTGTTTTTATTCAAGAAATTGAATCGTGAATTTTATTCCAGTGGTTAAACAATCTCCACAATTATTGAGCAGACACTTTTCAGTTCTAACACCTAATTATTGATAACATAAAAGTCTTACAAACATGATGGTGACCGTTGAAAGAAAATCTCTTTCTCTTCTTTATGGTAAACCAAACGATTACAACCTGGACATTGGAGAGTTTCCCGAGAGAGAGAAAAAAAGTTCTGGTTTAATTGAGCCAATGAGAGAATGGAGGTGAAAATTTAAATCAAAACACTTCATGGAAAAAGAAGAAAAGGAAAATTGTTGATCATCTTATTAACCAGTTGAAGTGAATTAACCAATCGGTGCATCATCGTATATAAGCTCTTCGAAATTTTTCTCTTTCATGGATCCAATTGAATGTCGGGACATTTTTCTTGCATGTCGACCAGAACTCTAATTAATTGGAAAACATTGGAAGAAGAAAAGTTAATCAGCCAAGATTTGGATAAAAATCGATAGAAAATCGAGAGATAATTACTTGATAATTTCTTGAATCTTCTAAATCAGAAATGTTCCTTTCATATCCTCCTGATGATGATTGTGAATTTGATCCAGCTGATCGTATGGTGACATGTCCAGTTGGTGGACCGATAGTTGCATAAGTTGCCGTTGATCGAGTTGTACCACATTTATCACTATATTTTGGAGTATTCTTTGTCATTGTTGATAAATTGGAAAGTCGTCTTATAGCTGAACAATTAAGAAGATGAAACAATCAAACAAACAGAAAAAAAATCAAAGTCTTCAGTCAAAATTTTCTCTTCATCACTTACCCTCTTGTTGACTTTTCTTATATTTCTTTACATAGATAACGGAAGCAATGATGGATATTATAACGGCCAATAAACAAATTGAGAAAACAATTAACAACACTAAATTACGCTGAGAGAATAGGAATGATAAACCTGAGAAGAGAAAAACAAAATACAACAATTAATTGTAAGGAAATTTGGACAATTTAAATTATTTTAAATTCTCACCAAATGGACTTGATGAAATTCGAATCTCTAATGGTTTACTTAATTCACTTTCTCCGTATAAATTGGTCGCTGAAATTGCGATTACATAGTCCACATTTTTCTCTAACCCATGTAGAGTATAAATTGTCCGAAAATGACTTATTGGAATTATATTGTCATAATAAGAGTTTCCCTTTCGTTTAAGATAAATTGTATAAATTGATATTTCATCAATCAATGGATCCCAAGTTAATTTAATTGAATTTGAGTAAATATGATGAGATTTAATTCGTGGTAAACTTGGAGCATCACCTTCAAGAGTCGAAACAATTAACTCCTGAGATGAAGGTCCTTGACCAATGGTATTAAAAACTTTCACCGAGATCGTATAATAGGTTGACCTTAGTAGACCCGTTAAACTAAATTGGTAACCATTTCCTAAATCATTGGGATAATTAGCTGATACCGTTTTGATATAATCTTGATTATTTCCTGATGGTTTATAGTGAATATAATAACCGGTTAAATTACCATTCCAATGTTGCCGTGGAGGAGCCTGAATCAATTATATAAAACAAAGTAATCAACAGTTAATTGTGAAGGATATTTGATTTAATCACTGCAATAATTACCTTCCACGAGACTTGGATTACACTTGATCCCAAAGGTTTTACACTGACATCAACTGGAGAAGCACTTGGAACTACATTAGTAAGGAAAACGAATGAATAATTGTTATTATTATTTTTCTTTTCTCTTCTAATTAAATTTCCATTGATTGAAACTTACGTTCTTCACTTGTGGTGAATTTATGGAATTCGAGGGTTGACCTGAGCCGATACTATTTACCGCCATCACGGAAACATAATACAATGTACCTGGACTTAAATCTTTGAGTGTATGTGACGTTTTTCCAGGATCTAATTGTATCTCATTTAATTTATTATTAATTCCTGAACCTTTTTCCCCTTTCCAATAGAGTAAAGTGTAAAAGGTTAATGGTGAATTACCAGAATAAGGTTGTGACCACATGATTGTTGCACTTCTTGACCATGATTCGGCTACCCTTAAATTGGATGGTGATTCAGGTGCTTCTTGAATTAACAATTTAATGTTAATCTCATCGGAACCATGATCGTTTTTGGCAGTACAAGTGTAAACACCTCCATCTGACCGACTAGTGATACGAATTAATATCTCGGAGTTTAATCCTTTACCAGTTTTCGTCTCATAGTAATCATATTTACTATTGTATTTTAAATTTAACGGTTGTTTATCTCGTAACCATTGAACTGTTAATGGTTGATCACCGATCGCTGGACATTGGAGATTAGCACTGGTTCCTTTCATCACTTCTTGGGTCAAGAATTTACTGTTATTACCGATAAAGCGAGCAGGCACTGGAAGGAAAAGAAAATTAGTTAATATTGAATAAGAGGAAACAATTTACATTCTAATCATTGGATTAGATAATTAATCATGTACTCACAGAAACATGCGAAAAAAATGAGATGCAAACAATTAACGAGAGAGATTCAAATAGAAACCAAATAATAAACCGAAATAAAAAAAGTTACATCAATCTTATTGAAGAAAATGAAATTAAAGCATTTTGATTACTGTGGATATGAGAAGTTAATCGTTAAGGGAACAAATCATACCGATTAAATTGAGCTTAATTGTTTTCTTTAATGGGTCACCAATCTTATTATCAGCTGAGCATTGAAGGTAAGCTGATTTGTCTTTAAAATTTAATTTTTCACTATCAATGAGCAGAGATCCATTGGCTAAACTGGTCATTCCTTTCACCATTGAATTACTGTTAATTTGTGCGAAATTATTTTCATCTGAATTAATGGGAAAAGAGTAAAAATTAATTCATGTTACAGTTAATTGTATCATTCATCTTACCTTGAGATGACTCACTGATTAACCAGGTAATTGTTGGCATTGGATTACCAGTTGCCATACAATCAAGTATTTTAACCTCTCCTTGTTTCATCGAGAGGTCAAACAATTCAAGTATCCATTTGGGTGGAGTGTAGATGGTCAATGGAGCAGTAAATTTATCCGACCCGAAGGGAGTATTAACAATACAAGTGTAATTACCATAATCTTCTAGATTAACTGAATTAATTAACAAAACTGAAGCACCTTTAGCAGGTAATAGTTGATATCGTCTATCTCTTTGCGAGATAATTGCTAAATCAACACCATCTTTGAGCCATTTAAAGTCCGTTTGAGCCGTGATAGTGGACAGTACACAAGTGACCGAAACAGTTTCTCCAGCGATTGTGCTTTTTGGAAAACTGAATGGCTTAATTTTGGGATTCGATGCTCCTGTGGACAAATGTAATGACAATGATGGATTTGATTATTAGAGAAAAACGGATCAAATATAACACAATCAATCATTTCTATATAAACAGAGTTGCTTATGGAAAGAAAACATTTTATACAAAATGAGTTTTATATTTACCTTGAGAGAAGCAAATAAAACTGGTAAATATTGTAACTGTAAACAGGAAATTTTGATCACTTGGAGGAATCATTTTCATCAATTAAGGAACAAGGGTGATGGTTAAATGAAATAATTAAGAATCACAAATCAATGGAGAGAGAAATCAATTAATTGAGAGGAAAATGTTCACCATCATGTTGTTGTTGTCTATTAACAAAGGGCGAGGCTTTTGGTTGAATGTTGATAAAAAGGTTTAGAATAATTTTCTTGGTTGATTGTTGATACGATCTTTTTTATCCTCGTCTTTTCATGGACAATTGTTGATGGTGGAATGATGAACAATTTAGTAGATTCTCCATTGATTAGAATAAATTATATTTACATAGGGAAAGAGAGAAAGAAACAAACAGAGGGAAAAGTGGCAATGGAGAGATGATGATGATAAGAGATTCAGATTAATAACATTGAAACATTGAAAGAAGGTGGAAGATGAAAGAGGAAAATAATAGAAAGAAAAAGAGAGAGAGAGAAATAAAGACAGGGAGTGAAAATCGAAGGAAGAAGATGAGGATTGGGAAAGAAAGAGAATTTGGTTGAGTGGAGAGAGAAAATGTGAGCATGAATTCTAAGTGAATTTCTGGTTAAATGGAAAAGAAAGAGAAGATTGGAAATGATTTCTTTCTCTTTTTTTCCTCTTTCGAATTTCTAACAATTGAATTAATCTTCACATCTATTAGATTATCGAGCGAATTTCAAAGATAACATTTCCCTCCAAATTTCGAAATCAAAAGTTTCGAGAGATATTTTATTCAATCTTCGAATTCATTTCAAAATTACTAAATCAACAAATTCTTTTTATATCAGAATAAACTCCCAATCTAATTCTTCCTTTCAGTTATCGCTCGAGTCCTTGGATGGCTCATTTAGACTTCGAACTATGACCAATCGTCTTTTCATTTAAAATCATCTTCTTATGACCTTGAAACGTTAAAACGTAATTAGCATCTGAAAATATCTTTAAACCAAAAGAAAATTCTTCGAATATTAAATTAGATGTATAATCATTGATAACAATTAAGTTTCGATTATTTTTCTTCCATTCCAATTTGCCGCCTTTCGATTGAAGCGAAATCTGGTGACGAATCTCATCAAATTGGATAGAAATGATTCCCGCTGCTACTTGTTGATACTCAATTTCAATATCGATTGATTTTAAGTTATCGAGATAAATTACTGATAAAAATTATGATTTTTCTTGATTAATCTTAAGAATTGTTCGATCCATTCCTTGAAATCGATTGGAAATCTTCCATGTCAGATTTTCCTTCTTCAGAAATGATTCTAAGTGAGTTATCGATAAGAATCCAAAGAAAAAGTATCGATATCTTTGTTTCGGGAACAATTGTTCCCGCTCATTCAAAGAGCCTCATTGTGAAAGTGAACTTGTTTTATTTTGATCGTTTTATTTTCTTAATTGTTTTACTTTTTAATTGTTAAATTTTCTTAATAGAGTTTGTCTCATATTGAATGTAAATATGAATTCAGTAAATTATGTAAAGTGTGATAAAAGATACGAATCTCTTTCTACTATGACCCAAAGATTTGAAGAGAAGCTTAAACTGTAAGTAGAGTTTTCATATTTTCTTTTCTTCCATTTCTCAATATTTTCTGATTTTTATATTAATTGTGATTTGCATTTCTTTTAATATCTTCGTATTAGCTTCATTCAAGTTGACCCTATGGAAGAGATTGAAATTTTGGGTCAAAAATTACAATTTAATGAGTCAACTACACCCGAAGATGTGATACATTATTTTTCTCTGGTCAAGTAAGTTTAATAAATTTTATTTATTATTGTTCATTGTCTTCTCAGTGATAATAATCAACCCTTTTCTTTTGCTCTTTTTCATTATAGAAAAACTATTAGTATGTTTAGAGCTGGAATAACGGCCAAAAGATCAGCTTCTAATAGATCTCTTTGGTCAAGTTATAGGGAGCAAATTTTTAACTTTCTCAAGCTCATTGGAGGAAAAGTTGGTAACATAGATGAAAGATTAGAGCAAATTATCATCAAAGAAATCATCAATTTAACTACCTTCATGGGAAGATTATCTATGTTAGAGGATTTTGATCCAAATATTTACATCATTCAAAGCGAAAGTCAATCACCTTCTCATCAATACTTACACGTTTGTCTTGATATTTGGTTGATTTCTTTTCTCATCTTATGTGAATACAACAAACGAACCAGGGTGAAAATTGATCTCCTCAGTGATATAAATACATCAGATGATTTTAGAAGTAAATTTTTAGAATGTATTCTAGCAGATCTAATTTATGCTTCACTACAAAGATTTATATCAACCAAAGATTTACGAATGGTGCCAACTTTGGATCCTTACTTTTGTTCCTGTCATCGCGTTTTCTTTACAATAGTTAAGAGTCTAGTCCATTTGGATTCAGCCATTCTCAACCTTGATCCATTCTGGTTCCACTATAATTCCGTGATGGACACATTTTGCGAAGAAAACCGAAAAGAGAACCAAGAAAGAGACAGTCTTACCACTTATAAACGTGTTCCCAGTAACTTTACCTCAGCCGCTAATCTTAACATTGCCAACATTTGGCTTATGAGTAATCTAATGGAGCTAATCAACACATCGAAAGAGAAATCAACTGATCAAGATTTTTGTAACTCTATTGGTTTCACCCATTCGATTATTCCCATTTTACAAGAATACGAAGCTTCCGGTTTTACGCAGAGCGAATCTATGGAAATCTCTTTGCAATTATGTTACAATTCTGTTAAAAGATGTGGAGTTTGTGTTGATATACCTTCAGAGTTTATCAAATGTTATCTTAAGAGTTTAACCTCACCCAGTTTGTCGAAATCAGTTTTTTATTCTTTACCCAAGACGAGTAATCAATGGTCTCTTAAATTGAGAATCCTTTTCGAACGAGGCTCAGCATCAGACTGGGATGATAAAACTCTTGCACTTCTTGTTTTACTTTTGGAAAAGGTGATTTCTAAACTACAAATTAATGCCAATGATATTCAAAATCTACAAATGTGGAAGAAACTTAAAAGTGATATTTTCTCTGCTCTATCAAATTGCCCTGTTGATCAAATGAATGAGATTCAGTTACACAAAGTTTTTACAATCTTAATTGTTTGCTGCTATGCATCGGACCAATTTTATACCGATCTTATTGACAGATTCCGAGAAACGGCAAACTTAATCATTAACAGATCAATTTACTCAATAAGATGCAAATTAGTGATCCAATGGATAATTTGTTCAGCTCAAATGCTTCCCGATGATTCTGACATGAATAAAATGCTCTCAATTGCATTTGAAGTATTCGATAAACTGGCTGAAGTTTACTCTAAATTGGACAAGTCAAATCGTGTAGCTCGAGATTCGTGTAGTGAAATAATCTTACTCTACTTTGATGAGTTGATCTATCTGTCCGAAGTAAAAGTTGATACAATAGGAAATTGTCCCCTGATTCCTGCAACAATCTGTAAAGTTTTCGCACAATTAGCTGATCGAGATTTATTTGCTGTGGTTACATCAATTTCCAACATTGTTCGTCATGTTCGTAATTATATTCCCAAAGTGTTAACTTCGTCACCATATAAACACTCATACGGACCATTTATAGTAAATGTGTTAAAAGATTTCATGGGATTTGTTAAAAATCAATACGCGAAAGGAGCAATCGAAGCAATGAATTTATCTCAAGTGGCTGCGAATTTAACTTATCTAAGTTATATCAAAGATTCTGGCAAACTGAATTCATCTGAATTTCGTTATAATTTTTTCCAATTTACTTGTCACCCGAAAGTTGATCTCACCCAACGGGAAAAATTCTGTGATTACTTATTCCAAGATAACGATCCCCTAATAGTGAAAGAAATCAGTGATTTTCTACCTGAATTAATGGATCGTTATATTAAAAGTGATGAATCGGGACAGACTCGAATAAAAACTGTTCTCACTAAGATGATAATCTTCATAAGTATTAATAAGGATAATCATGTAGATGAATTATTCTTCCTAAACTGTTTGAAATGATTCAACGAGTTCTAAGTGTTGGTACTGTAACTAAATTACTTCGACTTTTGGAAACATTTACCAAACTATTGCCCGAAATGAAAGAGAAATTAATTCGTAAAGTGGCCCAACGAACTCATGAAATGGAAATCGAAGGAAACAAAGGAACCAATGAAATAAAAGAAGCTTTGAGAAAATTTTTCCACAATCAACAGAACAATTTATCTTCTAACAAATACAAAAGCTCAATGATTTAATTCAATTGATTACCAATGTGATCAATCAACCATTAGAAATCTCTGAATCATTTACGTCACAACAATTTTCATCTTTAAAAGATTGACATGAAATCCATTGTTAAGGTATTGATACATTTTCTTTTTTCTTATTTCATGAGATTATTGATGATCCATTTAATTGAAATGATGAATTCAATGATGAGTAGTGCCATGCTAATACCAAGTTCCCATCTCTTAATTGTTGCAATTTATTTCAATGGTTGGAGTGAAAACGGGGACAATGAGTTGAAATCTCTTCTCAATCCGATCTCTGAGACTTCATCTAATCAGTTAATCTATTAAATTGATTCATTTTTTTCGTATATAAAAATTTCTAATTTTTTTCTTTTCTATTCTCTCAAATTTCAATTTAGACTCGAGGAATTGATTCTACTTGAATCATTTAATGGATCAACATCTAATTTACCACGATGAAACCTCGAGTTACCGCACTAGTGAACTTACTTGTTATAAGAGCTGAAATGTCTCAATTGAATGAGCTATAACCTTGGAAAAAGTTAAATAATCAATAGTAATTTAATTATGCTCACTGAGAAATTAATTTCCCATGTGTTGAACGAGTTATCTATTCAAAAGGAAAAGATGATCACCATGTGATTCCATGAGAAATGTGACTCCAATGAACAAGGAAGAAATGTTTCTCGTGTTTCCAAACAAAAGATTAATTTTTACCAATCAACAGAAATCAGAAAGTAAAACCAACTAATCACAATTATAATCAACTTTAAACCACTCAACCTTTTAATACAATCATCCTCATCATCATCATCATCATCATCATCTCTCTCTCTCTCTCTCTCTCTCTCTCTAGTCAATCAACCTTTCCAACTTAATTCAATTGATTACATTGAACTATTGTAAACACTACTGGTGGTTACTTTTTGATCATCAATTTAAATTACTCATCACATCTTATCCATAATCATTCATTTGTAACAAATTAAATTCACTTTTTAATTTACTCAAACCAATTTTTGTTAAATAAAATATAACAATTACCTGAAATTAAAATTGACTCAATCAATATACTAAGAAACAAAAATCAACTTTGATTATAACCACTGAATACAAACAATTATAATCAAGATAATCGATTGATTGTTTAACAAGACTAACCATTAATAAGAAATAGTGTTAAAAATATTTACATTTTCAAGAACAAAACTAATATTAGATGAAATATTTGTTCAAATGATTGAAATTCAAAGTTTTCTGATTACAGTTATTGATTTATCTCTTTTTTTCTAACGACAATCAGTAAACAATTAGTTAATCCAATAAATAAAGTCTATTATTAACACAATATAAACCCGGAAGAAGGTAAAAGTGTCAAGGATGATAACCCTGAAAAAATGTTGATCTTTCCTCAAGGTTTACTCAAAATCACACGAGCAAATAATCAATGTGACTTTTCAACTTTCTATTGGCTTAATTTCAAAAACAATCAAACAAATATTCCAATAGTCGACAATCAACTTTAACATTTTAATCAATCAATAAATCACCTTGAGATCCAAATTAAGAAACAAAAAAAATCGACAGAAAATATGATCAATCAACACTTGGAAAAAAGTTTCGATCTTTTAAATCAATACGAAAACAGGAAATTAATTGAGTATCAGAATTTTAGTTACCATAATTGTATTGCTGTTCTTTCATAGAGTTAATTGTGATTCCAACCAAGGTTGATTGTCGTAATTCTTAAACTTTGAACAGCTAAATTGTGAGCTCGTAACTTACTAAATCTATGAAATGGTTGAGAAAATTTCGATTCCAATCCAAGGGTGAAAAGAGAAGAAAAAAAAGTTCCGTTGATATTGTTCCTTTTTTTGGCTTCTCTTTCCAATATCGAAACAAAAACTCGAAGGGAAATCGCTAATTCGTTGATTAGATTTCAACTTGACAGGTAGTGGAATAATTAGTCTGTCAAACAATTAGATTACAACATTAACTTAGAAAAAGGATAAGGTGAGAGAGAGAAAAGTGGTCAAGGTTAATATTGTTTCTTGGAAAATGATTGTATCCGTTATAGTTGTTGCTGCTACGCTCTGATTGAATATTTAGCCATCAATTGTATCACCACCTCCAAAACAGAGTCACAATTAACCTGGAGAAAGTGAAAAGAGAGAGAAAGAGAGAGAGAGAAATTAATTACAATTAACTGTTGTTTACAACAGTTTTTCCAATCGTCTCTCAGTTGCCATTATGAAGTTGATCAAAATCTTTGGTCAATCCGATTAATGTAACAAATCGGATCTAATTTCTTAGTTTAATTCATTATTTAAGTTTGTGTCTGTGTATGTGATTAACTTAATCATCAGTGTAGAAAAAGAATAATCAATTTTCTAATTGTTCTAGTTACCAATTGATTGGAGAGAAAATCAGAATTGAGTAAAAATTTTCTATTCCAAATAAAGTGAATCTCATTTTCGTTTGATAATAATGTCAACTCTTGATGTTTCTCCAGAATTGGATGCGACCTCAATTCCGTCTCCATCTCCAATATCATCAGGATCATCTTTCTATATAATTCTGATACGAATTATTTTAACATGTTTACTATGTTTCATTGGTTATTATTATTTGTACAAAAAAGCACAATCAATGAGAAGACGAAATCAAATGATTGATAAATTACCTGGACCCAAATCGTTCAATCCCTTGATGGGTAACCTGCCAATAGAAATATTGAAATACATCGGAGCGGATTACGAAGCCTCGAAGGATTTATACTACAGTAAGTAGATAATCTTCATTGAATCATCGACAGGGAGATTGCGAGAGAGAGAAATTAACTAATCAAGGAAAAGTTTACTTTCTTTTGTGATCGATACAAAGATTCAGTTTGTACGATTGAGTCGAGTTCGAGTCTCACCCTTTGGGTTCATCTTTCGAGTGAAAAGTTCAGAAATTTTACCAAGAACGAAAAGAATTGATCTGATATCGATCGTCGGGTCTTAACTGATGCGACGTAACTTTTTGTTTTGTTTCTCTTTTTTGGTTAATTGTTGAGTTAATTTCTTTTGTTTAATTGTTCAGTGCTGTTAAATGCTGTTCGTGGTTATACACAAATCTATGATTCCGATAGGATATTTCGTCTTTGGTTGGGTTGGGAACCTGTTGTTATCCTTGGAAGCCGAAAACGTTGAAACTATTTTATCAAATAATTTTCTATTAGATAAATCATCTCAATATGATTTACTTCATCCCTGGTTGGGCACTGGTTTATTAACCTCCACAGGTAACAAGTGGAGATCACGGAGGAAACTGTTGGTTCCCGCTTTTCATTTTAAAATTTTACATGATTTCGTTCCCGTTTTCAATGAGCAGGGCAACGTAATGGTTGACCGATTAAGGGAAATCGCCCGATCCGGTCAACCAATCGACATTGTCCCTGTTGTTACTGCCTGTACTTTGGACATTATTTGTGGTCAGTTGTTTCTCATTCTCATTTTCTCAACAATTTAGATTGACAACATTTCCTTTTCTCAACAGAAACAATCATGGGAGTATCAATTGGAGCTCAAAATAATCCCAACAATAGTTATTGTCGAGCAGTTTATGAGTAAGAATAATATTTTTTTTTCTGTTCTTGATTATCAAACAATTGGAACTTTTTTCGTTTATATTTATCATTATTTTCTTTTGTTCTTTTTTTTCATCTTTTATTCTCTTCTATTCTTGTTCTATTTCAGGGTTGGTGAGTGTTTCCTTGAACGTCTAATGCAACCCAGTTATTGGCCTGATGCAATTTACTACCGATTAGAAAGAGGCAAAGAGTTTCGTCGGAAAGTTCAACATTTACACGATTTTACCATGAAAGTTATTCGAGATCGTAAAGATGAAATGATGAATAAACAAGTTCGAAGACCATCAACAATTAGTTTATCAACGGGTTCCGGTGAGCCGATTTCCCTCACAATGCCTTCATCAAGTGAACGGCGTTTGGCTTTCATGGATTTACTGTTGAAACATCACATTAATGGCGGTGAACTTTCAGAAGAGGACATTAGAGAGGAAGTTGACACTTTCATGTTTGAAGGACATGATACAACGGCCATGGCGATGTCTTGGATAATTTATCTTCTTGGACACAACATGGAAGTCCAAGATCGCCTTGCACTCGAAGTCGACTCATTGTTTGACGATTTAAACTCTGAAATTAAAGCCGACGGTTCAAACGGGTCAACAACCGAGATCACTTTGGACGCTATTAAACAGCTCAAGTATCTTGACTGTGTAGTTAAAGAGGGTCTTCGTCTTTGTCCCTCTGTACCTTTGATCGGTCGATCGGCTACCGAGGATATGACCATTTCCGGCCACACTGTGCCCGCTGGAACTGTTATCTATTGTTTCATCTATCAACTTCATCGAGATCCTGAAATTTTCCCTGACCCTGAAGTCTTTAATCCCGATCGATTTTTACCCGAAAACTCTGGGGGTCGTCATCCATTTGCTTACGTACCTTTTTCAGCTGGACCTCGAAATTGTATCGGTCAAAAGTTCGCCCTTGCCGAACTTAAAATTGTCCTTGCTCGACTTATTCGTCATTATCGATTCGTTTCCCTCGATCAACCTGACAAAGTACTTTTCACCATGGAAATGGTTCTTAGACCCAAGGTACCGATTAAGGTCAAAGTTTACGAACGAGTTTTCAATCGGACACCATTTAGTTCACTTAATATGGTCCAGTAATTAATTTAATTTCCTAATTGTAAGCAAATTACTTGATCCATTTAGTGTTGAGTGTTTACATCTATTAATACATAAATTGTTTTCCTTTTTCATAATCAAGGAGAAATTAACTCAATTTGTTATCTTCATCTTGTCGGTTCATTTTAATTATAACAATTTGATTCAGCCCTGAGTTGGAATGAATTGATTAATGATTAAAAAAAAGAGTGATAACAATTTACTTTACTCTTTTTCAATCATTAGGTTTTAATCATCGTCCCGGAAAATTAAAAGGTAACATTAATTGTGGATAAAATTACTTTTAAATTTCCTGGTTGATCAGTAAATCAATCAATGTTTTTGTTTTGTTCAACGTCCGACAATTTAATTAAGTGGATTGAAGCTTAATTGTTTTGTTATTTGATTGTTTTCACGGTTCATCTTGTTACTTTTAGTTTGATTTACAACTTGACAATAATAGTAAAACAAACGTGTCACTTTTCAATGAATTTAAATCCACTCCAAATCTAATCATACAAACTAATTGTCCAACAATTAGGATTGTGGTCAAAACTTGAGGCACAGCCAAGGGAATGTCCGAGATCCAACATATACAACTTATCGTATACATTTGATGGTTGATGATACAAAAAATTAACATTATCATCATTATTTTCACCAATAACAACAATAATGATTAGAAAAAATTACAATAATTAGAATAACAAATTGTCGGATAATAAATAGAAGCACATTATTTGGTTTGTTTCATTTGATTTTGATTCCTCTTTGCTTTGTCAATTCACAGAATCAGCTAAATTGTTGATGTTGTTTCACTTAAGGTGTAAGAATTAGTAAATTAAAATAGATTGTGCTAATTGTTGGCTTTGATTTGGTTACGTGATTGTTTTACACTTATTCATATCCGAACTCCTTTGGATGTTGGTAATTCGATAAAATTGAGTCTTGATTCTAGTGATTTAATCTCCTTCTCAATTCTCCAATTAAAATCAAATTCAGTTAATTTGAGACGTTCAAGTGTTTGTAATAAACAATTTGCTTCATCGTTCATCGCATTGTCAAAATCTTTCAATTTACCGGGAGAACGTTTTGAAAGAATATTTTTCACTAATGTTTCCAATTCGTATAGATGATCATCCCAAACTTCCGGCCAATTGTATCTCATAAAAGCGATCAATTTAGCCAAATATTCAACATTAGTACCACACTCACCGGAAGCGAATGAAATATCACAAGCAATGGTCATTGTAGGTGCAGGTCCAAGGAAGAAACGATTAGTTGGGAGAGCGATGTAAACTAGCACTTGGAATGATGATGATTGGGATGATTGAGATGAAGGTGGGAAAAAATCATCATCATCCCGAGGTGTGAATTGAACCATTTTTGCCTCATAACCACCTTCTTGACATTCACGTTGATCCAGATAACTTTTACCTTTATCTTCATCTTTCATAAGATAAGCTCGACCCCAAGTAATTGCCTGTGTAAGTATATCGATAAATAAACAGAGAGAGAGAGAGAGAGAGAGAGAGAGAGAGAGAGAGAGAGAGAGAGAGAGAGAGAGAGAGAGAGAGAGAGAGAGAGAATAAAATACAACCATAATTTACACAATCTGATTGATGAGAAAAGGAAAGAATAGGAAAATTTTGTCGTTTCTTACAAAATAAGTAACCACAAAAGCCACTTACCTCTTTTTCAGCGATAAGAGTTACCACTCGACCCAACTAGAGAGAGAAAAAAGGTAAGAGTAAATAACAAAAGAATAGAATTAACGGAAAGAAACAGAGCCCGAGGAATAAATTTTCTACTAAGAACGAAGTTTAAAATGAAAAATTTGAAGAAAAAGTGATTGGAGATAATCCAAACCACCTACACATTAGAGGGCAGAGAGAAAAAGATTTGTAAGAGGAAAAACATGGAAACAGGAAATAAGACAAAAAGTTAAAGTGTTAATCCGGCTTTTACCTTATCAGGTGTTCCTCTGTGAACATCATTTCCTTGCCAAAATCGTCTCTTGAAACCCTTTATTGAACCAATGGAACTTCTTGCATAATTGAAACCAGGATTCCAAATAAGTGAACCATAGCCAAAAACCCAAAGAGCTTTTGAATCAGCAGAATCGTTTTTCTCCTTAGAAACACCGGTTTTCGAGGTTGTCATCTTAGTCCCAATAAAAGAATATTGAAAATTTCTAAAAGAGTAAAATTTGTTCCACAAATAGAAAAGTAAATCAATTGTAACCGTAAAAAGGTAAACAATAAGAAAGGAAGGTGATAGGGTAAGGTTGAAGTTACACTAAAAGATGAATTCGTTATCATCAAAAACCAGACACAATTAAGAATGAGTATATATTAACACTGAGAAAGAGAAGACACACTAATTTAGTTAAACGAATAATTTGTAGAATAAATATCAAGGAATATATAAAAAAGAAGAGAAAAATCAACAATTAGAAGAAAAAAATTAACAAAAAAAAAATGGAAAGAAAGAGAAAAAGGTTAATGAAAGAGCCAAGGCACAGATGGAGAAACGTCAAAGGCAATTAGAAACTCACTGAACAACTAAATTCACTGATAATCTACATCATGATGATGATTACAATTCTAAAATCAGATAAGTGATGGAAAAGAAGAAATGAATTTCATCAGATGAAAATGAGAGAGAGAGAAAGAAAGAGAGAGAAGATGAAAAATTCTTTCACCATGTTGAGGGCAAAAGAAAATTGAACAAATTTGAAAAAAGAAAAAAAGAAAACAAGACAAGTTTCGCCACCTATGATCGCCGAATGTAACTAGACAGAAGTTTGGAAAAGTTAATGTTAGTAATTAAAGAATAGAACGGAAAAGTTGAGACAATTGTGTAACAATTTAGAAATTGTCATGCACAAAATATCGCAAATTAAGTGGAGGAAAATTTAGCTCATCGAGTTGGTCATCGGTCTTTGACCCTTTTCTGTAAAGTCACGATTGACCTGAGCACATATTCACTTGTCTTGATTGTTGATTCATCTGATAAATTGTTTTCCATTCATTGTTTGATTATCTAAATTGTTATCAATGACATCGCGGTAAAGTATCATCATCATCATCATCATCATCATCGTCTTTGTCTCTACACCTTAACTACCTAATATCTATCATCATCACCACCCAAAAGACAAACTTTTCATTCAATTTGCTGAATCATTAATGTTTGATTTTTACACTGATTGTTAATCATTTCTGCTTGAAATTCAGGTAAAGATGAAACAACATGCTGTTCATGATGAAAAAGCAAGAAGATAAGTTTATCTCTCTCAATTGGACATCATCTTAATCATTTTCTTAATTTACATTATCTTAACCATTGTCATCTCGAATCAACAATTTACCTCAATTCTCACAAAACTGAAAACTTTTTTTTTGTTCGTCTCCATTCAGTTCGATAAAAAAAAAGTTCTAACCATTAAAACTTTTCAATTTGAATCAAGAATCACGATAAATAATAATTTCCAGGTTATTGTGATACTTTCACCTTCTTTTTCATTTTAATTCTATTTAAATAAAGACAATTACGATGCTGATGATTAAGATGATAATCTGTGAACACTCAGTGAATCCTAACCCACTACTCTGTTAATCTGTTAATCTCGTTTAGTAACAATCTTGTTATTAATTTACTCAGAAAAAATATAATCCACACAAAGAGATATTGTCTCATCTATTGGTCAATCAGTTGCTGACCAGTAAATATATTGACCCACCCAAAAAAAACAAAAGGGAAAAGATAAAGATAAAGGCCTTTGAATAGTTAATAATAGTTATTGTTATTCATGATAAATTGTTAATCCATGATGGTGATAATCATCATCTTCTTAATCACTGCAAGACCACATCCTTCAGTAAATTAAGATAATCGTAATTATCTTCATCTTCATCTTTTCTTTGTTTCTAATTGTCGGATTTTCTTTTTCATCTTTTTTTCTCCATTTTTTTCAAATTTCCAATTTCTTTTTTCTTTTCTCCATCAATTCCACCTCCTCATCATGTAAATCACCAACAATTGAATCAATAATTTCAAGAGGATTTTCCTGATCAAACCAAATAGCCAATGTCCATAAAGAAACAAGAATCTCAATCACAATCACCATCATCATCATCATCATCAGAGAGAGAGAGAGAGAGAGAGAGGAAAACAATTAAACACCAACAAGTACCATTAACTAATTATCTTCATCACCATCAATTGTAACAACGAGTGGGAGTAATTTACCTGTAAAAAAAGTAACAGAAAATCATTATTATCATTAAGACCTACACTTAATCATTGATTTTGATTCAACTGAAAATTAACGAAATAATTTCCAAATGATAATAATCAACAATCAACATGAGAAAAATACTCAACAATTTGAGAAAACCACTTAATCAGAATTGAATTAATTTCCAATTGAACAAAAAAAGAACCATAATTTTAAGTGTAACATCTCATCAAGATCAATTATCATCTTCCACCTCCACCTTCACCTCCTCTTCCTGATTGATTGATAATGACAACCATCACCAAACCATCACCTAAATCATATGCAATTTAATTCACAATCAACTAATTATTACCCAACAATTGAACAACAGCAATTTCTTAATGTGATTTATCAATAATTTCATTGGAAAATGATAAATATTCATTTTCACTTAAAAATCTAAAATGAATTACATGTTCATCTCAACTCTCTTTTCGCATCTTCACTTAATCTGCTTTCTCATCATCCAACATCCGAATGAAAATGTCACTCGCAGTGACAATCGACAGAGTGAG